AAGCCCGCTGCAGACGATGCTATTTTTCCTGCTGGATTGCTTGCAATTTAGTAAATTACTAGGAATCCTGAATGCTGAGTGGTGCAACGATAGTAATTTACTAAATCGCAAGCAATCCAGCAGGAAAAATAGCATCGTCTGCAGCGGGCTTAAGTCCCAGTCTACAATAGAGATTTAAGCCCTAAGTCCCAGTCTACAATAGAGATTTAAGCCCTAAGCCTTAAGAAATTGACTAATCACAGTCGCGCATTCTACTCATACTTGACCGTGATTGGCCAATTTCTTAAAGCTTAGGGCTTAAATCATCTATTGTAGACTGGGACTAAGCCTTAAGAAATTGACTAATCACAGTCGCGCATTCTACTCATACTTGACCGTGATTGGTCAATTTCTTAAAGCTTAGGGCTTAAATCATCTATTGTAGACTGGGACTAACTCGTCTGCGTCTTTTCTACGCATGCGCGTAGACATTAATTTTCGCTTCTCCAATATATACATATATACCACCTACATACATGCCGTTTATATATTACCATGTTATATTTATTTGCGTAATAAATATTTAAGATATTTGGCTAAATGTTATCCTGAATGATTACAGTCTCGTAAATATTATCAAATAAATTATATACAAGTATAAAATTTATACAATACATATGAATATAGGAAATCAACACAGAATTGTTTCACGCGTGCGCGCTTTTCGATTACCGCAGATATAAAAACCAGCATGTATCGTATAGTTGTTTATTTATTAAACAAAAATACACATTTGTTAAATAATTAAAAATGGTATAAACACTCGTTTACATTAGCTTTAATATAGATGCGTTTGCAGGTTGTCTTTTAAATATTATATATTGATTCAGGCGCATTTCTCTAAATACAGTACTTCTTGCCTCGTGCAGTATCTCGTAATTTCGAGTATTTTTTCATTGCGTGTGCGACGTTAAATAAATTAATTGTCAACAAGTTTCTAAACGTCCTTGATATTCTTTTCTCCCCGAGCAGTGCAGACATATCGTATACAATATAAAATTCCAACAGATATTTCATGACGACTGAATTCGTTCCAATTTAATTATTGCTCATTATTTGCAAACACGATCTTCCTTGTTACGCAGCGATAAGAACGTCGATAATCCCTATTCTTATCGCAGCAAAATACGCTATGTAAATGAAAGGTATCAAAGACTGTGTTCTCCTTCAGCATTTAATATACATTTAAAAATCAATAGCTTATAGCGTGATACAAAGTATGTTGGAATCAACTGTTTAAGTTAAAGCTACAAATCTCGACGTTACAGTATAATTATAGAAATTCACATTTTAATCACATGCACTTGTGTGTGTGTGTGTCGCGTGTACGTGTAAAGACTATGGTGATTTATTTTTACGAAAGCATACATATTTACAATGCTTTGTATAAATGTTGTTGCACATAGAAATTACAGAACCTCGTTTTGCTATATTGAACACGAAATAGAGCGTTTTGTCTTAGATATGACAAATCGTGTATTCTGCGGTACACACCTTAAAGGAGCGCACAACATAAATATATAAATAAAAATAAATAAATTCTAAAACCAGTTTGAAATTTTATGTTTGACAATTCATTTGATTCGAAAAGACGTTATTTACATTTTTACGGGATTTTGAGGTTGCTAGCTTTCTTTTTATCATGTCGTACAGTCTTTGCAGAAATATTCATGTATATTAATTGTATATTGACACAACCATGTATATACCTATCAAAATAAAGTCACATTAATCGATTAAAGAGACAAAAAAATTAATCGAAACTGTTTTTGCACTATATCGCGGGCCTTAAAACATGATTAGAAATAACTAAATAATGACTCCATGAAATAATGATAAAAATTATACGAATTACTATCCAAAATAATTATGAATTATGCTTGCTTGCGATATACTATTTTGTTACCGTGCCGAGTGTGTGTGCCATCATTTCGTATTATAATAAAATTATTCGATATATAACATTCTCGAAAGCTTCTCTAAATTAAATTCAAAATGTTTTACGATGAATAGCCCGTATACCATCCTCGTCGAATTCTCTTTTGCTCACCCACATCTTTTTGAACGTATCCAAAGAAGCCAAAATGGAACCGCCGATCCAAGTGCTGTATAATCGTTCCTGAGGTGCGGATATCTGTTAAACCAGAAATGAATTTACAGTGATATTACTTAATATTGGAAACTTGGTTCATCGTTTATGTACTATTTTCATTTATTCTTTGCTTCCTTACCCTTATTTTAATGTCTTTTGGCGACATTCTACGAATCTCCGACAATAACCTGTCACCGAAACCCTAAACAATAAACATGAGAGAATCTTATTACATTGATAATTCTTCTGTATAATATACAGGGTGAGTCTTTCCATATCCGACAAAATTTTTGAGAAGGTAGAACGGATCGAGATGAACGGAAAAGTCCTGTACCATTTTGCAATTCTCGTAATAGTTAACGAGTAATTAATTATTAAAAATCGTTGTTTTAGGCCGGCCTAAGACAACGATTTTTCATAATTAATTACTCGTTAACTATTACGAAAATTGCAAAATGGTACAGGACTTTTCCGTTCATCTCGATCCGTTCTACCTTCTCAAAAATTTTGTCGGATATGGAAAGACACCCTGTATAAAGAAAGAACACAAAAGGACATAATTTTCTTATATCCTTTGCTTATTTTACACATGTATTACACATGTTTGTGCTTACGCGGAATAATGTCGATCCACCCGACAACACGATATTTTGGAATAGAACTTTTCTCAAATCCAAATCGGACTTCTGAATGGAATACGTTAGTACTTCATGAAGGCCTTCGCATTCTTCGCCTATCAGATCTGGTCTGAACAGCACCTCAGGAGCTCTGAATCGTGCCGGACCAATCTATATAAAATAAAACATAAAAACATTTTAAACTTGCAATCTCAAAGTTATTGTCAACTAGTATTTTTCTAATATTTATTCCAATTCTTTTATCACCTCCAAGTGACTGCCGTCAGGTAACACATATTGAAACTTCTCCGTCTCTATTGTCTCTTCTTTTTGAGGGTTGCTAGCGAGGTAGCACGCTCGCTCTTTAATTATTCTGACAATTTCAAATTCCGCGGTGGTCTTGAAATTAATACCTTCCTTGCGTAAAAGTAGCCTAAGATGCCTTGTGACATCACGTCCTGCTATATCAACTCGCATTATACTGTGAGGCATGGCGAAACCTTCATAAATAGGTACAGCGTGCGTAACACCATCGCCAGCATCTAAAACTACTCCCGTAGTTCTGCCTGTCGCGTATCTGTATTAATAAATGGCGCAAATCGTTATTATGCAATCCAAAACGGTCCTCCAGTTATAAACAATATAATCCTGAGATTCTAATTTCCGAAGGGAAAAGTTGAAAATCGTTTTAATGCCGAGTATCGTAAAAGGTTACTCACAAGCTAAGTACAGCTTGCATAGAAACAAACAAAGCTGGAACATTAAACGTTTCGAAAAATATTTCGGCTGCCTTCTCACGATTCTTCCTGGGGTTTAAAGGTGCTTCTGTAAGCAAGACCGGATGCTCCTCGCTGAACGTGGCCAACTGATCTTTGCTATAGACGTAAGACCAGATGCGCTCCATGTCGTTCCAATCTGTGACCACACCGTGTTCCATTGGATACCGAAGAGATAAAAGGCCACGATGCTCCTCCGCTATTGGACCCACAAACAGATCTCCCTCCAAAGCACCAGCCATAACACGTACATGTTTTGGCCTTCCAATGCTAAATACAGGAATTATGCATTAATTCTTTTGTACCAGTCAATACTGCCGCCGATGTATAACTAAAAATTCTCAATTTATTTCAAAACTTGGCATATATAACATTTTTTAATATTATTTCTCAATCATTAATTACAGTTTCTAAGAGCCATAACTTTCTTCAATCTGTCAGAATTAGGTCTCATCTCTCTCGAAGGATGATAAATTAGAAAACAATCTTTGAATTTAGCCAAATCATTTAGGGAATTTCAAATTAGCTTGTTGAATAATGTCTGACACTTTGTTAACCCAGGTGGAATTATAAATTTTCTTCAAATAGAGAGATCAGGGTATTCACCATGGAAATGTTCGGAATTGATTCCGATCAGAATCGTTCAATTACTTCCTAGATTTCTATTGCGTTTTCTAGAGGAAACGGAATAATTCCAGTCGAAATCCATTCCGAATATTTCCATGATAGGTACCCGGGCCACAAGTGACAAATACATTTAGAAGCAATTCCCGTTGAGTTAATCGCCAAATAATTAAATCAGAGATCTAGATATTCTCCATGTACGTCATCAGAATAACTTGTCCAACAGCAAGCTGGAGAAACAGACACCGTCACAAATGTCAACAGCACTCTTCCAGCCTACTTACTAATTCGGGAATCTGCATTTAGGTATCTGATCGCCCGCGAAGCCTGCCTTGATCACGCCAGATCCCTGAACAGAACGAAACCAGGTGTAATTATAACTCTATCGAGCCTAAACCGGGGAAATATCGTCGTCATATCGACGTTATCACAATCATCATCGAACGGACCGTCGACGATGTCGACAACGATCGCCGACGACCATTTTCATTTGCGGCCAGGAACCAGGGTAGAATAGAAGAGAAATCGAGACGGTCAATGGCAATGCGAGCGCGAGGGGAAACGTCGGACGTCGCGTGTCCTTTCAAACGACAAATCCCTCGTCGACGTCGACGTCGACGGCCGACATTGAGATTTGACACATCGCTCGCTTTCCCGGACGCGGGAAGAACCGGAGCGGCCGGGCACTTACGTTGTCGATAACCACCGGCTGGTTGACGATTACGTCGTACGGCTCCATAGTACGGATTTGGAATGTCCACGCGACTTTGTTTCGATCGAGGACCTGCAACCGTAACCCCACAGGCACACACCTATCCTGCGAGGAGCGAGGCGTCTGAAGGGAGTCATCAGCGATCCATGCGATTCGAGGATCGTTTCTCGAAGTGCGTCGCGAGCAGGAGTGCCAACAGCCACCACCAACCTTCAGCAGGGCGAGCGGTCACACTTGACCGGAAATGTACGTGTTTTTAAATGACTCTTATTTGCAATCGTTTGTATTTCGTATGAAAACATTTGAAGTGCAATCGAAAAGGTTCGTGAGTCATTCGTTTATTTGTAATTAATTAATTTCTCTATCTAATATTTAGCCGGAATAGATAAAATAAACAAAGTTTTTATAGGAAATCGTTTGATATTTTGTATGGAGAGTTATGAAGTGTGATCGAAAAGGTTTGCGAGCAATCCAGGTAGTTTTAAATAAATATTTATTAACTCGCTATTCCATAAAAGCTACAAGTTGATTGGTTACACATTTCTCGGAACTAAAACGTGGACCAAGTTCTAGCAACGTGGACACAGGTCTTAATAAACATTGCCGTGTGCAATAAACTCCGATATTGCAAGACAGATACTATGAAAAGTTGCGGCCATGAAATACATTCTTTATATGTTCGAAAAATAGAGATTAAACATCCCACGAACAGAAATATATAATAATCTCCTTCAGTATTACCGAATTTTCTACCAAATGTAAAAAGGAATCATTTATATTGAATTTTTCGTTGCAATCTCATTTGATTTGTGCACTTACGTTTCGTGGCATGATTGACCAAATCTCGTGGTATGATCGAGACTTCGTGGCACTTTGTATAACACCTCATCAGTATTAATCACACGCGACAGGAAAGGAAACACGAAAAATATACGATTGCACCAAGTTACTATTTGCACTCGGTATACCGTGTAATTTTCCGGTATTCCGTGTAAATTTACTCAACGGTACGAATTTTTAATCAACAGAAGTCGTCGATGTATTAGCTTGAACTATCGACGAGGAAATATTACAACATAATTCAGCACGGATAAGATTAATTGATATTTACTTTTTCAATTAAACGTATCGCAATCGAAATTCGACTCAAAGTTCTGCATAATTCTGACTAGCATTTGTACGATTCAGTTAAAAAAAGAAAATTTTCAAGATTATACATTTCCGTTAATAAACGAAAAACTTGAAAATTATAGATTTTAACATCGACACCGTACAATAAACGCAACTGAATTAACGGTTAATCGAGACGCAATCGTCCGAAAATAATTAAAAATTCACTGGCGCATATGTATTTTTATTTATAAATTCCGTTAGGCACTCGATTTAATATTCCGTGTATTATTTCTCGTTTTTAACCTAGAAACGGCCAAAAAGTATACTCGAAGCGACGAGAAACTAACTGCGATGATACGAGATGTATCCGAATACGAGCATATAATTACCGCTTTATAAAACTGGCGCAAATTGACGAAAAATGGCGGACCAATCACAGCTTGCTTCCTTATGGCCAGGCTTTGATTAGAGGGTCTCTACTGGTCTCTACTCGCAGCCAATGACGAGAGACAGATGCGCGTCGTTTCCGGCGAATTACTCGTAATTCACCAAGTAGTGCGAAGTGGGGGTCCGTTCCCTCTTAACGGTCGTGGCGGCGGTGGGTATATTTGTCCCGGTTCAATTGCAAAGAGAAAATCCGGCGGCATCGTCGAGCATCGGCACGTTGCAGACTCGATCGAGGTAAAATAATATCCCTGGAAGTCGTCCGCTCTCGTAGTTATTCTTATATTTTCGCGCTTGACTCGTCTTGAATCAATTTCGGCGTGGGAACGACTGTGTCGTGTATCGGATCGTTACATCAAGGCACGCATCTCGTTACAGAGCATGGACTCTCGTAGACGCTTGGCGAGAGCATAAGCCCTCCGTTCATTCATCGATCGGTTGAGAAGTCGACGAAGGAATAAAAAAAAAATAGCAACAATCTAGCTAGCCAAGATGTATCTGTACAATTTAACCCTTCAACGTGCCACGGGCATCACACACGCGGTGCACGGTAATTTTTCCGGCAGCAAGATGCAGGAGATCCTTGTCTCCCGCGGCAAGTCGTTAGAGCTTCTACGACCGGATCCAAATACAGGGAAGGTCCACACCCTGCTGACCGTTGAGGTCTTCGGCATCGTCCGGTCCCTTATGGCATTCAGACTGACTGGCGGGACAAAAGATTACATTGTCGTTGGGTCAGATTCCGGGCGTATAGTGATATTGGAGTATATTCCTGCCAAAAACATTTTTGAGAAGGTGCATCAAGAAACTTTCGGCAAGAGTGGATGTAGACGTATCGTCCCTGGCCAATATCTTGCTATCGATCCGAAAGGAAGAGCAGTGATGATAGGTACCGTGTGCTTTTATCTAGCTTCTGTCTTCGGCAGTTTTACAATCCAATTTATATTGTTATTTTTTCACTAAGTAGTAGATGAGTTGTTTCTTTTTTTTATTGATTGACATTGATTTGTAGCGAATTCAACAGCTTGCACTAGTGCACACTGAGTACACACTAAGGCTTGTTCAGAATCTACTCTTATATTTATGCTCTCAAGTACATATCCTAATACTATTTAGCAAAAAAAAAATGATCCGTACTAATGCAGTACAAATCATTGTACTGGCTAGGAAGTATTTAAAACAATCCTTAAATATAAAAGTTGAACAAGCTTTATAGTACGCACTAGTGCAAGCTGCCGAATCACAGCTATGATGATATTGGTAACGCAATAATTGCAATTACTTCAACGCAGATGTTGTATCTTGTTATTTACTGTCGTAGGTGCTATCGAAAAGCAGAAACTTGTGTACATTCTCAACAGAGACGCCGAGGCCCGTCTGACAATCTCTTCTCCATTGGAAGCTCACAAGAGCAACACACTGGTGTACCATACAGTTGGAGTCGACGTTGGCTTCGAGAATCCTATGTTTGCGTGTTTAGAAATCGATTACGAGGTAAACTTGTGTAATTTTTTTAAAATCACTTTTGAGTAAGATGTTATTACATGATTACTACCGTGTTTCACCTGAGTAACAGTGATTACAATGTTTCATCAGAATGATGGTTTTACAATCATTTGTAGCATTATATTTGCATAAAGCGCCTGTAATTAATGTACCTTGTAAAAATGTTAATTCAGGAAGCTGACAGCGATCCCACGGGCGACGCGGCGGTGAAAACGCAGCAAACGCTTACGCTATACGAGCTCGATCTTGGCCTGAATCACGTGGTGCGTAAGTACAGCGAGCCGTTGGAGGAACACGCCAACTTTCTTGTTTCCGTGCCCGGTGGCAACGACGGTCCGAGCGGCGTGCTCATCTGTTCCGAGAACTATCTCACGTACAAGAATCTCGGGGATCAGCACGACATACGTTGCCCGATCCCACGGCGCCGTAACGACCTGGACGATCCAGAGAGAGGAATGATATTTGTCTGCTCAGCCACGCACAAGACGAAGAGCATGTTCTTCTTTCTGGCACAGACGGAGCAGGGTGACATCTTCAAAATCACCCTCGAGACTGACGAGGACATGGTCACCGAGATTAAGCTCAAGTACTTCGACACGGTACCCGTAGCGGCGAGTATGTGCGTCCTGAAAACGGGATTCCTGTTTGTCGCCTCGGAATTCGGCAACCAGTTAGTACTAATGCCTTTGCACATGCGTTGTACACACGCGTTCAAGTTACTGCGAGCACTTACGTTGTTCGGTTTCAGTTACCTGTATCAAATAGCGCATCTCGGAGACGACGACGACGAACCCGAGTTCAGTTCGGCAATGCCGTTGGAGGAAGGTGACACTTTCTTCTTCGCCCCTCGACCGCTCCGAAATCTGGTGCTGGTCGACGAAATGGACAGTCTCTCGCCTATAATGGCTTGTCAGGTGATTTATAAAATACATACAAGTTTCATTCGATTATGCACTTGCAAGTAGGTGGGAGGCGTTACTCGTGCGTCTCTTTCCTGTGGACTACGGTGCGATAGCAAAATTCTCTTTGTCGCCTTTGGTTTGTTATTGCAAATTGAAGTGAATACTTAGAGAGACACGATGTTTTCCTTCCCTTACGTTATTCTCTTCGAGAAGAGACGAGAAGCGAACGCTTATGAGAGCTTTTGATCGTTTAGGTAGCAGATCTGGCGAACGAAGATACGCCACAATTGTACATCGCTTGCGGACGAGGACCGCGATCCACGTTGCGAGTGTTACGCCACGGTCTCGAGGTTTCAGAGATGGCCGTGAGCGAACTGCCTGGTAATCCAAACGCTGTGTGGACTGTCAAGAGAAGAATCGATGGTTAGTCGAAAGATATTTCCACATATCAATTGTCTGCATGTTTCCACTTGAATTGCTTATTCGACAATCGATAAGTCTTGGCTATCTTTTCGTTGAGCATTTACTTTCCACGTGCAAAACGACGAGGAATCGAATATTCTGTTCAGTCGGCATTACAAGTGTCACGGACTTGTATTATTTTGTTTTCTCCATCCTCTTTTTCACAAAAGTGGTGGATCGTAAGTAGCTCAATAGTATAACTCAAGCAAGTTTGCGTAAAGCTTTGGGGTAAGAACCTTAGTACTTGATATAACTTGGAAAAGAAACTTGTAGTCTTGCTTTAAAAAGACAAACGGCATCGGTTTTGTAAAAACGATATTAATGAACCTGGTGGCTTGATACACTCTTATCAAACACCAGTTCTCTCTTTCAGGATGCCAGCGCGCTATTGGTTGACCTACAGAACTCTGAATGACCGAAAGGTAAGGAACCTCGGCGCGAAATTGGCATGAGTAAGAGTCGATTCGTTCGACAAAAAAAAATTAAAAAAGAAAGGGAGCGAAAGCTCGTCGACTCTTTCCGTGCCCCACGAGAGCGTGCGCAGTTTCGAATGATCGAGGACACCTATATTATGTTTCTCTGTGCAAATTCAAATACTCGATTCGACGACGCATTTTCCTACGTATTGAGGATGAGCTTTATAATTTTGATTGCAGAGGAATATGATGCATACATCATAGTGTCCTTCGTGAACGCCACACTCGTACTCAGTATTGGTGAGACTGTCGAGGAAGTGACGGACTCGGGTTTTCTCGGTACAACACCGACCTTGAGTTGCTCCGCCTTGGGCGAGGACGCGTTGGTGCAGGTACATTGCACATGGAAATTATATCGTATGGTATACCGTGGACCCTATGCATGAACCATGCCTCCAATATTATGTTAAATATGAGAGTAGTGTAAAACTTGAAGTAAGTAAAATTTAATTCGGCCATTAAAACATTTCAAATTATTAATTAAATGATAAATAACAATTCTCTCTAAATTAATAAATTGTCTGGCAGAAATAATCGCCCGTTCTTTAAATTATCTTAGTTGATATTCTTGGGACAGAAATGGTATATGCATGGGATTGTAGAAATTTTCTCGATTGCACTCGGTATCTCCGGCACCTGGTTGACCACGTGCCGGTCGTCAAAAAGGTGCTAAATTATTTGGGCTCACGCATCGTTGGAACGTTCCAAATTTAGTTGAAACTTTCCTGGTATTACAGGCCCAACATGTGTTCCATTAAGTATATGGCATCAAGTATATAATTTGATTATCTGAAATCCCAAACATCTTTCAGGTGTATCCCGACGGTATACGTCACATCCGAGCGGATAAGCGTGTCAACGAATGGAAGGCACCTGGCAAGAAGACCATAGTGAAATGTGCGGTCAATCAACGTCAAGTCGTAATTGCCCTCACTGGAGGAGAACTAGTATACTTCGAGATGGACCCTGTATGTACTTGCTACAATTCTTTCTTAACGCTTCCGCGATTATTCTCACGATCGCATTATTTGTTCTCTTTGAGGTGTCTCAATTGTTCTCAGAGACGTAAAGAATGCGAAAAGCATACTACTCATTTCATCTTGCATGGCCAACCTAGCTGAGCCTATTGCTCAGTGGTTGGGGCTGATGTAGAGTAAACAAGACACCATGAAAATTTTCATCAATAACTGTTTAATCCATGCATCTTTTTCAGACTGGACAATTGAACGAGTATACAGAAAGGAAAAAGATGCCCTCGGAAGTAATGTGCATGGCCCTTGGAAACGTGGCAGTGGGCGAGCAACGCTCGTGGTTTTTGGCCGTTGGTCTGCAGGACAATACCGTGAGGATAATTTCTTTAGATCCCTCAGACTGTCTAGCGCCACGAAGCTTGCAGGCATTACCAGCAGCTGCGGAAAGTTTATGCATCGTGGAAATGGGCGCCAAAGAGGCTGACAATTCCGAGGATGCGGCGCCGCAGCAATCCAGTTTGTACCTGAACATAGGTAAATTATATCTCCAAATTTGCATCTATACTTTTTGCTCGTGGTCCAAAAGTTCTTGTATGTTTCTGTAAAGCGTACGCCCGATAATTATCTTAAATTAATTTAACGCGTTGTACGTTAATTCCAGGTTTGCAAAATGGTGTGCTGCTCAGAACTGTGTTGGATCCGATTTCTGGGGATCTTGCAGACACAAGAACACGCTATCTGGGCTCTCGTCCCGTCAAGCTCTTCAGAATACGAATGCAAGGAAACCAGGCTGTGCTGGCGATGAGCAGCCGATCCTGGCTGAGTTACTACCATCAGAATCGTTTTCACTTGACGCCTCTGTCATATGAGAGTCTTGAATTCGCGTCGGGATTTAGTTCCGAGCAGTGCCCGGAGGGTATCGTCGCCATATCGACCAATACCTTGAGAATTTTGGCGCTCGAAAAACTTGGCGCCGTGTTCAATCAAGTGAGCTTTCCGCTCGAGTATACGCCGAGAAAGTTCGCGATTCACCCGGATTCTGCGCATCTAGTGGTCATCGAGACAGAACACAACGCTTACACCGACGATACGAAGCAACAGAGAAGACTGCAGATGGCAGAAGAGATGCAGGAGGCAGCCGGCGCCGATGAAGCCGCGGTTGCTCGGGAATTGGCGGAGGCATTCCTGTCGGAGGAACCAAACGAGGCAGTTTTTGGTGCTCCGCGGGCGGGTCCGGGACTGTGGGCCTCCATGCTGAGAATAATGGCACCAACCACCGGGCATACGTTCGAAAAGCATCGTTTCGAACAAAATCTAGCTGCGCTATGGTAAGCGATAGAAAGAACAATCAATCTTGAACAAAGTCGTAATTGTCCAATGTTATAAATCTTTTTTTTTCTTCGCAGTCTTTGTCTCGTCAAATTCGCCAATCAAGGTGACCAGCTGTTTCTCATCGTTGGAGTCGCGAAAGAATTTCAGTTGAATCCTAGAGTTAGCAACGGCGGTTTTCTTTATACGTACAAGTAAGATATCTCACTTTATTCGTGGTATTTCCTCTAATACTTAAGCAAATACTGAATTGATGAATATTAAATTGGTCTGAATTTTGATGACATTCCTGCAGTACTGATATTTACAGCATCTTTCAACAAACGTAGTATTTCTCGCTACGAAATAGCAAAAATAATTGCTCCGTGTTCCAGAGTAAATGCCGAGTGTACTAGTATCGAGCTGCTGCACAAATCTCCGTTAGATGAAGTACCGTTGGCCATTTGTCCGTATCAGGGTCGAGTACTGGTCGGAGTTGGTAGAATGTTGCGGCTTTACGACATGGGTAAAAAGAAACTATTGCGTAAATGCGAGAACAAACATATACCCAACGCAGTGGTATCGATTAACGCGATTGGTCAACGGATTTACGTCAGCGACGTGCAGGAATCCGTGTACGCTGTGAGGTACAAGCGCCAGGAGAATCAGTTAATCGTTTTCGCAGACGACACGCATCCCAGGTGGATTACAACGACGTGTGTATTGGATTACGACACCGTTGCTACTGCCGATAAGTTCGGAAACATAGCTGTGGTGAGTTCTCACGTTGCCTTACCTTTATTAGCAATGCCCGGTGCGTTTGTATAACGATTAGAACTTGTCATATTATCATATTTCCTGTCTCTTTTTTCAGATACGATTGGCGACTGGCATTAATGACGATGTGGACGAAGATCCAACTGGAAATAAGGCTCTGTGGGATCGCGGGCTGCTGAATGGCGCGAGTCAGAAAGCGGATACGGTAGCGTGTTTCCACGTCGGTGAAACGGTGATGTCGTTGCAAAAGGCGACTCTCATACCGGGTGGCTCTGAGAGTCTGGTATACACAACCCTGAGCGGAACGGTAGGCGTGCTCGTGCCATTCACAAGCCACGAAGATCACGATTTCTTCCAGCATCTGGAGATGCACATGCGATCCGAGCATCCTCCTCTATGTGGCAGAGATCATCTATCTTTCCGGTCGTATTATTACCCTGTAAAAAATGTCATCGATGGCGACCTCTGTGAGCAATTCAACTCGATCGAGCCCGCCAAACAGAAGAGCATCTCCGGCGATCTCGAGAGAACGCCATCCGAAGTGTCGAAGAAATTGGAGGACATACGTACACGTTACGCCTTCTAAATTTTCCAGACGCCATCTCCGATGTGCTGGATTCCTTTTTTTGTTCTTATAGAACTTACATTTCTAATATATAGATGATCTTGGGAAAAAATCTGCTATGGATTTTGTTAATTTTTTATTGATCAATCGTTCTTTTTTTCATAATATTGGATTAATGTGATGCATCTTTTCCATCGATTCTACCGTATAAATTAAATCCTGTTGTATACATCATAATTGCATATAAAAGTTCAAAGCTGTGTAAAAATTCAAGATTTTTTTACATGTGTGATAGCTTTATTATATAGACGTAAACAAAACTTTTAGAATATCTATCTTAACGTTGAGATGTATTTTCAATTTCTTTTAAACAAACAGCAATGGTAAGAAAAAGTAACAGTATTTTAATAGCTTTAGAATGACTCGTGTAAGCTTTTTGTATTTCTGTAACAATTATAGACAATTATGAAAATCACGGAACGTTGAGCTGTGAAAGTTATCGGACTTGACTTTCGTGTTATGAATAGGTCCTAATCATTTATACCACAAGTGTAGATATATAAATGTAATGACATTATTTCATCACTATATGTACCTACATATATACCGAACTAACGCATTGCCATTCGAATTGCATCAGTGATTAAGCAATTGATTTCCGTCTAGCGTGTGGTCTTGCAAATTGCACATTAAATCACCTACCGAATCTAACATTAATTCATCGCCTATTGATTTGTATAACCAGCCAGTATGAATGTCTTTGAATATATTTATTAAAGGAGAAATGTCTTTTTCTGTTTCAAGAGAAGAGAGACACAGTAAGAGTCTTTCCAAGCGTACTTTTCGTAAAGTACATTCTTTCGCAAGAATGTGAAAGACTTGGGGTGAATACGGTTCTTTCCTAACATATTCATGTAGTAACAATGCTGTATATATTTTTGTCCAGATAGAGCATACGTATATAGATACATTTTTCAAAGTTTTTATATATTATGTATGCATATAAGTTCTTGCTCCCGAAGCGGAGGTTACAATAATTTCATACTTTTTCCGGTTAACAACTTTTTTAACTGCAGTAATCGATCTCCTATAAGCCGAGAGGTGGGGATCGAATCTGATATTTATTGGTCGACCTACATGGAACCACGAGGTTCCCAAGTTTTTAAAATGAATCTTCTTATTCGATTCGCGAGCATGTTTTCGACAACGGATTTCCGACGACCAGAAATTGCACTGCTATTACAGAGTGCTACAGCTTCTGAAAACGCCTGAGCTCTTGGACGATTCCGCTTCATTCCAACTGGTTTTTAATTTCTTTATAGTTGCTTTTCATTAGAAGACGATCTAACGGGAAGCCACATGTTCAACCTTAATTTTTGGAGGCTTGTTATGCCACACTTTGGAGACCTTTCCTTCCCCGGAAGTTTTTCAATCACTGAGAAAGATCCACCGACCTCAATCCGAAACCTTGCCAATGTTACACATTTAATAACGGAACTATTTCTTTAGTATATTCAAGTATAAAATAAATAGCAATCGAAGGAAGGATAGGTTTCGAGCTATTTTGAAAATTAATATTTTATATTGAAATTAATTATACTGAAAGAACGGACAGTCATATCGGATTATTACTCGATTGAGTCAAGCCACATTTTCGCACAGGAACAAGACTTGGATTTGCAGTGTCTACAAATAGATCTCGCTATTTAAGGATATCTCAGCACCTGAATTAGAACAGTGGAACGATGAATCTATCTACGTTATGCACCGTTATGGCATAACTAGGTGAGCATGCATTCATCACTCAATTGCATCTCCCTCCTCTCTTCTTCCCGATACTCGTGCATCCACATGATTACGCACACATACAGTCTCCTCAAAGCATTCTATAACTTGACGCATAAACGCACGCCGGTGTTGGATTTCGGATAAACCAATGGGCCTCGTTACGGAAGTGAAATTTAGACTTTGTCTGGAATCTAAAGTAAATTTCATTATTTTATCGTTATCTAACGTTTGTAATTGGTTAACAATATGCGTTGTTTTGGCAAAGGTAATGTCATCCTTCTGGAAAACGAGAACAATTTGGGATTAAACAAGAATTGAGGTGTACAGCTTTCGATAGTTTTGGAACAGCATAATTGGAAAAAAAAGAGCATATTATTTTGTCATACAGGGTGTCAGTGTATGTTTGGGACTTGTTTGTTGCGTAGATAGAGCGGACCAAACTGAGTCGAGAAGTCCTCTAGCATTTTGCAATTTTTGCAGTGGTTAACTCAATTTGGTTCGCTCTGTCTACACAGAAAAAGTCCCAAACCTTTACTGACACCCCGTATATTCGACGAAAGATTTTTTCCTCTCGCACATGATATTATTCTTTTATGAAATCGTAACTCATCCCAAATTAATTTAAACACTGGGTCGTTATACGTGGACGTAGGCACTTTTCGGGAAATGCGTTTGATATGCGCAGCAATTGATGCGTTAGGACGAGTGTGTATCTTCCGAGTTGTAATCTCGTAAAGGGCGCGAAATTCCAATTCGGTTGAAATCACGTTACCGCCTGCCGAAGTATGTTCTCCTGACAGCTTTGATGATTTCTCGGCGGTGTCAGAAAGTAGATTTCTTGTCTCGAGAGATAACGTTATGCAAATGCAAGTGCGGTTGGGAGGCGTCGCTCTAAATAATATTATTGGCACTAATGAAATAAATATATTATGTATACCGTGAGACTCGAGGACCTCGGCCCCTCGAGATTCCGTGATCCTCGCAATTTCGCGTCGCGCCCCCGCGTTTTCTTTCGCGCGAAAGTGGATTAGCTCGCGTTGCCCCGGTATGCGAGATTACACCCCGTCCAATTATAGACGCGCGGCTGTTTACCGCACGCTCGCGCGTTCACGCCGCTATCGGATTTACCCCGTGACCGCGTTTCGCGGGGATTAGATATTCTTAATTGGCACGTGCGGCGGCGTGCATCGCGCGGACGATGAACCGCTTTGTAATAAGCGCAGATAATGAGCGCGCGCGGCGCGGCGCCGCGCCGCGCGAGATCGATAGCCGCTCGAAGGAGGAGAGAGAACGGCGACCCGTTCGAGGACCGTTGATGCTGGTAACGCGATAAAAGACTTATCAACCATCTCTTTGTATGCACTCTCCAGAAAGGCAGAGAAAGATGGAAGGAAGAAAAAGGAGAGAGGGAGAGAGATGGAAAAGGGTGTGCACCTGCGTTCGATATCTCTCCATCGTCGCCGTCGCGTCGGGACGAGAAGGCGTGCGATGCACGCGCCGGTGGCTCTACATATGTGAATATTAGGAGCAAGAAACGACGACGTCCTCGACACGTTTCGCCTTGACGATACACGGATGCACGCGCGTCTCTCCGCAGGCTCCGAGGAGCTCGACAGCATCGGGGAGACCTCGAGAGGCGTATCGGAGAGCCGGGGGGGATGGTCGCGGTGCAGCCCTAACGCATATGTACAGGCTGTTCCACCTGTCTCGATCTCATCTCCGCTTCCTCTATTTGTATCAGCGCGGGGAAATGATCCCTAGTGGCACAATATATTGGCGCAATATTGGGAAATAATGTAAATCTAGTATTCTCAATATTGCTCCAATATTGTATCAATATTAGGCCAATATGCTTGTTACATTGTTAAATATTGGTCAATGCACTTCCAATATATCTAATATTATATAATTGTCGTGCAATATTTACATTTATTCCATGGCCAATATTGGCTTTACGTTGGACAATGTCGGCCAATGCATTTCTAATAGAACCGACATTGGACCAATGTTTAGCCAATGCACTGTGCTACCAGGGATTAAGTCGCGGATTGACAAAGGCAAAAAAGAAGAAAAACGAGGCGTTTGCCCTTCTTCTCGACTCTTTCACTTAAAAAAAATTAATGGATTTTCAACTCGACGCAGAATTTTAGAGATAGAACCACCCCTTTCTGCGTCAATCGATACAACACGGTACTGATGTTCTTTGTTTAAAAGTAAATATAAATGATTTTGGCAATCATAATATCCGTCTCTTTGAACGAGATAATTTCAGGGAAGATACCCGAGAGAACCGAGCAAAACCGCCCAGCTGACAATAAGTGGAACGCTCTATATCTACCGACGTCAAGAGTCTCGACAGTTGACGATCTTGTGGACAGCAGGGTGAAAAGGGAGACTCAGCGGCAAAATCCACCTACTCGTGTTACATATACGTGTGTATGTATATGTAGATAAATGGAAATGTAACATCTCTGTAATAAATGCATCTGTCGTCGTTGTGACATCCATGCTCTTAGAGAAATTCATAAAAATCTTTGATATATCCACCTTTCGATAAAAGTTCCAATTGAAAGGATAAAAGTAATTATTGCTATAAAAATCCATCACTCCAACTAGATACGTTATAGCTTCGCAGGACTGCTAACATATATATATATATACACCTGGCGCTACATCGCGTCTTTTGGTATATACGTGTATGTACAAGATTATATATGTACTATTTCATCTGATGCTGAAAATAAACACTAGCGTTTTCCATTTCCGCTCGAAAATCGGTTAACCATCCCGAGCAAACGAGACGCGTCCTGATAAGGGACATAATGTAAATTCAATTCGTTACATGCATCATTATGGATTCGATCCGGAGGGAATAGCATATTTTCCTTGAGATACGATCGATGACGCTTAACCCGGAGGGCGTTTACTAGGGCGCAAAAATTCCAATAAGTGAAATCCGAGGAAACGCCGCAGCGAGATCTGCGGGCAGCGAATGTCGCCTCGTAACTCTCGGATATATTCACCCACAAATCTACATTTCCGAAGCATAGACAAGACCCGTTTTATCTTTCACCAGCGCGAGGGGCAGTTCGCTCCTCGTCGGATCGTATCAATTTTACAATCGCGCGCGATCCCAATTGCTATAGATCCCGCAGCTTTTTCTTCTTCCTCTTTCCTCGCGTTTCGGCCGTCGGCACCGTCGACTTCGGGCCTCAGACTTCAGGGCGTTATGGACGGAGGCGGAGAGAAGGCGAGAACGAGTGAGAGAGCGAGAAGCCGATCGATGCATTGAGGCGCCTAGTGGCCAGGCGGGCCAGGAGGGCCAGGCGGGCAAGGCACCAGCACCAGCTCTCTCTTGGCGAGCGTGAGCACAGAGCTCAGCCAGTCAGCCCCCGTTCTGTTCACCCCTGCCCTAGTATATATGGCCTGCAGCAGCGGCGGCGGCGGCGGCGGCGGCGGCGCGCGTCGCGACTGGCTTCCCTCTGGGGATGGTACATTGGTACATGGTAGCGTGCAGTTGCGCATCGACCTCCGGGGCGTGCACAGCGGGTAGCGGCTGGCGGCGCTCCTCGCGAGTGCAACGACGACGACGGCGGCGGCGGCGGCAGCAGCCGACGACGGTAGGCGGGGTTCCTGTCCTCGCACTCTCTTCTCCGGCTCCGGCAGGCTCAACCGTGCTCGTCGTCGTTCACCATCGAGTCCTCGGGGATGTCGTTGTCGGTGCCGACAATCACTGCCGATTCGTAACTCTAGTCCTCCTCTCTTTCCCGTTATTCCCATTCATCTCGTCGACGTCGTCTCGAGCCAGTCATGCTGTCAACCGAAGCCTGCAACATCCGAATCGCGACGTCGGAATTGTCACTGTGATATGCTCGTTTCGCTGGCAAACTATTATGGTAAATCGACCATTCGTCCAACTTGGCCCGTCCCGCCGTCGTTGATTAGATCGCATGTCAGTAGTTGTATACGAAACGCCGTGTGGGTACAATCGTGCGCGGATGTTTAAAACACTCGTCGAAACAGGTGTTTACGACGCGGCGTCGCGATGTACATCTTACGTCCGGTCGATCGATTTAAATCTCCGACCCGCTTGAGATGCGGATTCGCGCTGATCCGATTAAGTCCTGTACATGTAACATACCGCCGTCTCACCGTGGCGTTGAAAATTCTTTTACAAGTGGAGAAAGTTACTAAAATTACGATTCGATGACTTTTCAAGATCCGTGATGGTCATTATAAATGTTGAAAGTATTCAATAACAAATAAACAACCCCCTTTAAAGCGTATAATCACAGATTGGTTTCTCGCTGAGCAGGAGATAGCTGATGCCGGAGGGGGACCCGACAACAACAATAACAGACAACAGTACTTTCAGTCACCGCATCGTATTGGAATTGTCTCGCTGTTGTTGCTGCTGCTGCTGCTGATCGTTGACGCGTCGAACGGCGACGGCGGCGGCGGCGGCGGCGGCGGCGGTGGCGGTGTCGGTGTTGGCGTCGGCGTCGGCATCAACATCGGGGGTGGCACGGCCAGTGGGAGTGGAGGCGGGAGTGGTAGCGGTAGCGGTGTCGGTGGCAGTGGCGGTGGCGGTGGCGGTGGCGGTATCAGTGGTGGTGGCGGCGGCGGTGTCGGCATCATCGGCAGCGGTGTCGGTGGTGGCACTTGCGGGTTGGCCGAGTTGACGTGTCGGGACGGTCGCTGCGTGCCGATCGACGCTTACTGCAACGGTGAGGATGATTGCGGCGACGGCAGCGACGAGCCGGCGATGTGCACGCCGTGCAACCGCACGTATCACGGCCGCGAGGGACACACGTACAAGCTGGACCTGCCGAGACCCGCCGAGGAACGCCTGCCGTTCCTCTGTCATCTGACGTTCACCGCGGCCGGCCAGGGTTACGGCGAGCTGGTCCAACTACTGTGGGACGCGTTCAGCGTCGGTCGCGTCGACGCCAACGCCGACAACTACTTCACCAGCTGTCCCGAGGGCTCGCTTCAGCTCGCCGAACTCGGTAGGCACTTCACCGGCGGCTCGTGGTGCGGCGTCAGCGAGGGTCGCGCGTCCTACTACAGGTATTCTCTCTCTCTATTTTTCTGGAGCTCTTGAGCTTTTCCCTCGTTGAATGATGACGCGCGGAAAAGACGGTGTCTCAGGTCTGCAAATTTAAACATCTTTTTAATCGAGGTCATTAATAATAATTAGTAATGATGATTTATCGCAGCGAAACCAGTACGGTCACTGCCTCTATACGACTGTTCCATGCACCGTCCGCGGTGCCGTTCGAGTTTCGTCTCCGTTACCGCTTCGTCGCGCGCAACGAGGCGGTCGCCCGACTGGGCAAGCCGGAACTGCCGATCGAGCGGGGCTCCCCGGTGCCAGGCACATACTGCTCCCGCAACTTCTACGAGTGCCACCTGAAGCAATGTCGGTTGCAGAGTCCAAACTATCCGGGCGAGTATCCGCGAAACGCAAGCTGCCTCATCACCGTGCGGCAGAAAGAGGTGCCCACGTGCAAGCACGCCATGATATCCGTCAAGAGCACGCTTTCCGGGCCGGCTGGCCTCAGCGCTACCGCCAACACGAGTCTGAACGTCTGGCAGGACTGCTCCCCCGAGAGGGACCGTCTCATCTTCCGCGACGGTGCGCGCACGGAGGACCCGGTCCTGCTGGTGTACTGCGGCGGCCCGCTACCGCAGGTGACCGCGCGCGGACCCGCCATGCAGGTGGAATTCCGCAGCTCGCCGGTCGCGATTCCGCTGGGCGCGTCGTCGCTGCGACTGGAGCTCGAGCTACGCGTCATCTACGTCGACTCGGACGGGCTGGATTACGCCAAGGGCCCGCAAGGCTGCCACTTCTTCGTCAACGGCACCGGCGTCGGCAGCAAGCGGAGTGGCACGATACGCGCACCTTTGCACGCGCTACCACCCGGTTCCAGCTGCACGTGGAACATCAAGGGCGCAACCGGCGACCGCATATGGATATACTTCTCGTCGTATTCGCAGCGCGATCTCACCGGCAACAACGAGAACAACGCGAGCGCCGGTCAACTAACGCCGGACATCTCCGCGGCGTCGGTATGCGCGGCTAGACTCGTCTTCTGGGACGGCGCGCCGAACACGGGTCAGCCGATGGCCACGCTGTGCGACGACACGCCCAAACTCTGCGCCCATGCGGCTCTTCGTAATGTTACCAGGAGCACCAGGCCGTGTACCGAGGAGGAAAGCTACCTGACGACCGCGCCGAGCCTGACGCTGCGTATGGAAACTGTTCTGGGTACCGCTCTCCATCCGATTAACTTTCACGTGAGTACACGTTGCATCCACCACGACCTGAAATTTTCCACATAACATTTTTCTTTATAAGAGGAAAATAGGGGCTGACTCGCGTTCTCGTTTCAGGCGCGATACGAGTTCGTCTCCACCGTTCAGACCGGCGAACCCTGGGGCGACGGCAATTGCAGCCGGGTGTGGCGCAAGGTGCACGCTGGCGAAGTGATGTCACCGCGCGACGTACGTCTGTTCGGCCGCGGTGGTGCCAGCAAGTTGGATTGCAGGTAAAGATTGCAGGAATCAAATGTCAGCGAGCGCGAGTCCAAGATTCCATTGCATAAATACCATGCCTGATCTGTACACAGATATCGCGTGGAAGCTGGGAGCGGGGAACGAGTCCGTTTGACGCTGCACAATGTCAGTCTCGGCGAGTCCACCATGTGCACGAGCGATTCAGACCCACACACCGGTAAACCGCGCTGCGTGCAGGAGATTGGCTCTAGGGATGCGCGTTTGGTCATTTACGAGGCGCCATGGCGGGACGTGAGGCTACCCCGGGCATGCCTATGCGACAACACGTCACATTTACCGCTCACGTACATCACCTCTGGGCGTGCGCTGGAGATAACATTCTTGGTGGACCAGCAAGCGCCCCACGAAGACTTTGAGACGCTCTTCTTCTACGCCAGCTTCGAGCTCATCCGCGTGCCAGAGTGTCCGAGAAAGCAGCGGATCCGTGGTGAGGGTGGCGAACTGAGATTCGTCAGTCCTCCACTGTCGAGACCGGACATCTATTGCGACGGTCTACCGTGGCTGGTGGAGGCGCGCGAGAACCGGTCGCTCTTCGTCTTGACCTGGGGCTGGTTTCTGCCGCTGGAACCTCCACCGCTCCCCGGCCCCGAGACGTCTGGTGGCGTGAGCACTAGCGGCGGCGGCAGTAGCAGTGGTAGTGGCATTGGGGGTGGTATCAGCGTGACCGGTGGCAGCGATCAGATCAAGTGCCCGACCACCAATCGCATCCTCCTGTATTCTGGCTGGCCGCCGAAATTGCTGAAGGTGGTGTGCCCGGCGGAACCGGGTGCCCGCGAATTCACCGTACACGTGTTCTCACAGGAATGGCTAGGCCCGACGGAAGAGGGTAAGTGGCCGGGTCCACCGAGGCCACCCGCATTACTCTTGGACTTTGTGGCCCGGGAACCCGGCCAGGCGGCTGCCTCCTGGCTGGAGATCTCCAAGAGCCGCGCGGCGCTGCGCCGGCAGCTGCGTCTTCCGGAGAGAATCGCGGGCGGAATGATAGAAAACGAGACGAACGGCGTGCCGTCGTACATCGGTGACTGCCCGCACAAGTGTCCCGAGCTGGGCGCGTGCATCGCCGCCAGTCTCTGGTGCGACGGCCACGCGCACTGCCCGTCCGGTCACGACGAGGCCAACTGCGGGAACGGCGCGCGGCTGCTCGGACTCCTCCCGCCCATCACGTGGCTCGTCGTCGCCGGCGTCGCTGGAATTGTCACTGCCTTCGCGTGCCTATTCACTATTCTTATTAACAGGTAACTTTCAGTCTGGAATCAATGTAGAGCGACAAAGTTATTCCGCTTATATGTAACAAAATGGCTGCTAGACTTACCAAGCTTGCCGTCGTTGCCTCTCTTTCCAGATCCTTGGATTTTAGAAAGCAACAAATTATTTCGAATTATCACACAATTGATTTCTTATATATTTGATGGTAACGGTGGAATTATATACCATCAGGTAGAACACTCACTTGTTCATTTTCTCTCGTTCATTACTCATCTCTTCCAGATCCAAAGCTCGCGCAAAGAGACTTCACTACAAGGGGCCGAAAAAGAGCAAGAAGCCGCGACGTGCACCGACCGAGGAGACACTTCTTGGGGCGGCGTCCTGACAACAGCCGCCCGGTTTCGTGGAGTACATTCACGTGGACCGGGAAACGACTGTCTAGCGATGCTAATTCTGTGCTTCACCGTCCAATGACTCAACAGATCCTCCCCCGTGGTGCCATATATAATTGCGCAGCGGGTGGCGAGATTCCTCGAAGCTTCGCCACGCGCTTCTTCCTTTCTTCATTAATTTTCCTCTTCCGAGGACGTTTGTCCTCGTGTCTGCCTGCGTTGATTCGCGCGAGTCGAGTCGAATCGAAAAGGATCTATTCATCGAATGTCTTCTGTTCGCGAGATATTATATATTAGTGATGTATATACTTATTTGTGATATATGTATTTAATTACAGTTACGCGCTGTGTAAGCTGTGTTACCTCTATACACACATACACATACACACTCGCATACATACATACATGCATGTACGCGTGTACACGAATCTCTCGACTTAGGTGTAGTTTTAAACGTGTCTCGACGGACGGAAAGTAAATCCCGTGGAGCTATGCGGCACTCGGGCGAAGTCTACCTTTCAAACGCTATTATTACCTGACGATATCCTAATTCGCGTGTTCTCATATAGTGATAATTATTTTAGAAACTAGAAGACAAAGAGAGAGAAAGAGAGGTCGCGTATCTCTCGTGGATTATTCTAACAAAAGATATACATATATATATATATATATATACATATAAAATAGATTAGAGCCGAAAACAAAAGTGCGTTTTACGAGTAAGATCATATATTTCAGAATTATATGGATAACGAGACTAATTGAATAATGTTGAGATATAAAGTGTGTAGCTACAGATGAAGATAACAGGTCAGGGTTCGTAGAATAGTACATGTATAGAAGGACGCTCCGCCACGCGAGAACCCGCGGTTTCGCGGCGGAACTTGACAAACAAATATACTGCCTTTTTCGCACGTGGGATTGTTCGGATGGAAATTGCATTAAAACCTTTGCGTCTTTTGATTCAAGTCCTAGATATCGCGTACACAGAATTCATTTCACCTCCGTATCTTCCAAAATATGCGTATGTGTCACTTTTACATATTCCTATAAAAATATATATATATTATTTTTATATATTATTAAATGTATATTAATATTACCAATTGTTATTCGGCATTCACAAATTGATTCACAATGATCTCCGTCGCATTGAAGATGCGTCGAATCCAGTGTCTAGATAAATTAATTTATTTATTTATTTAACATATACGCGAGCGATGTTTGTATAATATATTGATAATATAGACTGTAAGAAAGAAAGAAATTACACACAGGAGGAAAGTCTAAAGTCGCATTCGCGCCCCGCAAGGTCATATTCAGAAGCAATATTCTAAAGCGGTGAGAGAACAACGGCTCACGAGGTCAGATTCGATACCTTTGCTCTGCCAGTATTCCGAAAGAACAAAATACTATTACGATACAGGTACTATAGAGATATATTACATAACGATATTCGGAGAAAGTAATCTCTGGCTGGATCATCGGCTCACTCATTCCGACTTTTGCTCCGACTTTTTCCCCCAAGTAGTTTCTCGAAGAACCTTGTACATATAATCTCCGATATGCATGTATATATTACGGAGGGTTTTTCAAACATCTATTGACAAGCTTCCGGAGCGGAGAGACTCTCGTCGAGGGGAACATTTCCCGTTGCTTACGTTTTCCACATTGTCCACCTTTCCTCAGTCATTGGTTCGCAGGAATCTGCTTTCGACGCTCCAACGTTGTGGAAGCTTGCCAAGGGATTCTGAATATCTTCTATAATATTAATTTTATACTATGTATACATAGCGATACACGTAATGAGGCGTAACGTATTACATATGCGTACATACGGGGTGGCCTGAACTGGTCTTTTTAAGGGTGGCTTCGACCGAGATCCGATCAACTCGATCATTCAACCGGCAGAATTGCTTAAGGCAAATAAATAGGTATAATTCGTTGTCCCTAACTTTTTTTCTTTACATGCCAAACGAGAAAAAATGGTTACAATCCTGTTTATAAAATAGTTGGAAAAATTATCAAGTCTATCCACGAAATAACACGAGATATCGCGCTATAAATGTCGATTGATTGTTGATTGGAGTTCAGTCCAGGCCTTCCCGAACCGTTCTGTTGAACGAACCGGGTCGCTTCGTCTGATGGTGCATTCCAGGTACTGGTAGATCGTAGCTCAATGAAAGACAGAGCGGACTAATTGTAAGACGAAAGACGTTTAATCGATCAAATTCTAATGTTCAGTTTGCACTGCCCGTACCACTCGGCAGTCTCGGCACTGATATACGCCGAAGACTACTGTACGTGTAGCTATATTTAATGGTAAAGACACAATGTAAACATATTGAACCGATAAAATAGAGAACGTTGCATTTTTAGCGGAATATGTATTGGATATTTTACCGAACGAAGAAAACCAAAGTGCTCGCGTGGCGCTTTTATATACAATACATGGATCTCTTTATGTGTACAGCGGTTTTCACAGCGTCAAACTGGATGGTTCGTTCTTTGTAGCTCAACTCCTTTTGTACTTGTTATCTCTGCCCTCTTTTTTTTCTCTCTCTTTAACGTCACGTGCCTATTTCATTTTGAATGCAGAAGGTATAAAACATGGCGCGGCTACAAGGGACAGACCTCAGGCTTGTTGGTTGCAGCTGAATCCTTAGTATTTTCTAGCCTTCCACTTTTCATTCTTAACGATTATATATCTGTTACATTTTCAACCAAGAAAATATAATGTAGCACAGCTACTATACGAAGAGCAGACTTGCTGCCCGCCGAATTCGCTAATATGGGCTTTACGCAAGTGTATATATGCATATACATAGTTATAATTAAGGTAGACGATAGAGAAAGAGGGGGGAGTGAAGAGAGAGAGAGAGAGAGAGAGAGAGAGGAGAGGAAAGAATTGTGCACCGGACCAGTAGAGAGAGAGAGCATTAGCGGAAACATAAAGTCGCTCAAACTTTGTTCGTTATGAAAAAAATCGCAGAGTGCTGCGGTATTATGCGAAGCCACGTAAAAGCACTGTGCCACTCGTGTATACACACAAATTTCAATAAAAGCGACAGCTCTTGTCTTGTAGGAAATATCTTGGAGCGTCGTTTATCGCGCAGCGTCTACTTTTTACCTGCGTCTCATCTCAGCTTTGGTTTGTAGTCAAGTTCCAAGCGAGTGCCTTCGATTCAAGTCCATTTTTTCAAAAATTCTCTCAAAGTCATCTTATTTATGCAAATTTTTCGGATATTTTCGGTCACCAAGTTTTGAAATGGAATCCCCTAGTGTTTATTGTTTGGACGCTTCCAAGTCCAGCACGCGTAGTTGATGAATCGGCCGTTCGACCATACCGCGAACATTGCCCATGAAATATACTTCTCTAGTCTTCTTAGTTGGTAGGTTATGTACAGTTATGTATTTGAGAACGAACCTAACCTCTCACCGTTGTACCGTCGACAACCGACACGTTCGTCAACAGGATAGGAAGGTAAAGGAGTATCGCCGGGTTGCCCGCTAAATTTTGTCCGCCAAATCGGACAAATGAGGTAAAAAAAAGAAGCAGCAGAGGAAATCCGATACAGAAATGTATATACATATATGTATGTGTGTGTGTTTATAGTTTTATCACACCTGTGCGAAGCTAATGACAGAGTGACGTCGGTGACGTCCTGGACGAACGACAGCGGATATTCGTAAAAGAGGAAAGGAAGAACCGCGAGGAGATGATGAACGAGAAGATGATGGACGCGCGGAGGCGCGAGAGAGAGCTGATAGGATTGCGCGGAGTTGCCGAAGCTTGGGGCAAATCGCCGACGCAAATTGAATAGTACGTAGACAAATAGAAATGTTTGGCTGCTGACGTTCACGCGGGTCGCCGACCCTGGTTCCTGGTAACAGGAGCAGCGTTTGTCAAGAAAGAATTTAACTCTGAACAATCTGTAATCGTTGATTAAGATTAGCGAGGTTAGGATTAAGGATTGTCTACAATGGAAGTGAGCAGTAAAAAGTAAAAAATCCATAATCTTATCAGTGCAAAAGCTAAAGTACAGGCATAACTTTTAAAAAGAGGAAGCATCAGAGCTGAAGTAGGAGTAAGAAATGGAAACGATTAATTTCTATACTCCTACTCTTACTTCTTAAGCCAGGCTTACTGCATCTGTTGTAGACGTTCCTATAGATGAAGCCTGGCGTAAGAAGTAAGAGGAGTAAAGAAATTAATCATTTCGCGTCGTCTACAATGCGTGGAGTAAGGAAATAAATCAATTTTATCTCTTACTCTTCAGCTCTTACGCTTACTCACGGCGAATCGGAACGCCATCGGCCAGTGTTACAAATATTTAAAAAAATATGCCTGTATTTTAGCTTTATTACAGTAAAAGCTAAAGGTTATCGTTCTTTCTCGCTCCTTACACCAAGCTTACTCCACATATTTCCATTTCTTGTACTTGAGCTCTCACTTAGCTTTTACATTGAAAGGTAAAGGTCATGGTTTTCTTACTGCTTACTTCCAATGTAGACGGTCCTTTAGATCGATACTTGAATTGCTTCAAATAAATTGAAAATAATGTGTGGCGCGACTTTAAAGTCTCGGTTTGTTCTTTCATTTGCAGTAGCTCGGACGAAAAGGATGAGGATCTTAGCAAACACAAAGATAACACTTCGCCGAAGGACCGCAAGAGAAAGCGACACGATGTTAAAAAGAAGGTACTAGATTAACGATCAATGTTGAATGAAATGTAATATTCATTTGAACACATGTCTGTGGATGCAAACAAATGTTAATAATGATATTCAACTGATTTAGAAAAGCAAGAAATTGAAGAAGGAAAAGAAGGCGAAGAAGGAGAGAAAGAAAGAGAAAAAGGTAAAGAAAGAAGCAAAGAGAGGCAAGAAGAAGAAGAAGAAGGCAAAGAAAGAGAGCGACAGTAGTAGTTGCGACGACAGTGACAGCAGCGATAGTGGCGACGAGGAGGTCTGGGTGGAGAAAACCACCGTCACTGATAAACCAAAACCGAAGAAAGGTTCGAGTTCAGATGACAGTGGAGACGACGGTGTGGTTGGGCCTGCTCCGAAACCACACGTGACTCTCTCGGCCAAGGATTTCGGCAAGGCGCTGCTGCCAGGCGAAGGCGCGGCAATGGCGGCTTACGTAGCCGAAGGGAAACGCATACCCAGGAGAGGCGAGATCGGCCTCACATCCGAGGAGATCGCAGCGTACGAATCTGTCGGTTACGTCATGAGTGGCAGCAGGTAATATACATCATACATGTAAAAGAGTCGTATTTCTACATCTCGTATCGTGAAACAACGTGAAAATATATTTTCGACGTTACATTAAAAGCAAAGCACATTGACTATCCGAAATATGTAAAATTATATCGCGATTCACTGTCTCAATTATTTAATCCAACGATCTCGACGAACGTCATTAATCTAGTATATCTTTACTGGCACGCTTGTCGGAGATACACCTTAGACGTCATATCTTTTCTTTAAAGGCATCGTCGCATGGAAGCGGTTCGTATCCGAAAGGAGAACCAGATCTATTCTGCCGACGAGAAGCGTGCCTTGGCCATGTTCAGCAAGGAAGAACGGCAGAAGAGAGAAAATCTTATATTAGGACAATTTCGAGAGATGATTAACCACAAGAAAATGGCGCAGGAGAAGAATTGATGACTTTATCGAGTGTAACATTGACACAGTTTCTCGTGTCATTGTGTACTTGTGTGTATATACATATTATATAAACTTAAGATTTCATTAGGTGTACGAAGATGATGTATATAGAAAATATCAATGTATGTACATTTGGATAAATAGTAATGTTTTCCTTATTTTCTATACAACTTTGGCAACAGCAATCGGAAAAAAAAGTGTCCATCCAATGCATCAAAATAAATCTTTACTTTTTATTATTTGCATAAAAGAGCATCACAAAATTATTACATATAAAATCAGTGCAACGGTGGAAATATTCTATTAATAAGATCGCAATGGTAACTTCCTCTTTATGTTCGATTACTTAGACTTTTCTATTTTTTTATTGCCTTACCATTGTTACACGGTTTTCATTTTTTCCCCTCTTCTTCTCTTTTCTTTTCTTTGTCCCACTGCGACCAGCCTCCAGAAAAACTGTATACCCTGTAATATGAATAAGTTTAAGAGTTCTCTATTACATGTACCTTACTGATTTGTATTCCAAAAAATATCTACTTTTTGTAATTCAATTTCTCCAATTGTTTTACCGCACTCTGACTTCTCCGGCCAGACATGCAGCTAAATATGATTTCATTGTCAACAGACGGCTTTGGTTTTTTATATTCATTCATAAAGTCTTCTGCCGACATCTCTTTGAATACTTGCGTAATTGTATCCACTAAAACAAAATATATTTTATTATCATTTACATGATATAACATTGTTACAACGTTTAAAAATAAAGAAAAACTTTTCAAGATTTAGACGTGTAGCAAAAGAGGCCTACATGGTATATTAATGCTTCCTGGTATCGAAGAGGTCTCTTTGATCTCAGATGGTTGTCTGACGTCAATGATCCAGACTGTGGGCGTCTCTTGCTCTCCCTCTAGTTGCTGTACTTTAGCTTTGAACTCGTCATAAGAAATTTCAAAATCTAATAGTCCAGAGGACGGTTTGGAAGATGCCATCTTCTTTTTGCACAGGTTTGCAATGTCTCTTTTCAGGCAAGATATATTCGAAGAATGTAAAGTTCGTGTCACTGAAAAGAAATTTGTATCTTTGTTACTGTAAACATTGATGTTTCACAAATTACAAATAAATCCTATTTGTTCGCACAAAAGCAAAAGAGGAAAGACATCCGCGTAACGGAACACGCGAGAAACGAAGGACACCAGAAACCGCTCAGCGCTGAGCGAGTCTGAAAAACGCTCTGTTTAATGCGAGGCATCGGACGAAAAGGAAAGAAAGAGGAAAACTTAACGATTTATTGTCAAAGTGACGGTCGGCGCGCGGAGAGCGAACGTGTCGAAACAGAAGGTTCCGCGGACGAGACTCACTTTCATTCGGGACGAGCGATTCCACGATTTCCACGGTCGCTAGAAAACGTCAAGAGTCGTGATTGGTGGAAGAAACATCGCGCGCCCGTTCACCCTCGTGAGCTCGCGAGGAAAAACATTGAGGCCCGGGCCTAAATTCCGTACACGATTACCGACGACCATCGATACGTTAACGACGTTTGCGCAGCTTTTTCTACATGATAGAAAAGCTGCGCAAACGTCGTTAACGTATCGATGGTCGTCGGTAATCGTGTACGGAATTTAGGCCCCGGTTTCACCAACGCGAGTTAATCTAATCGGTCGGTTAACTTAACAGGGTGCCAACAGCCGAACATAAAATTGATACCAAGAAAATAGGTTAATAAACAAGTTTTATGTTGGCACTCTGTTAAGTTAACTGACTGATTAGATTAACTCGCGTTGGTGAAACCGGGCCTAACTTTAACTCACGGTTCTAATTCTAAACACTATTACAGAAATAAAAGATACGTACAGTTATTGCCCGCACTCCAACGGTTAAACGTAATTTCTAAAAATCGTCGACGACTCCATGCCAACGGCAAGGCGTATCGGTTTCCGAGAAAACAACTCAACGATACGTACGCTTGACGCAGTTGACGAGAAAAGTTGTACATGACGAGACACCGCGACACCGCGATAGTCGCGACACCGTGACGCATGCAGCCTCGTCTACATTATACAAGTCGTAAAGAATAGTCGACTATGATTGGTTAATTCATATGTGTCTGCCTGAATTAAAGCCTCCGCTACAATGATTCTCGGTTCTGTCTACAATGGTCGTAGTCGTAGTCGCTCGATAAGAATTGACCAATCGCAGTCGATTATTCTTACGACTACGACCATTGTAGACAGAACCGAGAATCATTGTAGCGGAGGCTTTAAGAGTTCCGTTTAGGACGCCGAGTGATACACACACGTCTTCTGACCGAAGAAAAATTTTGATCCTGCAGGATTGCGTCATCCGATGACATTGTTCTAAACATTAGATATAGTATATTTGAGGCGGTAGTGAGGAAGGCATCACCTCGGAGGACTATTGGTTTTAAGTCCTGTGCCAGTTATAGACTACGTTTTCACCGAGGGTCGGGGTTGGGGTGAGCGTTTTTGCGGTGGAAACACCAAATAGAAGAAGAACAAGTCTCATATTGCTGGATTTTAATGTTTCTGGCATACTATTGAGTCGAAAAATAAATCGCATTTACATGCGTGTCCGGCGTTAAAAAGATGCCTGATGCTAAAGTGTTTCTCAAGTCAAGCGTTTGAATGTCGTTTAAATAACTTTTTATTGCCTCTCACCGTAAGCTTCAGAAAAAGTAGAAATTTGTATTCTACAGATTTACTTTCCGCAATCATACATATGATTTTTAATAAACTGCAATTATTTTGAAAATGGCGAACAGTATTCTAAAGCCAACGGCACGCGATATGCTTACGAGAACCAATAAGGATGCAGAGTTTTGGGCCAAGTGACTGAATGCTAAATCCTGATTGGCTTTCGTAAGTAATCCAGTAGAAAAAACTTAACTCTTGCTCGAGAGACTCTAGGTGCTAAATAAATGGTCGGTAGCGCAATCTGACGAGGAATGTGGCAAGCAGCACTTTTTATTTCTCGTATACGGTCAAGTGGAGTGTACTAATTTATCGAAAATAATCACGGATACGACTCTGCTCCGGTCTCGCAGTTTCACACCGAGTGAGTAAATCGGGGACGGAGCAAAGGCTCGAGCTGGACTTGCCGTCGCGTCGACGACGCGTCCGCCTTTCGATTCCCCGCGCGGCCACTGCTCTGGCAGAAACACCCCGATGACGAGACTACGACGAGGATCAACGAGATGCGCCCTATTGTTTATTCTTGCACGATGTGCTCTCCGTTCCCAGAGGATCGTGCAGGCTCCTTCGCCTAAGTAGAATTCAATAGAGACCTTCAATAGAGAGCCGCGCGCTTACCGAACACCTCTGTTTTCCTCCTGTCTATCTCCGTCTTTCGCCCCTTGTCCGTCAATTCTCGAGAGTGTCTCCTGTCCTTTTGTTTTCAGACGAGGCGTACAATAATCCACATAAATGAGCTGAATCTTGCGAAAATGAGCTCGCTACAGCAAGGAAACAGATTCCTGCCGTTCTCCAACAACAATTTACAAAGGAAACAATTGTCCATGCAAGGTATACCTTCGTAAAACGTAACATCCTTCCCACCTTAGCAAGGTGTCCACTAGATATCTTCTTTCGCAGGGGGCCTTCCTCAAAGTTTGAGCGGTAGCGAGACTGACGTTTCCACATCCAACGAAAACCTGAGCAACGAAGAGAGATATGTCATACGACATACGGCTCGACAAGAACCGCAAGGTCAGGAAAATCAACAGCAGAGTCCCTCCAGATCTTCCAGTCACAAGGAAAACATACCAAATATTCAGGTAACGTCCAAAGCATAAAAGCTGTACAAGTATTTTACACCGAATACAGCAATTTAGCAGCGTCTCCTTTTGTCACAACACAGGGCAATCTACATAACAGGAACAGTCTGAAAGATAGCTTGAACGGCTCTAACAGGAACAGTCTGAAAGAGAGCTTGAACGGCTCCAATCGGAACAGTCTCAAGGACAGCATCAATGGATCCAATCGGAACAGCTTGAAGGACAACTTGAGCAATCGCACCAGTGGTTCCAACAGGAGCAGCCTGGATGTCTCCACGAGTTCCTACAACACATTAATTATACACAACGCCAACGACGACAGTTCATGGATACCGTCTGGAAGGTGAGTAGCACGCGTTTCTTACAAGGTTGGCAAAATTACTTTACAAAAGTAATTCCTTACCTATTAGTACAATTAAATACAAGTCTCTGCAGTAAACAGGTAAAATTATGTTCTCTAGTAAATGGATAAGGTTCAATGCAATCTAACTATATATTCTTTTGTAACTATACTAGATAACACAAGTGCGCGCCATTTGCTCTCTCTCTCTCTCTCTCTAAAAATTCGCATGGTTTGACAGCTGCAAATAACACGACTGAAGCATGTCGTATTGCACAAGCGAGACAATCAGCATCTCGGAAAAACGACAACAATACTTGGAGACTTTCGACTATCGACTTAACACGCCTTTTTTTTATATAGGACTAGCGCGCCTCCACTGCTTTTCTTACTTATTTCTTGATTACAATTTGATACATAATTTTACATAATTCTTTATATAAACCATGAGTGCAAGTTAATATAAAACTTCGGTCACGTTATCACGCGAATGCGAAATCGCGGAAAAGCGGCAACAATATGAGCGCGACCGAGAACGCACTTTCATGCCTTTTCTTCTAGAGGAGTAGGAGGAGGAGGAGACTACACGCAGTGCGCGCTGACGCGCGCGCCTCAACTACTTTTCTTACTTATTTCTTTATTACACTGAGAAAAATATCCAATGAAATATAATCGGATAATCCAATTACATAATAACAAACTGATATATCCAATGAAAAATATGATTGGTTTTTGATCAAATTTCATCGGATGTATCCATAATTTAATCGGAAAATGTGATCGGAAACACTATTTAATTGGTTTATCCGATAAAAATTTGTCTCAGTGTACAATTTAATATATGTATAATTTTCTCTAATTCTTTATATTAACCATGAGTGTGAACGTAAGAAATGAGAAAACGTAAGGTAATGAAAACATTGATTATTGTAACGCGTTACTTGCCAACCTTGGTTGTTTATTAATGACTCCAGAGGTTACTTTCCTACTTGCTTGTGTCGCAGGTTATCGGGTATAGTGAGGGAACACGGAGATGTGGGTTACTTATATTGCGACGGAAAGGGCCATTCCAACAGTCCCACGATACAGTCCTTGTCCAACCTGCCGCACGAGGATTACGTCCATGAACAATCTGGTGGTGGTTGCCAAGAAATCACAGATATCCCGGATGATTATCTTAATCAGTCTCAGGTATACTGATCTAAAACGACTAATTAATTGGATTAGTAATTATCGGTTAAATTATTGTTCAAATTTAAGTCCAATCTACGTACGCACTTGGCAGGTCTTGAAACATTTAGCGAAGGAGGTAAAGGTGCCGCCGTATTCTAACAGTGGCAGTCTAGAGATGAGATTAGGAGAGATGAGAATAAGAGACGGCGGCGACAGGGGGAAACAGAACAATAGCGAGTACGAAGACAGGTCGACACCGTGCTATGTATCCTCGATATTTAAAAGCAAACACCGGCTCTTCGGGCCAACGGAGAAGCTAACTGTATCGCGATCACAGCCAGATCTATCCAGGATCAACAAGGTGGACATCGATAATTACAATCTTCGAACAACATCGCCCCGGTAACATAATATTTTTCTATTTGTGTTTCACGCCGACACTTGGATATTTAGCTGACAGCTAGACATCTTCACAGACCGCAGACCAAAGGACGGGAAGAGTTGGAAAGGAAGATGGGCGAGCTCTGGCCATCGTCGGAGATGATTCAGTTAGTAATCCAAGAGAACAGCACGTTGAAACTCGAGCTGAATCACTGCTACAACAAGGTTGCCAAGACGCAGAAGTTGGAGCAGGAGATAGCGAAGGTGCATCGTGTCCACGAGGAGCTTGCGGCGTCCTGCGAGCGACGGGAGAAGCTGGAGCGTGCCGCTCGAATGAGGTTGCAAAACGAATGCCGTCGGCTGACCGAGCTAAACCGCGCGTACAGAGATCAGATCGACCTGCTGTCCGCGCGTACGGACAGCCCGTCGGTCGTTGAGACAGTGCGAAAGGAATTGACGCAACGCGAGCTACTCATCGGACAGCTCATCACTCAGAGTACGATTCGTCCCGATCCACGCGCGCACGTAAAAGTACAATTTCTCTCTGAATTTACACCCTTTCGTGTGTTTTTAGATAAAGAATTGACCGCTGCGAAGGAGAGACAGGAGATTGAGCTGGCGGCCCAACGGGCGACTTTGCAGGAGCAACGTACGCACATCGACATTCTGGATACCGCGCTGACGAACGCGCAAGGCAATGTCGTGCGGCTGGAGGAAGAAGTAAATTGATTTATTAATAAATCTGATGAATATTTAATTTGGAAAAAAAAACGAAAGAGAAACTGACAGGTTTCACATTTAATGAATTATATTGGTCGCAACATATTAATGTGGATATTTATTTGTCAAGTGTCGAAAGAAGCAAGTTTACGTGGAGAGAGTGGGTCAGCTTCAGCGGGCCTTGTCTTCGCTTCAAGCGTCTAGCGATAGACGAGAAGAGACCGAGAGACAACTGAGAGGTCAGCTGGAAAGGGAGTTGCGCGAGGGTGGCGGAGGAGGCGGCGGTGGCAACGGCAACGAGCAGACGTCCAACGGCGAGACGATCGCGGAGCTGAAACGACGGTTGCGCGAACGGGACGAGAAGATTATGTCGCTCGAGGGCGATGTCGCAAAGTGGGAACAACGCTACCTCGAGGAAAGCGCACTGAGGCAAGCGGCTATCGATGCTGCCAGCTTGCCAAAGTGAGTAAAGTTTCATTATGTTGATTTTTTTCCATGTCGCGCTCGTCCTCTTCCTTTACGTTTCTCTTGCGTTTATCTTGGTGATTAGAGACGCGAAAATCGCCGCTTTGGAAAAGACCAGTCAAGACGCAGAGAAATTAATCGCCGAGGCTCGCTCGGAGAAGATGAGACACATGGACGAGGTGCACGCAGCACAAAAGAAATTGGCTGATCTCGAATCTAGGTAAGAGAAAATATATCCGACGAATCGCAGTGATCGCTATACCATACTTACGAATCAATTGACTCCTCGTAGAATGAAGGATTTAGAGTCCAAGCTAGCCGAGAGAGATGCCATGATCAGGGTGCTGCAAAAACACACGTACGACAAAGCGGACAGCAGTAGCAGCAGCGGCGTGGGTAGCTATCCTGCCGCGCATTCCTCTCACTCGAGTACGTCGGCGGATCATCACACCGTGCTGACGAGCACGCCGGAACTTGGTAAAGCGAAATCTTGGTGGATAATTCGGAGATAAAAAAAGAAATTCGGTCACGATAATTCGTTAATACTCTTTCACGAGTTGTGGCATTTGTAGTAATATCTCTCTCTCTCTCTCTCTCTCTTTTTTCGTACGAAAAGTGAGCAGCGTACTCGGCGGTGGTAGCGGTTACGGCAGTACCGGCTCTTACGGGGTTTCCGACAGTTATAAGTATAGAAAGCAGGGCAGCTTTGAGCAGACTAATAAGAGTCTCGATGATCAACTGAAAGAGCTAGACTCTCAGCTGCTTAGCAAGGTACGCAGAATAAGATATAGCGTTCCATCTTCCAAAGCGGACGATCGACTCTCTCGAAAGCTTTCGGGTCTCGAATCGCGTCACGTCGTTGTCTCCGTTGCGTCCAATTTCGCAATGCTCCGTTGCTCTCGCGTTACATATTGTCTATAACCACGTACGTGCGCCGTTTGATACATTGACATTTATACTTTGTTCACACATTAATGTTTTTTTTCCCCATCATTAGAGGTACCTTAATTTACGAACGATCGTAATTCTTTAGCAACTGTTTTTAACAGTCGCCGCTGATCATGCAAATATTACAGGTCCCACGTTCGAAGGTATCCTTGCGTTGCTGTGTATAACTCTCTCCGGAGTACCTTTTGTTAGCTCGATCATGTTTTCTTTTGTTTTTTTTTCTCTCTATTTAACGACGAACCTGCCGTAAGAATAGCTAGCGTGTACATACGTATGCTTGTAGAACGGAGGTAAAATGTCAAGTAGATTCGCTCGCCCTCAAATGACGAAGTTCGAAACGAGCAACGTTACATCCTGGCTATTCTCCGATTGGAGTTATTTTAAAGTTAATCGCATAATAGGTATTGTTTGACTTAACACAGCTTAAGATTTTATTTTGTTTAAAAAATTTGTTTTCTACTTATCGAGATGTGTTACTATTAATATTGTCCGAATAACTTTTGCTGTCTTTCTACAGATGTGTGCTAGCGCTTTATTTTATTTTTGTTAATTTTATTTGATCGAATATATGTATATTAACAGTTTTTCAAAATTGTGCTCGAGTAGACAGCCAAAATAGATGTGACGTTTTACAAATTAATCTATCTCTTGTTCTTTTGCGAATCGTTGGACTAATTCCTTCCGAGCGTCCTCACCTCGTCAGTCCCGTCCGCATCTTCTCAGTCCATCCCTGGATGTGCATGTGCGAGCGTTTTATGCGAGCACTAACCCCTTTTCCAGGTCCCGGCCTCCTGTCTGCAACCGGTGCGTTCTTTGTTTCATGTTTCAGCGGGCACTTTGCTGTTTTCCAGGATTCTCTAATCCAGGCACTACGTCGAGAAAAGGAAAAATACCCAAGCCACTACTGGCGGGTGTAGATAGCACAGGTACCTCGAGCACCGCCTCGAGCAAGAGTCGATTGCTGGACGACTCGTCCGGCAGCGGCGGCGACGTGGTGTCGTCGAGCATAATCGAGTTCGCAAATGCGGCGGCCAGGCTCAAGGGCACGATCTCGCGACTGTCGGACGGCGGTAGCGGTAAGCCAACCGAGGACATGATGTTGCTCGAGAAGCAGGGCAGAAGCTCGCAGCGGCAGCGGATGGCAGCGGAAGTGGGCGGCGAGCCACGTCGCGCCGGCAGTCTGCCGCCCAGCTCGTTGCCGCGACCACCGAGGGCACTCAAGGCGACCAGCGCCAACTCCCGCTACTGCCGTCTCAGCGATACGGAGACGCGCAAGAAGTCGGACCCCGGAATGCTGGACACGTCATCGGTCGCGAGTGGCAGCGGCAAGATGGTGCGCGATTCCTCCGGCAATTGCAGCAGCATCGAGTACGGCAGATTCGACACCGGTGCCGCCGTCGCCGCCAAGGCATCGCGCAGCAAGAAGAAGACCTCCGTGGAAAGCCTCATGAAGAAATCGTCGATCGGCGGCGGCGGCGGTCACGAGTACGAGAGGCTCCAATCCGACACGATGATGGTCAGCAATCGCAACAAGTCCTTGGTCGGCGGTAATCTTTGCGCGCTGGAGTCGGCGGTGAGGCACAGGGAGATGCAGAACCGATCCTTCATCCCGCCGCCACCGTCGTCGTCCCGTAGCCGCATCGGCGAGTACGGTCGGCTGAGCGACGGCGAATCCTCGGTAGCGGCGGCGGCGGCTGCTGTCCTCAAGGGTGGCGGTAACACCTTGAGAAAGCAAACGGGAGCAGGTGCCTCCTCCCGCGGACAGAGCACCGGCAGTACCGTCAGCAGCAAGAGCGGCCGCGACTCCGGCGGAACCGCCAGTAGCGAGGCGTCCACGGCCTCGCTGCCGCCGACCAAGGCGAGGTCGATACCGCGTCCCAGCAACTACCGCATCCAATTCTAAGTAGCCCGTATTTATGCTTGTACGCCGAGTGTGTAGCCGAGGGGCTGAGTGTGTGGCCGAGGGGCTAGTCTCGAAGCGCCTTTTAAAAGGATAAGTGTCTCTGATTCGTTTTTCCGATGGTCCCCCCGCCCCCCCTCTCTCTCTCTCTCATAGCAATAATTGCGATTCGAGAGACAGAGGATTAACGCTAGAAGTAACCGGTTCACGTATCTCGAGATTACCACTTGGCACGTTTCGATGACCAGCCCTCTTGAGACGAGATTCGAGCGCAACGATAGACATAAATGCGGGCACGGGTGTCGTTAGCACGAGCGTCCCAGAACAAGTACAAGTTTTCGCGAGACGATCGTCGACGTTTCTCGTAGAGTCTCGTTAGAACGTAACCACGAGCTTACGATGCGGAGAACGGCCATAACGGGGAAGCGCCTAAGCCGGCGCGTCGCGCCATTACGATTACTATTCATTATTTAGTAAGCCAATCATCACGCCAGGCCATAACGGATACGAGCACCACGACCTATAACTAACGTAGCGACGTAGTATATGACCTAGTCATTACCAAAGTAACTCTCGATAGAATAGGAAAGAAGAATTGTGTCTTCCCCCGATATCGCATCTCGCGTGTAGCGGCCTTTTAGGGGGATTTAATGCGCAACCCCCAAGTGCCAAGTGCCTTTCTCGCGGATCGCGCGCGAGTAATTTCGATTCCTCAGCTCCGAAAGCTTGATCCTGTGGATTGATATAATCAGATCTGGGCACTGAGAACAAAGAGGGAGAGACCGAGTCGCGAATGGGATGACACGGTCCCACACTCGCGCGTCTCTCCTTTCTTTTCTCGAGCTTGTACAGAGATACGCACGGTACACGTAACGCGCACACGCTCGATACAGAGACGATACTTCTTTTCGCGTAGCTTTACTGTAATGTAACAATCCTTCCTGGAGATCACGTAGGTATAGAAAATCGGATTCTCTCATTTACCTAGCTGTTATTTTAACGTTTACTATTTTTTTAGGGCGCGCGACGATTAAGGTAGTCTCCCCGCGCTTAGAAGAAAAAACGAAGCGAATAAACGAACAACGCCAAAGTATAAAACTTATATATATATTAGTCTTGCGATATATCCATATGTCATTATACGTGTCTGCGTTCTGCCACAATATTTGTAATCCGCCGTATCCCGATCGAGACATATGAAACGACAAAAGATCCCTACGACTGTCAAATGATGACATTTCTTATTCGAGGTCTCGACTGGTTCGACATACTTTTTCGACACGTTGACAACGGCACACTTGTAATTTATTCATTAATTTATCAATCTCTTGAATCAGTTTCCTTGATTTCCGCAAGTATGGAAGTACATCGAGCGAATTACAAGAGAAAAAAAATATATCGCAGAACAATTATATAGATATAGATATATATATATATATATTATACATGGTAATTCTTAATTATGTATTAATACTTGACAGGGTGAAAATTCTTTGTTATTTAAATTGAAGTTTCGTCAGTCCTTACTCCCGAGTGCTGCCAACCGAAGGTTGGCATTACGGAGGGAGTATGTATTTAACCGAAACGACTTTTTCGATGTCAACCTTTTTCCATTTACTTTCTTCTTAATTTCAAATTGCATTTCTTTCTCTTCAATCAAATTTATCTCTCATTCTTTTAACATTATCTAATACTGTGTTACGGCCTAGAGTGTTCGCAACTCTTCTCGAAAAAGAGAAAAATTTCCGAGTTATAATAATGAAGGAAAGTACTCGCAAACTGGAAACATGTGTTACGGCCTCTAAATTCACCCTCTGAAATACGAATACTTAATTGAGAATCATCCTGTATGTCATAAATGTCTCCTAATATAATTCACCGTATTTATTTGTGTTATATATTTTGAGATTAGTTGTCTAATATATGCAGCACGCGTACGCGCTTAACGTATAGTTCTGTTTTCCCCTTCCCCGATATGTGTATACATAAAGCGTTTGATGTAATGCGGCTAAATTTTCTTTCAAACTTGTAACATATGGGCCGATTGTGATTTAGCGAAGCTATGATACGCGCGATTAGGATGGAGCTCTCTATGAAGAAACAAATAAGCGTTATAATGTAGCTGCGTATATCGCCAAGTTTGGAATAGTTTGCTTTCTCGTGAGCGATACGTAAAATAACCCGGCGAACGAATCGTGAGACAAGATCGCGCATATATGCTACATGATACCGTGAAGGTGATGATGCTGATAGATAATCTTGCATTCAACAACATAAAATATTTTCTTTCTCTCTTTTCCAGTCGCGCAAAAGTTGCGAATCGCAACCGATCGGCTTCGCTTCTCTATCGATCTCGTTCCCGTCTTTCCACCGCTGTACCGTGCGGGGAGAGACGGGCAGGCGAAACGAGGATATCGCGAGGAACCAATGTGCCTTCCTACGTATGCAAGAATACCAAATTGCAACGTCACCAAAGAAACAAAAGAGCGAAAGCGAGAGCTCGCGAGCTCATTACCTGCGTGTCCACATAAATGATTTATCGTTCCTATAATGTTCTCGCGCGTGCGTGCGCAAACTAAAGCGGGACTTGGACTCGAAAGTGCGCGAGGCACTTTCGTGAGAGATTATACTCCTCCTTAAATCGGGTGGCGGTGCTCGAACGTAAACGCCGTCAGATCGCTCTCTATTTTTAACACGGCCGTTCGCTTCGCGACAATCCGTTCCGATCATTCATCGTCATACCCGTTACGGTGATCATTCTTCATCGAGACTACTACTACTTTATCGAATAAAGTCTGTGGTTTCGATAGCTTTACCGTATGCGCTCTTACCAGTTGTACAATCCGTAGAGCTTTCCAAGTGGCCTTGCGAAAATCGCCTTTGTCGATCTGCGAAAGAAGGTGCGCGCGTCGATTGACGCCCTATCTCTTGCGGGTTGATTAATAACGAATATCTCTTCTTCTCGATATTTTGTACTCGAAAGAATGCTGGCAGTTTTGCTCGATGTAAAAAGAAGAACGTTTGAATTACAGCCCCTCTTGTAAACTGTGTATATGTTTTTATTTACTTTTACACGTCGCAATAGAAAAGAAACCGACAGGTAGCAAATCCCAATTCATCTTACACTCGAAACTTCTTCGTGTCCTTTTTCCTCTCACCGTTTTCTTTTATGCTTGTGCGACCTATCCCTGTGTCTCGTGTTATCTTCATCCTCCGTGGGCCTTTTCCTATCGTTATCACGATGCCGACGCTCTCTGTCACCATGTTCGTCCCTTTTGCCTCTCCTCTCCAACTTCTCTTCGCTCTCATCTCTTCTCCGGTCGCTGTAGCTCCCCCTCTGATCACTGTTCCTGTCCCGTCGCTCCTCTTTTCTTCTTCTATCTTTTCGCTCACCGTCGTACCTATTCCTCTCATAATGATCATCGTGCGATCTGTCTTCCTTTTCTCTTCTTCTGTCTTTAGTATCTCTGTCTTCTCTTCGGCGTTCGTGCTTTCTGTGCTCATAGACGCGATCTTTATCGCTCTCTTTTCTTCTCCCTTCCTCTCTGCTCTTATTGTTATCATGATCCTTATCTCGCCAAGACTCAGCTTTCCTCGAGGAATAACTCTTCGTCTTGTCGTCCTCGTCGAAATACTTGATACCTTTTCCCTTGCCACGCCAACGCATCTTTGCGACCGATTGCGAGAAATCCACGTGTATCCTTCGGTCGTCGATCAGAACATTGTCCATTTTAAAGTATGCGTCCTCGCAGCTTTTGCGATCGGCGAATTCGATGAACGCGTACTGCAAGGAGTCGCCCGTCTGGTGATCCCTTATAACTTCGCAGCTGCAACAGTCATATGCATATGCAGGGTTGAATAGAGTCCAGTTCAAAAGATAAAAATTAATAAGTTAAATCATTTTAACTTAACTAAGTTTGATTATAAATTGTTAACTTTCAACTTACCTATCTTAAAATTAGCCATGCCGTAAACAAAGACGTCGCGAGACGCCTGTGTTCCAAAATTCGCTCTCGGCACTAAAAATCTACAGTATACGTTATATGCGCTATAAATCTTTAGCGCTGGCAGTGAATTTTGGAACACGGCCATTACATGGGATTTTGATTCTCGAACTCATGTGGATTTGTTTGCATATAAAACGGACCATATTCCGTGTAGTGTGATTGGTTGTCTAAACGCTGGTCGTGAAATTCAATGCAGTTTACGTGATCGCGAATCTAAGATTTTGTGTAAAATTAAAACAAACTTAACTTTTTAATTTCTTTTTATCATTAACTTAACTTTTAATTCAATTAATTTTATTGTGGGCTAACTTGTATCTTAACCAAGTTAAATTTTCAAAGCTCTTTCAACTCGGTTAAAAAAACAAGGTAACTTACGCTACGTATACGAAATACGATAACACGGACCATAATGTATAATTAGAAGCATAACGAATATTATGAAAATAAACGTTTACATACCCAACTATTGTTCCGAAACGACTGAAGATAATTTCGAGATCGTCGTCGTTTGTGACCGGATTCAATTTGCAGACAAACAAGACGTTTTCCGGTGGGGCAATATCCGCATCCGGTATATCGCCCACAATCTCTAATATCGTGGCTCTCGCTTTCGCCTCCTTGTTCCTTTGCATTTCTACAATCTCTTCCACGGTCATGCCACCGGTATCGTCGATTGCTTCATCCGCCCCAATTCTATCGCTCTAAACATAAGTAAACGTGGCTAAAGAGAATGCACGAGGAAGATAAAAAGAGCGAATATATCTAACAATAAGTATATTAAAATATTAGAGATAAGATAGAAAGGTACGTAAGGAAATACGTTTGCCAAGTTGTTTATCTCAAGGCAACGTAAAAGATTGCTAAACATTTTCTAAACATGGCGTACCATTAGAGCTTCCTTGGTAGGTTCCGGGCTTCTGTCGGGAATCACGAGTCCCACAGGATCGTCGAAAGGATCCTCCAAGACGACAGTGTGGGATATTCTTATATCTTGATACGGCCTTTGATCTCCGTCGCAGATGGTTTCGTTAAACTTGAGAATCACCTCCAGTCCCTCGGTGATCTCTCCGAACACGCAGTGTTCGTTGTCCAAGGATTGCAGCTCCGAGCCCAGTGTGACGAAGAACTGAGAGCCCAGCATGTTGTTGCCGCAATTCACCATGGACAGCAGACCTATACGACCGTGCTTGATCTTGGGCATCTGCTCGGCCTCGTAGTAACGGGCCTTCTCACCCAGTACGATTCCGTACACGCTCTCTCCACCTTTCCCGGTGCCGGTGGGATCGCCGGTCTGCGCGATAAAGTTGGTCTGCACCGAGTGGAAGAGGTTCCAGTTGTAGTACTTGAGCTTGCATAGTTTCAGGAAATTCCGCGTGGCTATAGACATATAATGTAACGTAAATTCATGCGGTACATGCAGTTTTATCATTCTTACAAATGCGCAACGTGGAAGGATGTACTCACTTTGAGGACGCTCCTCGGTATACAGATCCACCGTGAAATCTCCTATAGTGGTCTCTACCACCACGGCCATGCCTTCTTCTCGGATTTTTCAACTGCAGGACCTAGCTTTTTTCCTTTCCCTCTACGAGACCGCCATGGAAGGAACCGCCAGGGAGAGACCAACGAGGTTAGATTATAAGTACAGGTTAGGTTAGATACAGTTAACAAGTCAATATGTAGATGTCGTTATTGACGAAAACAAAAAAAATGCGCGGCAATAAACATCCCGTGACAACCGTGCAATCCCATTGTTTTGCGCCATTTACCATTTCGAGTTGCAATTCAAGCCAATTCAAGCTGCATTCGATCCTCTTCAACAATTTCGCTCTCGGCTTTTTCCACCTGGGAATCTTTCTCTTTTTCTCGCGTCACGCGGAATTGCCGAGATTCAAGATATTTTCTCTTCGTGACGAGGTTAGAAAACCCGTACAAGATTACTTTGCACTATATTTAAATAAAAGTATCGTATTCGATATTATATATTTATAATATTATTCAATTACGTAATAGACCGCGCGAATCACCGGTTGCGAAATTGTTAACATAATACCTGCTATATCAAGGTAATATATTAAATGTATTTTAATCATTTAAATCTGCCATTCCTTCGTTAGCAGATATCGCGTTTTACATGAGTTGAAGGTTGATATTACATTTGCCATGTGCGAATGATAAATCAAGATTTAAAGAAAAAAACTTTCTTTAAATGTGCAAAATTCCGCGAAACATGATCGTATCGAGCTCGGTAAACAAGCATTTTAAAGCTAATACTCTATAGTTTCATGTGCACTTGGTTATAATTAGGCTGTGATATCTGATTCACGCTGATGCACCGTCGCAAACTCGGACGTTCGATTAGCAATCCTCTCACTTTATCATTCGCCATTCAAATATTTTTTAAGAGGACACTTCATTTTCCATTTTTGTATTTATTTTTATCTTCATTATTTACCAAGTTATGATCACTTGAAATTTGGTACATTTCTCCCCAATTTTTAGTGTATGATTTTGCAGAATTGTTACTGGAAAGGACCTGAAGTAAGGTTATAACAAATTCAATGAAATTTACCAGGTGGATTGGCAATAAGCTCGCTGTTTTAATAATAATTTAATATATTAATAATATTGCATTATTAAATATAGCGTTTGATATTATACACTGTATTTCTCCTCAAATCCAAGATTTTGCGGATCGAGTCGTGATTCCCCCTCTTCCCGCGATCACGTAAATTCCTGCAATTGTTCTTCTACTTTTTTTGCACGCCGTAAACTCGAAAAAAGTACTCAAATAATAGCGCAAAATTACAAAATTGCTAGATACAAGTCACGGTTGTTGTTTAGAATTTGCATTTTTAATCAATATCTACTAGCGGCCTATAATATTTCCTATCTGCAAATTCTCACAAATTTAGATAAGACAATCGCATACTTGAAAGAGCGATACACGCGAAAGATAATTAAAATCCAACTCTTCATATCAAGATTTTACAACGCGTTGCAACTCTTTACATCTGCGAATAGGGTCAATATATTTCTTCTCGTTTCTCTTCCAGTCCAAGCGAATCAGGATTAAAGAATAAAGTCGAGACATTCGGAATTGCAGAATATGGGCGATATTTGAGATACTTGGGGTTCGCGATCGGTCATGGAATCATTACGAGTGCTCTCTCGTAAAAGTGTAGAGCAGTAGAAACAATTATCCGAGATAGCTTCGTCTGGTTTCGTAATTTGCACTAATTAATGCACGACAAAGCGACGCGATAATTCCAAACGCATGGAGACTCGTCTGATATAAGACTTTATCTTGGTGGTAAAAAAACAAGACGCGTCATCATTGGCACGCTCTTATCAATCCTATAAATGCCGGGAGTACGTTTCGCCCGGATTGCACTGGAGCGAATTACAAGTTGACAACATCATCTGTACCTCGCGTGCATTTTTTACGGCAAGAATGCAGTCGGCGGCACAATCCGAGATAGATATGCGCCACGTTGAGGCTCCGAGGAACATTATCTTGGACTGCGACGCTGGTATCGACGATGCTCTGGCTTTGATCGTTCTCCTAGCCGGTCACACGGAAGGGAGAGTCAACGTTAAAGCAATCACTTGTGTTAACGGTAACACTAAAGTGGACAATGTGGTGAGAAACGTGTTCAGAACGCTGCACGTGTGCAACTGTACCGATGTAAGTTATAGCATTCGTTTACACATCCTGTTTGCTTGTGAAAACGACATTATATTATTCTGAATTTGCTAGCAATCTTAAGGAACATCTCCACATTTTTTCCTACATTGTCGAGTCATTTACGTGCGCGGTATTCGCTGCGCTGATCCTGTGTATCTTGATTATTTTTAATAATAATGACCATTTATTTTCAACTTTTAATCCATGTAAAACTATATAAAAATCGATCACACTCTCGTTTCTGCAGATACCTGTTTATCGAGGAGCGTACTCGCCCCTGTTGGATACTCCGAACGCCAAAGAAACAGCATTAGAGCATTATCATGGAGCTGATGGATTCGGAGATGCATTTACCGATGATCCTGATACAAGTAAACTTGAAGAAGAGCACGCCGCGTGCGCTATACACAGAATCACTTCGGAGGATCCAGGTAATACTATCCTCTTTTGCTACAAGTACATAAGCTTAATTTAATAATAATTGTCTTATAATTAAGGTAACGTCTCCGTGATCTGCATGGGTCCCCTGACGAACATAGCGATGACTATGAAACTCTACCCAGAGTTTGTGGATAATGTGAAGGAGTTTTTTGTGATGGGCGGAAATTCAACGGGTAATATACGAAATTGTTTGCGTTAATTAAGTTAATTTGCTCGCTATAAATATTTTTAACAAACTGAAAACTAGGTATAAAAGTGTAGAATAATACAGCAACATAATAAAATGTATTTAAAGCGCAGGGTAACATAACTGCGCAGGCGGAATTTAATTTCTACGCAGACCCGGAAAGCGTGCACATTGTACTCAACAGCAACAACAAACCTTTGTGGTTGTTACCATGGGAGTCCTGTTTAGAGAGTAGAATCACACATGTACGTACAATTCCGCTCGTAATTATTATCAATTACTGAAATACCATTATAATAATTATTTGTTCAAGTCAAACTCTATTATTAGCACGAAACGATAGTAATTTTTGATTTTTTAGGAATGGCGAATGAACGTGTTGGGCAAAATAGACAAACCGTGCGTGCACATGATGAACGCAATCGAGGACAGTAGACGCTCGCAAGGGAAAAAGCTATTTCCTCATTATACTATGTGCGATGCTTTCTTAGCCGGAATTGCATTGGTACCTCATATGGCTAAGAATGTTGTCGCGTGGCACGCGGACATCGAATTGAACGGCAACAGAACTCGGGGCCAAGTAGTCCTTGATCATTTGTTGTCGAACAAACCGAATGTAAATTTGATACATAGTTTTGATTCCGACATTTTTAAGAAGATACTACTGGATGCAGTAAACACGATTCCTGATTATCGGTAACTGTCATTTTGTGAAATGTAACCACCATCAAGAAATAAAAGGATATAAGAACAAATATTGTTTGTTTCTCGTTTCTAACTTATTATTTGAATTAGTATAGTTTCTAAGTTATTATCCAAGTTAGCTTTTGCATTAAAATTAGAATCAACTTTTTGTATAATTTCCATATAATGTTTAAATATTCATCTCTTCTCTCTAATTCTTTAGAAATTCTTACAAGTTTTCTCTAATTTCTTCTCTCTAACTCAACAGGACGTAATAGGGAGTAACGAGGAAAAGGACGGGATATTATTCCGAGAGAATAATAAAAGACATAAGAAGAGACTAGAAAACTCATTTTCAAGGTTATATTGTTAAAAAAAAACAACGAAATGGATTTGATGGCTCTTATCCCTGATTTTACGACGACACCAATTATTCAGGTATGCGATCATCATCCAGGAGAAATGTCAAGATAGAATTCTATTCTAATTTCATATCACTCAATATCTACTCGTGTGATATAATTTATATAATTTAGCAAGAAACTTATTCAGGTATTAAAATTATAGAGAAAACTCCTCTATTATGAGAAAAGTTTTCAACACCCAAATTCAATCGCAAATCTCTTTTCGCAACGATTACGCAATCTAATAATGAATTATTCACTGAACAGATTTTGTTCCAAGAACAATAAATTCATGGTGAGAATGAACCCCGCTATCCCATATTAGGATCTTATCTCATAATATGGGACTTTTCTCTAGTTTTAGAAATGTGTGTATACATAATATAATACAATTACTTAATTTTATTTCGAATTGCATTTAAAACTATCCGTGTTTATGTAAATGTATCTTTCTATTCCTTAAATAAGTAACATTAGGCAAGACTGCGGTTCTTAATCAAAGTAGGAACATGTGGTTTTTATTATCAAGGAAGAGACATGTTCCAACTCTTGCTTAACTTTTATACTCGATTATCTTAGAAAGAAAGATAAGTTCGTGAAAACATGGATATATTGAAGTATTATTCAAAATAAAATGATATAAATAACTGTTATTTTCTGACGCAATAATTATGTACCTTTAAAATCCCATTATGTAATAAAAAATATATTGGTTGAAAAAATTGTATGAATTCATATTTTTATGTAGGCTGGAATGAAAAAAAACGAATATTTTTACGTAATACAAAGCTCTCAATATCTTACAATGGTTGATAAATGTACAAAACGATTTTACAGAAATGCAGTAATATATGCATATATTTAAATTCGTTTCAAATTGGAATATATCACTCTGTTATTTATAAGAGAGGTGAACAAAACTTGTAATAGTGAAATATTAAAGTAAGCAAATATATAGCATGAACCGCACCTGGAGCACGTTTGTGAGATGCCGCCAAAGGAAGATTCATTGATGAAGATAATCCCTGGAATTTCTCCTTGGTCAAGACTACGACGCTGGTTTTTTAGTACGCTGATAGTGTCGCAAAAACATCCGTTTACGCGATACTGTCTGAAGAGTACCCAGGCGATCGATTACGAGATCAGTCGACACCTCAAATCCCATCCTTATATGATCCATCCCTTTAGTTCCTTCAGGTGAGTTTCTTCCCAGAAAGATTAACAGGCTCAATTAAATAATAAACTAGCTCGGTTTTAATCTCGAAGCAAAATTAAATTGCCATTCTTATGTAGAATATGTTGGGAGTCTGCGATGACACTGTTTATCGTAGCGGCTCTATTGACCACTCCAGTCTTCCTTGCATTTCATTTTAACGAATACGAAAACTGGTACCTCTTCAATATTGCGATCGACGCTGTATTTATGTGTGACATTGTGATCCGGTTCTTTACCGGTTATTATGATTCTAATACACATTTGATAGTTCTGGACCCGAGAGTCGTGGCGAGGTAGGAATACAGTAAGACACGTTTTAAGATCAGCCTACAATAGCTTTGTGTAACTTCTTTAATCTCTGTTCTTTTTAAAATGCGGATTTGAAAGTTTGTTTAGAAAAGTGAGTTCTTCGATGATTTATTTATGAGGCGATAATTATCATAGCAATTATCTACGAGGTTTCTTCGTCGTGGATGTGATACCAGTACTACCACTGGAATTTCTCATCGTTCTCTTCGAGTCCGTGTGGTATTTGGCGTCTTTGAACCTGCTGAAGATACTGTGGATACGAACCGTCATCATTTATGCACGCAGACTCTATTACGTTAGGAGCCAATTCTACTTCCTCGCTACGTAATGAAATCGAAATTCTGCTCACTTAAATGTTAAACATGAAAATTCCAGGTATATCGAGTTAATTTCCATCTGTACAAGGTAACGGAAATCAGTATTATCATCATCGTATGCGTGCACTGGGCCGCTTGTCTCGAGTATTATTTGCCGTTGGCAGTCGCCAAGATAATCGGGCAAAATGACGCGTTAGTAATTGACGTATTGTGCTTCAAATGGAAAATTTTAACACTAACATACATGAGCAAGGCAGTGTTTCTATTTTTTTGCCTTTCACTTTACCATTCGATCTATGTTAGCTTTTATTTTTTAAAGATCGTTCCTGTTGTTTATAAAACATAGTACATCGAGGGAATGTCTTCCCCTCGCAATAATTAAATAAAATGCGCGATCGAGATGAAAAGTAGAAAAACTTTGTAGATCATGGATTCGATCGCCCTACATGACGAAAAGGGAAACAAAACTCGCAATCTACCTGACGTGTGTTAACAGAGCTGTTATCGCCCTGATCGGATCTACGCATTATTTGAATGTCAGCACCCCAGAAGATATTATATATAATCTAATTCTCTCTATCCTCGGATTGCTCGGATTTATTTATCTGCTGGGTACATTCACCATACTTCATTTCACAGTCTTTCTCGTTACAAATTTAAGATTAAGTACTGTGCTTTTGCTAATCGATAATAAGTTTTTCTTCTTCCCAAAATGGTCGTGTAGCACAATTCTTGCAGTTAATGATGACGTTTCATTCTACTCGCAAGAGACACTTGAAATTAATCCAGCAGCTACAACAGTATATGAGGTACAAGGAATTGCCGTATTCGGTGCAGCGACGATTGCTGTCTTACTACAATTACCGCAATAAGAAAGGATTCGAGAGAGACAAGATTATTATCAACCACGTGTCGCCCTATTTGCGAGAAGTACGCGGTACCTTGACAAATTTCCAGCGGAAAATTTACTCTAAAAGATTATCAAAGTAGTTCTTTTATGCAAACACGGCCGGAAACCATTTTGCAAAAGCTGTTTTAGTTCTACTCTACTCGTATTTTGAATACTACTCATTTTCTTGTTTTGTAAAAGAGACAGCACAATTTTTCTTTTAAGTTATATGTTTTTTTATAGAATTAAATTCTTTATCGTTTCAGAAACTTCTTCGGCACAATTATCGCCGATTACTGAATGATGTGGAGCTATTCGGATACCTGCCGGAAACAGTGGTGACACAATTGGTCGGCGCCGTGCGTTCCGAGATTTTCATACCAAACGATACGTTAGTCAAGGCCAGTGCACGCGGTAACGCTTTGTATTTCATCGCCTCCGGCACCGTGGCCGTCTACAATAACGTGGGGAAAGAGGTAAAAGATTTAGAATAAAGAATCTGTCTCATTGTCAGATTCTTGTTTTTCAAACTATTCAGCATATAACTTTGAAGCTTGACTTTGCGTCAAAGTCCTGAAAAATTGCACACTGATCTAAACGCACGCACAAGTCTTCATCGCGTATTTCCGTAGATTTGCCACTTGGAGCAAGGCGCATATTTCGGTGAGCTGGCCCTGCTGATGGAGGATGAGCGCTGGAACGCGAGCGTCGTTGCCGCAGAGAATTGCGAGGTTTATATATTATCACGTGTCGATTTCCAATACGCCCTGACACCGTATCCCGATCTCCTTGCACACCTGCAGAACGTCGTACTCGCGCGTCCGGAGCAGACGCCGCTGCTCGAGAGGGCCCATGAACTGGACTCGCTAATGACGTCCGGGAACGTCAATATCAGCAGTATAAAAGTCAAAAGGAGAGATTAGCTGGTAAATGTCGTGAAAGCCCGTATCAGGAATTTATTTTATTCTCTTCATTTGCCTTAGGTTTAATATATTAACTGCGCTCTCATTTTTATAACTTTTCAATAATCTTACTTATATTTCACTACTAATTATACACAAAACGGCAACATTTTATTACTCTATGAAAAACAGCCTACTGAGAATTAATTATTTCTTTAACGATCGAAACTTGAACAAAGTATTATTCTTCTCGCTATATTGCAACGGATCAACAAATAACAATAATCGCTCGGTATAGAAATCTTCTTTAACGAACAGCAACTTTAAGTCCCCTTTGTCAGGATTATCTCCAGCCTGATCAGAAGCGGCGAGCCTTTCGTTTTTCTGGGTTTCTGTACGACTGCTGGTACACAGACATGAGTCGCCAGTGCTCGGGATAATCGGCGTCCCGGCAGCCGCTCACCACGCTGAACGGCGGTGCCAAGGTGTCGATGCAGAAGGCGCGTCTCGCGAACGGAGTCCTTGGCCGCGGTACCGTCATCCTCGTCGGTGGCAATCCATTCCTGCACTTGACGTCATCGCCCGTCGTCGGCCAAACTTTTTCCTCGAGACCGAGCGCGACGCCCACCGCAGACCGGATGAGCCTCGGATCTCTTCTTCGTCGCTCGAGTTCCGTTTCCGTTCTACCGTCCCGACAGGCCGTACACTTGCGCTCGGTGATGCGCGGCACGGAATTCGATCTTGATGGCTTCTCGCATCGCCGTTCACCACGGAGTTCTACGATCAAAATTCTATTATTGTTATTTAATTTTCTGCTTCTTAATTTTATAGAAAGTTGTAATTCAATTAGAAAGTAAATTATAGGTAAAACGACAGAAAGAGTTTGCCACCGTTTGTGCAGCTTCATCCATCTTGGACCACGATCTTTTTCGCACATTATTGTCGTATGTGACCCACTTTTCATCGCCCGTTATCAATCTCTTCAAAAATGGCTCGATTTCGTTTCGTTTCAGCAGCGATTCGCAGATGGAAATTCGGTCCATAAAATTTTTCACTGTTAATTCATGTGGTACCCAAATATCGAACTTCTTTTTATATCCAGTCTTATGCAAATGGTTCAAAACTGGTTTTTTGGTCAATGTTTAGTTCCGCAGCGATGTCATAAGATGAAATGTGCCGGTCTTCCTCAATTTTTTCGAGAATTTCGTCGACTTTTTCAACGATTGGTCGATCAAAGCGCGGCGCGTCTTTAACATGGAAATTTCCAGAGCGGAAACGAGCAAACCATTTGCGTGCTGCTGATTTTGATAAAGCATCTTCACCATAAACACCACGAATTTTTTCACAAGCCTGCGAAGCGTTATCGCCTTGGTCAAAGTGATATTGTAAAATATAGCAAATTGTTTCAGAATTTTGCCTCATTTTCAAAACGCAATTTCGACTGAATTAACAAATGTCACAATGTTTGTTTTTTTTTAAACAATCTATGGACTCACCTTTCAAACGCGCTATATATGGCTTGATAGAGTTAGTATTACCAAAATTATGCGACTCTAAGACCATCTATTGGGAAAAACGCCACCAACTTTTTCCTTGACCTAATATGACATAAATTTCTAAAGAGCAAATTACTTATTACTTGAATCGACCAACCGCAGTTGAACATTTTCCTTCTCCAAAACTGTCCGAGAATGCTCGATTACGATCGATTCGCTCGCAGTTGTCAAGTCCTTTCTTTCCCGTGTTACATTATTTCTCACCGTTGCAAAAACGGTTGCAGCAGCATTGATTTTTCCTCGAGTCTTTCTCCGCCCGGTTCTGCCTCGCACAATTGCACTTGTCCTCCTCGCTTCGAGACAGAAGCTCGCGATTCTTCGGCACCGGCGTGTGCTGGATCATGGCAAAGATCGCTGGGGCCATGCCACCCTCGGAACCGTCGATATGCGTCGACCTGCGCGGCTCGTACACCGAGTTTAGCGGCGTCTCCCAGCAGATTGCCAGGTCCATTCGAGTTTCCGGTTTCTTGCAGCCGAGCGCGGGTCCAAACAAACGATCCTCCCCCCTCGTTGTCGTAAGTTTTGCACAATCGGGGTTCCACTTGGCGTCTCGCCCACAGCTGGGTGAACAAACGCGACATTCTTTCCTGAATACGGAATCGTCCACCCGATCTGGAAGCGGCTGGTGCTGCAGGTTCTCCGCGTGCAACCGCTTCGCCAGAGCGAATTTGTCAACGCAGGAAGCGATTTCTGGAGCGAGAGAAGGTTCTTTTATTTTACTTTACTGGAATTACGTTAAAGGAAATACAATTGTATTAATTAATAATCATGGTTGGCAAGTAACGCGTTACTTGTAACGCCGTTACCGTTACAGTTACTTTTGTTTGGTAACGAATTGGTAACGGCGTTACGAGGAAAGGAAGAAAAGAAGAGAAAATCTGTTATACGTCACCATTCTGCCGTTCGTCTTCCTCGGGGGTCGTCTGAAGTTGGGGACATTCAGGCGTGTGTCTTCTCGGAGAGAGGATCGTCCGCTTTTCCAAAGCGTGCTTGGATCGGCAACGCTCGCGGGGGTCGTCGCTCTCGCGGACGATCGATTTAGCGCGACAACGAACGCAACGATCGCGCGATTCCATCTTCACTCGGCGGTCGACTACTTCATCCACCGTCTCCTCGTCGTTTTACATAACGGACACGCGTTTCATTACTAATGAGCAGTTGGGAGGGACAGAGGCGAATCCCTGAGGCACATCTTCCAGCGGGAGAAGCTCTGAGGGAGGCTCGACGGGGGTCGCCGCTCCCGCTTACCGTTGTTCTCCATTTTTCGACACTGTCCGGAGAATACTTGAGCACCAGTCCACCATAGGAATGCCTCGATCACCAAATGCTTTACTCCCACTCTCTCGACGCCGGTTTCCCTGACGACATGATAATTCGATATCAAGCTCGTTGCCGAATGCTTGCATTTATTATTATCTCTATTATTAACAAGAAGAATATTATTGTCGCCAGTAATTGACATTAACAACAGGAAGAAAAATTATTTCACGACTTTAAACTGGCTGGATGATTTCATTTAACAATTTATTCCAACGTTTCGACCATCCGGATTGTGGTCCTTTCAAAGGAAATATCTACAATTTTGAAGAAACTTATTATTTATAAGCCGTTCGTATAACAATTGCCATAAGTATAGCCACCGAGACGAAATAAGATTCACAACTCTACACTTACATAGATATCATCCCTCTTTGGATATCGGTCGGAGAAAACTGTGTTTGAAGGCACGTCCATCCGACACAACAGCCACAGTAGGACTACGGTCAGGGACGTTACAACGAAAATACATAGTGAACACAAACTGAAACAAAAAAAAAAGAAGAGCTATTGGAAATGGAATAAGTAATTAGTGTTTGTTTTTATTTATTTGTCGTTCGTGTTCGCTATGTATTTTCGTTGTAACGTCCCTGACCGTAGTCTTACTGTGGCTGTTGTGTCGGATGGACGTGCCTTCAAACACCTCTTTCTCCGACCGATATCCAAAGACGGATGACATCTTTTTTACATTTAAATTTTTAACTAATCTATGTAAGTATAGAGTTGTGAATCTCATAAAAGTGGTCAAATAATCTCTATTATTATTGTCGTTAGATAATAATAATTAGTTATATCATTCTATTATGATCTTGTAATCGGCACTCACGGACGGTTGAAACATTCCCCGAAGCGGAATGCTTTAGCGGAATCCTATTTATTCCGACGAGGAACAAGTGGGATATTGCGAGAATACCGGAGTTGTAATGTAACTAGAGGAAGGTCGCGATGACTTATTGTTAGTCAACTTTATTCGGGCCGAAATGATGTTGAAAACTATGGAAATTGTTAACTCTCGTCTGTTCAAGATCAGGCGCGCGCCAGCGCGTCAATTCACGTCACGTGAACGTAATGCGGGAAGTCGAGGAGAACTCGTCGGGAAACACCGATGACGTCTTCTCGAAATCACGTATTTCCAAATAGAAAATATACGAAATGTAGATCGCGGCGAGTGTACCTGCAGACCGAGGATGCGGAAATGCAAAGCGTCTCATGAATATTATGAATATCATTAACACGCGACGCATATTTTGCAAAAAGGCTTCGTTTTTGCTTGATTGTAGCGATTAAAGCGGGAGGCAATCAAGGACAGACGCGACGACGCGTTTGTATATTTATAGCGGCGAATCCGTGAATGCCTTCCTGGATCATTGCCATTCTCCCTTCCACTCCATTTTGCCGGAAGAAAACCTTGAAGCGCGCTTCGAAATCGCGGCCAGCACCTAGCTAGCGCACGCGACAGTCGTAAACTAATGCTTGTCCGAGTCTCTTCCGTTTTCTCTATATTACTGATAAAATATTCGTAATGTCACCAAGTAGAAGCAAGGTGCGGCGATTAAATGTGTACCTTGCTGAAAAATCACTCGGTTCCGTTAATTCCCTCTTTCAGGAAAAACTATCTTAATGTATGTATCCATCTATGTAAAATCACATAATTAACATTTTGCTAATAACCAAAGTAGGAGTTAACAATTACAAGGACTAATACACTTGTTGTTTTCTTTCAGGATCAAGATTACATACGTTTTAACGAGAAACAACTTGGTCAATCCTTCCCATAATTAATTCTACAGCAAGATTTCAAGAAGAGATAGGGAGAATTCGCGGCGAGTCGTTAATAGCTCGTCGGACCGAGCGTGCGTAGCTTTAATTACGGTAGCGATCGTATGTTTTCCCACAACGCGACACGAAACGAGGAACCCATTGGGGAAACCACGCGGCCGTGATATATTCCCGGTATAAACGTTGTAGCGGCGATCGTGACGCGATGAATCAGTTGCGGCAGCGAGACTAGTGAATCCGCGGACGTCGTGCCACTCGGACAGTCCGCATCGTGAGTCCCTCGTTCGTTCCGTCGAGACCAAGAGGACACCCGCGGTATTTTTTATTACGGCCAGTGAGTATTATCCAAGACATAACAAACTTTCTCAAATTTCATTGCTAGAGGGTGCGCGAGTGACAATGTTCGATTACGTTCTTCAAGACGAGACACTTGTTGAACGCTAGCGGGAAGAAGAACACGAGCGGCAATTGCGCGAGTTAGCTACAAAGTATAATTACGAGGAATGTAATTACAAAGAATGCAAGCTGAGAGAGGAAAAAGCAAGAATGAAATATTTCTACATCTTGTCTTGAATTTAAAAAAAGACGCGGGTGATGGAGGGTTTTATAGAGCAATTGGATCAATGCTAACAGATGTCAGAAATTAACGTGCTAGTGCGATAAACATACATGGTAGTGAAATGTTCAATCGACTTCAAAGTTCATTCGCGCATCTTCTTAACAAAGATATTTTCGGACATAGAACGGTATTTTTTCCAACAATGATGTGACATTGCACGCTGTTTTGTAGGTGATCTTTTCAACTGGTGTCTCTTACGGTTCGCCAATATGAACGAAACAAAGAAGGCCAAGAATGATGAGATACTGTATCTGGACGAGGTCCACGACGAGGTGTCGAGACCCCTGACGTCCACCGACTCGGAGACAGTGGTTCCGTCCATTGGTCTGCGCGCCGGCTTTGTCTCGGAAACCGACGGAGATTCTGCGAGCAATTCGCGATCCCGGAGACCGTCGTTCACCGAAACGGAGATCGGCGAGCGTGACAAGAAACTGGCGCCGCCGATCGGTTTCGACAACAGAAACGGTCTGGAACTTCCCCCGGAATCGCAATCCGGCTGGGGCAGCACCATCTTCCCGTCGCCTGCAGCACCCGTCGTCACCCCTGACGTGAACGTCTATCAGCACAAGAAAACTCTGGCCCAGGGTATGATGGATTTGGCACTGTTGTCCGCAAACGCGAATCAGATGCGCTACGTTCTCCAGACGGATGGTCGGCACCCGTACTTTTATCCGTCGCTCATCATGATCGGCATGAGCTTGTTTCTGCAGATCGCCGTGGGTATTGGTCTTATATGGAACAGTGTCTACAACGTCAAGGAGCACGAGCAAATGTGTAAGGCCAACAAGGCCAATAACTGGACGGTCATCGGCATCTTCCTCGTCACGATTTTCAATGTTTTCATCTCGTCGTTTGGTGTTGTCGATCAGACAATCACAACATAACAGTTTTTTTATCTCTCTCTCTCTCTCTTTCTTATGCGCAATCGTTGTACGCAAAGTGAAAGGCCAGATAAAATATCCCTGTTGTTTTTAAAGTGATACGAGCAAGTTTACTTTAGATTACATACAGGAGAATGTGCTTTCCTGTACTATTATTACTTAATGCATATTAATTATCAGATGTATTCGATGGCGAAAACATTTTTTAATTTTACTTTTAGAACTTCTCGTCACAGTCATATTGATTTATATCAAAAGTGAAAATCGACACAAATTTCCTTTCTTCATACGATTGCTTCTTTAAATATTTTCTCATCATTAGCATAAAAAAACGACGAGGATATTTTAGAATCTGACGTTAAGTGGCTCATTCTACACACACCACTCATTCACATTATTGTAAACTACGTTGACTCATTCGTGTAAAACTCATTTCTTTCAGACACATAAATAATTTATAGTAATAAATAGTAACTTAATACTTTTTTTATTTTCAAATCGTAATAAGCGATAAAATATTTATCATGCAATAATAAATAATTCTTTTTTACGTGATATACGTTTGTAATATAAAACGATATATATAAAAGATGTTAAACGCGAACGACTGATGGTATCAATTCCAACATTTCCTTCAATTCATCAGCCAATCGCTTTTTGTTTCGTTGGAAATTTTCCTCTTCGTGATCCTGGCGCTCGCTCAAATCGTTCAACCAGCTCTGCGCCTCTGCGTTGTTACATTGACTTCTTTGCGCGCGAGACGGGCAATTCAAGACCGAGTTTCTGGAACCACTGCTATCCATCGACTCTTCGAATGTAACAATTCCAAGTTTATCTCTAATTGCGTGACGTAACAGCGAGTTGAATGCGGCGAGATCCCGCGTACGGATTACTCTCGGATTCGATTCCAAAGATCTTCTGTGCTCCTGAATCACTGTAGCCTGCAATGCACATCGTTGCAGTTGTGTTGCAATTAGTACAATGTTGCCAAAAAACTTTGTGATTCACTATCTAATCCTATTCTTCGGATACTCGCGTCGAGTTAAAATTTGATCTAGGTAATTTTTATTGTTCTGGTTTTATTATAAAGAAAACTAGGACTTTTACAAATATTTTTTTGTGTTTGGGAGATAAGTTTGGTACTTTTCGCAGTCTTTTTCTGCGAGCCGAGCAAAATATGATCTTTGAGTTGTTCTTTCTCTACTAAATGACGAATAATGCCACTTTTTTTCTCTTGTATTTTATTGGAGGAAGAATAAGACAGTTTAAATCGCGATGAATACGGCCAACTTTTTGTCTCTCACTATCAATGTAATGGAGTCCACTTTCTTTATCTCTTCTGTCTCTCTTTTGTTAAGTTCCTCCAGGAAATATTTATCGCACAATGAATGCTTATGGAATGCCTGTGATAGCGATATCTGCACGAGACATACACGTTCACGAGAGAGAATATAATTATCAGTAGAACCGCTTCATAGAGAAATGTTGGAAATTCAAGAAATGGCTAGAAAACGTAGATTCTTCATTTTTATCGCGACGTAAACGTATTTTCCGCATCATGATAGATAGGAAGAAAGCGACTCGACGCGAATCACTCTACGTCTGGCACTTTTTTTCTCAAGGTTTACCATCCAGTTGAAGAATATATGCCGTTTTCGCAGCCACTTGGCGTTCGCCTCGAGCAGGGTGCCGATCTCGCGGAATTGCCGCAATTGCTGCCGATCCTTCTCAGAGCTCCCGCCTTCTCCGCTGCCGAGGACGCGCGCCCTCGCGAGGCGTTTCGTCAACGCTAACTCGGACACGCTCAAATGCGGCAGACCACTCACGTCGAGACTCGCTGCGTGCACTTTGGATATCAATTTCACCCGCTCGCGCGCTAACTCGTTAATCTCTCGCAAGTTTAGATTTACCGTGGCGTTCAGGTGCAGGATACTGCTAAATTTGGCGCTCGTTGATAACGGCCGATCATTCGGTACGGCAGCTGACGACGGAGACTAGATCGGGGACAAAAGTAGACCGTCAAAAACAGTTGCTTTCAATACGTACAGAGCATTCGACAAGAATGGGACCCCCCTATTATGTCCAAAAGTAGGGTAAAGGCACCTAATATCGCCCAAAACGTGAAATATCGCCACTCGTGATATCTCGTCAACAAAGCGCTGATTACGCAGGTGTCCGTAATAATATGCGCCATCATGTACATGCATTTTTTCAGAATAAAAAAAAAGAGTAAAAAGAGCACGCATTGACTCGATATATAAATATTTTGAAATAGTGTGTTATATATTATATAATAAAATTAATAACAATGGCTCGTATGATAAAGATCACGTATATATAAAAAGGGGGCTCAGAGCCTAGACAAGGTTGTAGTGTTTAATAAAAATTATTCAATTAAAAAAGAATATACGTTTTCCGCTCCTTATTGGACCATCATCAGTATAAAAAAAAGAAATAAATACAAATTAACGCATGGGAGAATTCGCAAAATAGATCGTACAAAGGATTACGTCAATAATATAAAAAGAAAAAGATATAAAAACTGTAATAAATTGTAGAACGGTCGTACATAAAAAGCGGCGCTAGTGAGCGTAACGTTGTGAATTAAAAAAGAAAGTTGGAATCAAAAGTGTTGAACTGTATGGATGACGTTACTGTAATAAATATTGTATAATATAAGAAAAAAATTGTTTGGATACCTACAAACGTTTATATGTAAAATAATAAATATCTATAGCTTCACAAACTCATAAATATTGATAAACACTAATTTAATACAAATTTATAAGACCCCTGATTTTACCGGTTTTTTTCTTTTTAGTGTGGCTTAAAATGTTTTAGATTTGAACTATACTAACTTATTGTACATGAAACACAAATGTTTCCCTTTTCATTTGAGACTAAATACAGAGAAAAATGTCAATTACAATTTGAATTTTGGTAGGCGATATTAGGTGCCTTTACACACTTTCTTTTTTAGGGGAGTTCACTTTGACCACTGATATGACAACGTATCCGAATGTAAAATTTCCCGCCCTTTTAAAATCCGAAAAAAAATCAAAGTTGACCTTCAAGCGATCGTCAAGGTCACGAAAAGATAGCACTTCATGGCCCCTACAACTTTTATTCAGAACATTTTCCGTAAAAATGTGTACTTGTGGAAATAATAGGGGGTACCACTCTTTTCGCATACCCTGTGTATATGAATGGAAAAAAAGGCGCAGAAAATTTTTCTTGGCTATACGAGAGACCGCAAAGAATTTGGAAATTTTCCATCCTTAAATTTGAAAGTTTAGATACTGACTTCCGGTGGATCTACGCGCGAGCATTCGGCGCCCAAGATGCTATCAGCTAGTTTCGCTCGAAGAATGGCCGTCAGACCGTTCTGCGTTCCTAGCAGCCAACCTAAGGCTATCAACGCGTCCCGGTTGTACTGGCCGCTTTGCGGTAAGCTGTAAAATTCGATCACCGGGTATTGCAAGAATGCGAGATGCAACTTGACCGCCGACGGCGCATCTGGAAACACAACGTGTAGTCTTTTTAAAAAAGAGGCATCAAACGCGCCCACGTTGCGTGCAAACAAGTATTTGTTGTTTTCAATAAAATTAGAAAGATGAAAATGTAAAAAGTAATTTACATAAGTTTAAATCAATACTTTTTTCTGTAAAAAGAATGGGTAATATAATATTTCTTTACGCGACATTTTTCCACAGGCGCGTGCATACGATACCTTTCTTTAAGAAAAGAAAAAAAGTACCGCACGCTAAGAGATCGTGTATCCGTTTTTTTTCCTCTTAAATGCCGACAATAAGAGCAATTTAACTCCGTAATTATAGCAGTTACGTGTAGACAAAATCGTAGCGCAAATTTTTTTTTCCCTCGTAAAATCCAAGTGACGTGCACGTTTCTTGTAAAAACAAGCAAATCAGAATGCAAATCGGTTGAGAAACGAACCGTAATCTCGGAAGTGTACGTCGCCTCGTGTCTCTCTCGTGGCGTGACAGCTCAGAACGCGCAACGTGCTCCACAGCGTCTCAGCCTACGGCAGAAAACATATATTCCGTACCGTCGGGTGAAATAGATTAGGGTTAGGTTAGGTTTGTGGCAGCGCATTCGAATCTCCAACATCGCTGTACTCACGACGCTTTCGTCCGCGGCGTTACACTTGGCCAGCCTCAGGTGCTCGGACGTTATATCCACGTTTGTCAATGAATTAACGAGTCCGCATAACGTCGACAACGCGTCTCCCACATCGGACATGACGGCGCAAGATCAACAGGTTGACGGGCAAAGAACCGCGCTGTCTCACGCGCGCGCACGCGCGTTCACTCGTGTCGAGCCCGCGCGAATCTCTATCGAGTAACGTCGCTTTTACTTTTCACTTTGTACGAATAAATGCGCTCCGTTTGGAGTTTCTTTTTAAGAAAGAAAAGGAGCCGCGCTCGGGTGAGCCCCACTACCATCGTCGACGGCGGAGGAACGAGAAAAAGTGTTTGGATATGCGCGTCTCGATTTTCGCGTCGCGGTCAGTCCTTGCCCGCGGCTGCTCCTCCTCCTCTTCCTCCTCCTCCCGGAGCCTACGCTGGAATCTACGCGCCAGAAACGAGTCAGCTCGTCTCTCCTTCTCCTTCCCGCCTCTCTTCTATCCGCGGAGCCGTATCATACTGACCGATCGGTCGATGGTCAGTAACTGATGCCAGGCCAGCAGAGAACGTTTGCCACATCGCGACAGCGGTGGTGGGGATGGCTCCTGTGCCGCACACATATACGGGAACCATCCCTACTATCGTGAGTCGAGTGGCGTCAAGTGGCGTCGAGTCAGTCGAGTCAGTCGAGTGGCTCGCGGCAAACTTCGTCTGCTGTTCGAGTCCGTCTTTTTGAGATGACATCGAGGGCTTTTTTTTCGAGAGGGATCGCCTGCCTGGCGCTCGTTCTGGTGAGAGACCGTCGCGTCGGATACGACTCTTATTGTAAAAATTAACGCGCACACATGCCTTATATGTATATTAATTCTCTCAATTTTTGAATCGTTAATCGCTCGAGCGCGCAACGCCGCGCGTGTGGAAGCCGTGTGCCGTTGAAAGGCGCGGAAACGTGTCGTACGCTAACAGCGTAAAACTCTTTACCGCGTCTTTTCGTTCTTTCTGTGAGAAATGAAAGACGCCGAGCGACGCTTGAGACAAAGTATCGATAGTGAAAAGAATCGCGCGCGCGCGACTACTGCCTCAAATATGTTTATCCCCAAGTTGCTCTCTCTCTTCCTTTTTCGAATATATCGGTCATACACATTCCAGTTTTATCTCTTTCACGACCCAACGTAAATCGCTTTACATTTTTGTCCACTTACTAATGCGCGACGAGGTTTCGAAATAACACGTTTCGGAAGCGTTGTAACACATATCGAATGCGCGATAATGAGACGATGACAGACTTCGCTGGTGGAAGTGTTCCACATTTAGAAACGAGTAATTAGATTTACGGATCGGCGATCGAATTCAGCCAAAATGTTTTCGCAACCCTACGACCTGGACGGAGGTTTTATCGCGTTTTATATAATCTGTTCGCGGCTACACGTACGCTTGCATGTAACGGAATCTTATACCGCCTCTCGGTGTCAGCCTCAGTATAGAAATGATTTATCTGCCTATTATCGCCTCTGTTCCCTCGCGAGCACGCCCGCGCTATGCGATTTCCGCGGTCGGAGAACAGGACGGTTCTTTCCCAAGCGAGCGCGCCTACTTGGCGGAAAACGGCTTATTTTTAGAGAAGGAAAAACTCCCCGAGCCGCGATTCGACTCCTTTTTCGTTCCCGCAGGTCAGCCAGACGGCGCGTCTAATCCAAGGACATCCTTGCGCTTCTACGACGAACGTTCCGGAGGCGTCGTCACCCGCGGAAAATCCCTCGGCGCCGGACAACACGTCGATTTCGAGATTGATCGAGGCGGCGTACAAGAACCACGAATTGCTATCACCGCAACAGTGGTCGCAGCAAACCAACGACGACGACGACGACGACGACGACGATGATGACGACGACGACGACGACAACGACCACCATCACCACCAGGAGGCCGGGCGGACGCAACGGGAATCTTTGAGCGACGGAACGACGCGACATAGTAATAGGAAGTTGCTGCAAGGCACGTTTACCTTGCACGAGTGATCAACATCCTTCGTCAGCGATTCTCGACAAACGAATCAATAATCATTTGTAATCCGATCGAGACTGGTGGTTTTAGCACGCAATCACGCATTTAGTTGAAACACTTGCGAAAGGTAATTTATTGCCTACTTTTGATTCATAATAAATGTCTCTGTTGCAGTGCCGAGCACGACCGTTTCTATGTCGATGCACAGAAACTCGGACGAGAAGATCGTTTTCCCGGACGGCACGGTCCCGTCGATTTCGCCACAAACGCCAGTCTGCCGCAAGAGCACATTCTGCGAGAACGTCGCCGACTATCCCAGGCAACTGGTGAACGCGGCGATATCGCGGAACGCCAGTTTGCGATTCTTGGAGAGCGTCGATCCGGTCAGAGATTATTCGTACAAGTCTGTCACACGATTGCGCGCCAACGATTCCTCGTATCGTTGCGTCGAAATCAACATTTTTTTTTATATTCCGCTGTAATTGTACATCTGCGTATACCGACGGAACAAAGCATCGTGAAACCGACGTAATCGTGATGGGTTACGTAAACTTGGGCGAAAAAGATCAACTCTATAGCAGGTTTCTGTTGTAACCAAATCAGTATATACACACGCGTACAACGAGGAATCGGGAGCTTGAGATTAAAATCATTGTTACAAAAGTATTTTTAAGCGTTACCAAGCGTCGCAAATAGAGTTGTACCGGTTTTCATTCTCGACATTGGTTTATCTCATTTATCAAGTTGGTGTGCGTTTTTTCAGATGCCAGACATTGAACAGAGGATAGACGTGGCGGATGAATCGCTTTGCCGATTTCGCGTGAGTCGACGTTTATTGTTTCTTTATACTTGCTTAATTTACATTTCTCTGTGTGCTGCGTAAATGATATTTCAATTCATCATTAATCGTGAAATTGGCAGGAACAAGTGGTATATCCACAGTCCGCGCAGAACAAGGAAAAGCAATGGTTATTCATCGTGAATCAGGACAACTTGAGGCAAGGGATACGCATCGAAGTTTGCTTGTAAGAGCGTGCAATTTCATGTAAAGAACGGTAACGTGGAAATGGAATCTCTTGGTGCACAATGGGTTTTTCATTTCGCAGGAACGACGGTCAGGCGTGCAGCATGATCGACGGTTTCGCCGAGGGCTACAAGACTACTTGCAAACAAAAGTTTATCTATCGGGAATTAGCGGCGGTGGGAAACGACGGTAACATCTTCAAGGATCAATTCCGTTTTCCGTCGAGCTGCTGTTGTCACGTCAAGTTTGTCGGCGATCCTACCGCCAGGCTGGGACTGGGACTAGATCTGCCAACCAATCGAACACAATATAACAGACCGAGCGCCTTTTCCACATCGTCGATGCTTCGATAGGATAAACGACGTTCGGTACGTCGCATGTTCGCACCGAATGATTAGGATGACCAAACTCTGATTAATTTATCAAATATAATGTCTATACTGTTAAATATCAACAAACCATTACTTGCCGTTAATTGCTAACGGTAGTAATTTTTTATCTCGCGCATGAAAACCAATTATATAGTTGGAAATTGTGCTGTAAATAATTCTTTTGATTAAATTAATTGTCGAGCTTGGTCCGAGTCGTCAGCGGTTTTGGTTATCCCTTCTTCTCTCTCCGAGAGAAATAAAACCTACTTCCTGTCTTCGTTCTCTTTCGCGCCGCATGCTCGGTCTATTTATATTGCGTCTATGAATCGGAGGACCACCACCGTGTGCCGAGAGTACGAAGAAGGAAGTAGAGCAGAAAAAAATTTGCAAGCCGAGAACATTCGGCGATATTGATTAGCAGGAAACGGTACTGAGGTTTCTCCAGGAAAAAAAACTATGCAGTTTTCATATAAATATCGCCAGTGCTCTCCTGTATTATTAATATGCGAACAATATTCGACAATAGGATAATAATTACGTGTATAGAATTATATTATCATGTGATATTATGTGATACGATTACTTGTATGTTAATTACACGTTGTATCTTCTAAATCTTACCGAGTAATTTTACAAATAAAGCGATCCGTTCTTCGTTCTTGTACACATACTTGTTTTCGCATGGAACGTCAGGTCGTCAACAAAAGGCACAATGTATCTGTCGAATATTTCAGTATCTTTTTAGACAATGTCTTGAGTGAAAAACAGGCAAACTCTTAAATGATTATCTGTACATCGCAATACAATGATTTCTGGCAGTTTTCCGTTGAGAGCAAGTCACAGAGATTTGTTGAGTGTAAATTTGTCTTAATTCCCTAATGGATCGTACAAAATGCAATCTTGTCCATATGAAAGAAATGCGCTCCTCCCTTGGACGAGTAAGGAACATGTATATCGATATATCAAAAAGAAAACAGCTCGCTCGTCTTTCCGCTGCATGGTAAAGCTCTCTCGCTCTGTCTCCGTCGTTTGAAATACTCTGCATCGACGAAGCTGTCCTCCTCAACATGTCTGCGATAGAAAGGGCAAATGAATAAAAGAGCGAAAGGACTATTTTGCAGAGGTGAAGGTAAAGAGAAATGACGGGGGATGGAGCGTACCTTGGCGCTAAAGTCACCGTCGAAACCACTCTTCCTCTGCATCTGTGCCTGGAGGTCGGCCAGATGCGCGATCGACATGTCGACGTCGCCGCTGCTGATGTGGGCCGTGTGTCTAAAGTTGGTGGGCACGCCAATCATGCTCCGGTCTATCCTGAGCCTCTGATGCGGCCTACCGCCGTTCCGTCTGTTGTTCCTCGCCGCCCGTGGCGTCAGGCAACACGTGAAACATTGCACCCAGAGCTCGTTGTTACCGGCCATCTCTCGGAAGCTATTGTCCTTGGATAACTGGCAATTGTCAAGTCGGACAGCTCCGTCCTCGACACCTCGCGGCGATTAAGAGGTTAGGTCTGCGGTGGAGATGGCGAGCGTGCTCAATCCTTGCTCGCGCCGGTCTCATCGGCCGACGAGCCGAGCGACGCCAACGTTCCCGTGGAACGCGCGGCTCGCGGCTGCGAACAACATTGTTCCGTAACACCGGAGGACGATGAGGATACCCAAATCCAACGGCGCGGCGCTCGCGGAGACAAAGGCCAGCAGCAGCACCAGCAATCTTCAAGTTGACAACGACGCGGCGGCGGCGGCGGCCCGTTTCACACGATCGCCATTCGCAATTCCTCACGGATCCTTTTTACATCCGTATCCGTTCTTTGTGGCTCCACCACCTTATACTCTCTGCACTTCAAATCACATAGGTGTATAACTGGATCTTGAGAGACGAGTCTTTCTCACGTGCCGGAAAAGAATTTTAACATTCCTTCTTAAAACTTTGTAAAAAAAACTATTTCCTTGCAATTTCTATGTAACCAGGAGGTCAATTTCTGATTTCTTCTTTGAAAAAAAGTTTGCATCAATCAATCTTATTAGCTATTATTCGACCGTGCGTTCTCCGAGTGTTTGCAATCGCAATGTAGATGGTGTAAAGTGGGCTTCTGAGCTCCGTTGCTCTTTTTACCGCTTTATCTTCGTCCTCCTTGTCCCAACCGTGGTGTACAATACAATTTGTATACAATGCGTTCAAGGTCGATATAACATATTCCTGAGAACTGAGATTCAGCAGGGAGAGGGAGAGAGAGAATTGCAAGCTCATCGGTTAATATGAAATGAATAAACATTATCCAGTGATCTTTAGTAACGTTAGCTCACTCCAACAGAATTTACAACAGGTGTCGGCATCAAGTTCATATTTTGCTGGTAGAGTCTGCGGGTAATGGCGTAATTCCATAGGAGAAACCGAGCAGAATCGATCATTTCATAACTACTTAAATGCAATGCATTATTCAAACGATTGCGAAACGGCAACTTCTACTCTACTCGGTTTTCGTAGCCATATTCTGTTAGCCGTTTCTGATATATTTCTGCCGATGAGATTTGCATATACCGTTACAGACACTATGTAAAATCTCTTTTTGACAACTCTTTCGCGAAACATATCTTTTTAGTCACACGAGATCAACGTAGAAACATTTACCGCTGCAAGATCTCGCTGCATAAAAAAAATCGTTTATGCAGCGAGATCCGTAAATTCTCCCTGGATTTACGACAAAGATTCGACGGCGATTATTCCGACTATTGACGATATAAACTTTCAATGACATTTACGTTCCATTAAATTTATAACGAAGAGCAATGATGAGTTGGCAAGAGGTATGTAAAATGCCAGCTAATACATTTTATTTAAATAAATTATGTACAGGTGCGTTTTTCAGAGCTGAATCGTGACGTTCGATCCACGCCTTCTTTTTTATCTATCTTAGAACATAAATTAAAGTGTTAATTTCTTTTACGATAAATTGACTGCAAAGGCCTTCGCTCTCTCGTGTGTCCTTCGATCCTCCCCTACCTCTTCACTCCAGATAAATCTTCTTAGGTCTCTTTCTTGAACGAGTCCCTCTTCCGGTCAACCCGTTCACGAGATGTGTTCACGCAGATGTTAGAAATTATCACAGTCTGTCTATTTACAGCGTTAAATGTTAACGTGATGGTCCTAATCTAGAGAATTAACATCGCTTTCCTCTCACGCGTCTCGAATACTTTGTACCGCACATTTACTGGCGTTTTAACGTTAAAAAAACTCGTCAAAAAACACCATGTGCGTCCGCCCACACACCCACACACACATACGCGCATCGCCATACCAACCCTAAAAGTGGAATTTGCGAAACGGATAATACTTTAATTGTAGGTATGTGTGAATCCAAAGGAAATGTTTCTCGCACGAAAGCGAGCTCTGCTAAGAAAGTAAATTTACGCATTAATGACATATATAGACGTATCTATCGAGTATCGGACAACTTATCGGCGAATTCGTACAGTTAAAAACAATAATGCTGTCCGGTTCGAACGTACAACTGCATTTGCTGTAGACATGGCATGAATAAGGTAGTACTCATAGTCCAATTTTATATTCAAGAACGTCATAAGTGATCATACAGTCATTTCATTAGCTGGATATACTACTCGAGACGATCTCAAGTACAATATCGGGCTGTACCGTTCATAGTATTGGTTCCTTACAGAAGAACGCGATGCCAACCAACTAGGACTACGATATGAAGTAATAAATACTTGTGAAAAAATATATTATCGCTGGTCCGCACTCGCAATCGCGTACTGCACGTTTCCGTGGTATTCTTTTACAATACTATTACGTCTATTATCAATAACGATGCGTAGTCTAAAACAACAATTCGCGCGGCACTTGGTTTCTTTTATATCATATCCGGCTATTCGTTGATATCAATTCAACAAAGTCATGCTCTGCCTATTCATACCGAGTCTATTGTTTGCACGCCCGATTTCGATAACCTCGTTACATCAAAACTGGACAGCATTTTGCTCCCTCTTACACACATACACACATACATACACAGAGTTTGTTTACAATAGTATATTTACATTTAACGTACTTACATACAAAACGTCACGTTAGTAAAAATTCCCGGTGTGATCTCCGATATATACATGGTCATTTAGGGGCGCGCAGTCGCAGACCTTGAAATTTCAACTTAAAGAAAATATAATTCGAGATGAGAGCACCCAAAATTGTTACAGAAATAGAATTTTGTCATACAATTAAAACAAAGCAACTTATTAATCGAGTGAATAATTTATCCAAGTGAAAACGTATGAATCTTTCATTAAAATTTTTCTCGATCATGCAATCAGGATGGAGTCACGATGGGAAGGAGAGTGAGAGAGAGAGAGGAACAGTGTTTTCTGCTCAAGGATAGGAAATTTGCAATTGTGTCACATCTTTGAATTTAGGCAACTCTACAGATTCCCCCTGGAATAGGCCACCTCCGATCGTTGGATGTACACTTGGCGTCGTTACGTTCTCATATTTGAATTCGGCACTTTTGGATCAAATATATCGCATCTAAATATTCTTGCGTCGTGATTAAAAAATCCTTAAAATTGTTTATGACATTTAATATTTTATATGCGTCCCAAATTGTCAAGAATCACGGATGCCTAGACACGATTTGCATTTAGGCTTTCGTGATTCCGAACGAAATGTCTAATTTCATATGCGAAGATGTAAAAGACGCCAAATATACGATGATCGCACGGTACCTGCCTCCTGAACGGAGGTCGAAAATTCGTTACTATGGTCAGTCTCTTCCTAATCGGGTGAGTTGAGATTAGTTCAGGTGGGTCATTCGGCATGATGACGTGCATAGTAACAAGTAGAAAAACATGTCTCCAAGTTATAGCTTTAAGATGAATTTTTCTCAATGTCTCAAATTCATAAAAAATTTACGTGTACCTAAGTAGAGAATATAATATTAAAGAAAATTTTGCAATCAAATATAATTTTCGAATGGTGTGTATGCGCGCGCGTCGAAAATTGTTGAATAATCAATGATTGAAAATAAATAACAGCTCGACTTTTCAGAAGAGAAAATCTAGGAAAAAATTGCATGTAAGTCTCAATTAATTCTATAAAAGTGGACGTCTAAATCAAATTTTAATTTAAACATTTTCTCTCGAGGATACGCGATAAAAAAGGATACGCGAGCTTTTACGTCCAGTGAAAGAAACAAGTTGAAAGAGATGATTCTGAGACATCTTACGTGAAAATTATTTGCATGTCTACCGACGAATGAACAACCGGGCCACCATAGCCTAGTCTTTCTCCTGAATCCTTACAAACTTTCGCGCCTCCCTTAAAACTAAATCAAGATATAGTCAGTGTCAGGTACGACGGATACTTTTTGTTTTGCAAATTGTAAACTCTACGAATTTATTCCAATGTAAATGAGAGATGGAAGTAATAGTTAATAAATCCACTAAAACAAATGTAGTTTTTCTTCAAGTTACGACAGACGAAAACTTTATTGATTGTAAACGGCGGTAAGAGCTAAAATATAAAGATAACAAGTTGAAAAATGGAAAAGTTGCGATATGAAAAGCAACTTGAAAATGTTATATTCTCGAAAAATAATTTCAACAAGTGAAACGTGGTACATGAGTTTTTGTGAAATACAATCGTTACAAGAGATGTGATTCGTCGAGTCATAGAACCGTGAAACTCGGAATTTACGTAGGAATAAACCTGCAGAAATGATTAAACAAAAAGTCTGCCGACCGTCCTGACGTTTGCGTATACAGAACGTGCGAGCTGAGCGACAGATAGTATCCTATCGAGCGAAGCCGAGGAAATCGGTGAGCCGGTCGTTCCAATCGTGGAGCCAATGGGTGGGCCCGTGGGTGGGCTGACGTTGCTTGCACGGGTTGATCTCCTTCTCCGGCGGCATGTATTCCTCGCTACGTATGCAGAAGTAACTCTTGATCGGGCTGCGACACATCGGACACCGGTCGAGCTTGCCGAAGCACGAGGCGCAAATACAGGTGTGTCGGCACGGTAGTAGGGCGCGCGATAACGGGAAGTATTGGCAGACGACGCAGAGCTGCTCGCCCGCGGTGTTCCAGAGCGAACCGCCCTCCTGGTCGCCACTTTGGCCGGACGCCACCAAAGCGCCACGACCGCCGCTGGCGGTGTCGTTGTTGTTGCACGGCTCGGCGAGCGCCAGAGCCGGCGAGCCTAGACCTGCCGACGACATCGCGTCGCTCTCATCGTAGTTGCTCGAGTTGCCCGTGGCCAGGTACAATTGCTGCGAGAAAATTGCCAATGCGATATGTCGTTTGTCAGTGAGCGACTTTCGACGAGAGAAACTTGGCGATCGTTCCTCTTGGCACGTTATCATTTTTGGAATATAATCCGACGCTCGGGAGATTCAATAGCAATGACACGCGGTAGGATTCACCCTTAGGAGCTAATCGTTTCAACTTGCACTCACCTTCAAGCAGGACAGTTGGCCGTTTGCCTGCTTCAAGTACTGCGCTAGAATCGACGTTGGCAACGTGCACACGCTGTCCTTAATGTGAACAACATTCACCAGGGCCACCTTAAACGGAGATCAATGTCACGGGAGATGACGCGAATAACAAAATCGAAACGAGGTCCTTTTCTTCTTTTACAGAAATGTTAAAGAAATGACTCACGGTTTCGTCGGGATGGGGATCTCGGTTGTCTCTTCGAGTGAGAAAGATCACCAAGGGATAGCACAGCCGCGGAGGGGTGCCGAGCTCCAGTTCCGGGGCCGGTAGCGACAATCTCAACGTTTCCTCGCCATGCGGCTGTCTACTGCAGTCTCGGTCAAGGAAAGGCAATTGAAAGATGTAGACGCGTAAAAAGAAAACATGAAAAAACACACAAATAGCGTTCTTCGAGCGAGCGTGATCGGTCGATACGACTTTTTCCGATAGGACGTGATTAGATTAGACTCGCGGAACTCGCGTAAGATCGCGTGCTGATCCTGCGGTTCGTTCCCAAAGGATACGTTTGCGGTGGCGTGAGGTATTGCGCGTGCCCTTGTAGAAGGGTCCCGTTCAGGGATGCGTCCCGTAATGTGCTCCAAGGCTTCCAGAGCGCCAGATGCAGCTCTCTTATGCTGACGCCCCAGATCGCCTGCAACGAGTACTCCACTTGGCTCGACACCTCGCACTCCACCTCTGAAACAGACCGTTTATCCTTTTCAGAGAGTTGTAATCAATGGTCCAACACTACCTCGATAGCGCGAGTTGCAGGAAACAGTCATTTCTGTACGTGACGAGTATCATTTGCAACCTGGGGACTTTAAACGGCGGTTTAATCTCGGCTTTTCATTCGTATCTCGTTAGTGTTGAAATACCATTCTCTCGCGTTGATCAGACGTTGCGTTCTGCAAACAGCAAAAAAGCAAGAGAAAAGGAGGAAAAAAGAATGAATCGTCGACAAACTTTCGTCCATCGGTCAATTAGCAACAAGCACGTGCAAGTTTAAGTGTCAAGATCAACGCAACGATCGATCAATAACATAACGTTCCCGAGTTATGTCACTACGCTCGTGGACAAGATCACAGCTCGAGGAGGAAGAATCGAGGTCGTTTCCTAATTATATTTTTCTCGCCCAATTATCATCGTCATTTCATCCATCCGTTTGCTTAATCGGCGATTATCGCTTTACGAGAGGAAGATTAAAAAAGAAGAAACAAAGAAAACGGGGCCAATCGGGCATTAGCTCGATCGCTTTACGCCCCGTTTACGCTCGCGCAACAATTCGGCTCGGATTGTAACGGTACATGGCGCAATCGAGATATCGAGGCAAAACGCGCGCGCGCACACTCGTGGGACTTGAACGGCAGACCGGTATTACTACGACTACGAAATTTTAGTTTCTTTTCTCAGCGACGTCGGTCGAGACGCTCGCCACTTAATTGCGCAAACGGGATTTTGCAACGCTCTGTAATTTACCACCCTGCAAGAGCCGCCGGTGCTTTTTCCGCCGCTGGAGAACGCACCGTCGATCGCATCGCGGATGCGATCTTGCCTAATGCTAATCGCACTCTGCAGCGTGGGGCACCGGACCACCGGACATTTCAGGATGCCTCTTTTAGACGCGTCGATATCGTCGATGCATCAAGCCGTTGAAAATATACAATACGGAATGTACAGAATATAAATAGAAGCGGAGTGTGCCATGGAACGGCAGAAATATAAATAGATCCTGCTGGAAAATTGCGCGGATATTACGAGTGAAAAGCAACTGCAAAGGCTAACGCAAGAGATATAATGAACGCAAAGTGGCGCAGGTAGTTGTTTGCTATTAATATAACGTTCTTCTCTACTGCAATTCTTCGCCGGTTTTCGGCAACTTTCGTTTCGGTAGTGCACACGTGTGCCACGTGCGCTCCACTTGGATACCTACTAATCGTCTTATATTTACAGGACTACGAATTCATTATTGAGAAATAGATGTAACGTAATAACCGCACTATCGTCTAATAAGCATCGATATACGGCACAACGTTACGATTATGTTACATTTACTAGTGAGAACATTCTTTACAGTTACTTTCTTGCAATAAAAATAAAAATATCAAATCTGCATTTGTTACGCAAATGCAAGGTCTAATGCCCGTTCTACACCTAGAGATGATCCTACTTGTGGCTCATCCGAGTGAATAAATAAATGGACAAAGATCGTCGTATTGAGACCATTTGTGGACTCGGGTGCCATTTCTACAGAAGAAGACGGTTAAAAATCATAGTGAAATCATACAAAAAAACCGTGTGCACAAGTCACAAGTAGAATCATTCCTAGGTGTAGAACGGGCATTATGCGATCTGTGCAAGTTTAAAAAAATATATATAAAGTAACTGTAACGAGTTACTTTCCAACCCTGGTTTAAATTTCCAAAATATATACTTTTTTAAAAAAAAAAAAAAAGATGTGGCACGATTGCGAAATTCCAACGTCACCTATGCACATGGAGGTGTTTGCCGTCCTCTAGATGTGGCCTATTTTCTGTTAATAATGACAAAACAAATGTAAACAGTGACGAAAGGTCACTGCAAAGCGTTGAATTCTAGAGAGGCCACTCTCTTCCAACTACGCAATTCCAAACAACGTGAACGAGCGAAAACGGTCGCTTTTAATTTACAATTGTGCATACGAAATCGAGTGCACACGCGCGATATTTTCACCCGACTTGCGAAAGGCTGACCTAACTGGTGACACCGTGGTGATACACGCAGGTGTCTCGTCCTTAGTGCCGGTCGCAAGAGTTCGAGGCAGGAGCCTCGGCGGTATTACGGCGCTGTTATTTCACGGCTGGTTACTAAAAATTATTGCGTAAGAAACGCGCTTTCGACTCCTCTCTCTCTCTCTCTCTCTCAGTCTCATTCCGAGAGATAACCGTGTAAGGGAACCAAAGGGGTTTTCAGGTCGCGTCACACTTTGCTCCGGCTACCGCGCTCTTCTCTAATCACTTGACGATCTCACGAGAAAGAGGGGGGGAGAGAGAGAGAGAGAGAGAGATGAATTGCTGAAACGCCGGAAACGATTGCACCGTTATTCTCCGAAACGAGAGAAATTACCCCCTTTTGAATTTGATTGAGGCAAGATGAATTGGAGTCTAGGTTGTGGTAGCCTCCCGCGACTCGCCGTCGGTAACTTTCACTTTCGTTCGCCTCTCGTAAAATACCGCGAGATCTCGAACGTGCGCGCTTCGGATTTCCGTGGGCGCGAATCTAATCCACTCGTCCCCGCGCCGTTCGTTCGCAATTCGCGACAGCGTAAAACCGGCCCGCAAATGACTCACAATTGCAATCGTTTCTCGTCTTTGTCTTCAATTTTCTTCCTTCTTTTACCATATGTTTTTCTCCATTCGCCGCGCCAGTTTTGAAGAGAATGCAGTCGTTGAGCGAATCTAGCACATCTTTTTGTATCTTTGCAAGAAAAGTGTATTCTTTCATCCAGAAGCAATTTCGAATAAATCTATATCTATGCTCTTTACATCAGACACTTTGTGTCAAGTACTTTTTGCTCGTAACGTAATCCGTACCAGGAATCGCTCTCCTATCCGACTCGAGACGCGATTGAATCGAGGTAACTGTCTAACAATAAGATGCAATTATTTTCCATTTACTTTAACCCTTTGAAGCAAACCCACGTTACCACTTCAATTTCTTTACTTTTTCGCCATTTAATGTCTAGAAAACGCATTTAGGTCGGGTTTTTTGCATCTTTCGGAGTATCGTAGCAACAAAAAACATAAAAAAAAGTTGAGTAGCCTTTAATATCTATTGTAAAAGTTTTATAAATAAACAAACATGAAAGAAATAGCAATTTTTCGGCTAAAATTTCTTATTGACCAAGTTTCTTAAGATTATTTCTTGAAAACTTTGTAGAGAGGGGTTTCGGGGTCGCTCATTACAAATCTGATGTCGTTAGCTCTAAGTAAATTCTAAGAAATGATAAAATTTCAATTTTGCATCCGCCATTTCACACGCGCTATTTTTCATATTCCATAATAATTTTCTAAATAATGTTATTCTTTTAAGTTTTGAATTCCGCCATCTTGAATGATGAAAATCTGATAACGGATTCGTCATCAACGACCTCGTGTCTTTTCGATAAAAAATTTCTTTCTCTAAACCCGAATCTCTATTAGCGCTGAGAAAATCTTCTTCATTAACCTAATCTAATTTGTCGCGCGTTAATAGCCAAGCAGAACGATGTAGGGAGAAGGAAGAAAAAGAATTCTCCGCGGCTGGTCTACGTGACTGGTCGCCACGCCGGTGGTACCGATCAAGGTCGTCGCGCGATCATCGGCAGCGCCAGTTACCGATCGTTTACGTGATCTCTTTATGTCTCTTTATGCGTGTGACCAAACGATGTTTGTTCGTACACACTCACTTAATCTCTCTCATTGTAACTGGACACATTCGACATCTTGTATTTAAAGGAGAAAAATACTCCCTCTGTTTTTCCGCAAATATTCGCAATCGTTTATTCCCGTTTCTTCGTACTCACTTGAGTTTCGTTTGAATCCGGTTCCGAAGGTGTACGTGCGAAATCGCACGTTCCCTTCGCGATCCAGTCAGGTTAGGCTCGTTAAGTTGTTTACGGCTTGAAACTTTTTAATGAGAAATATCTATTTTTTTGGATGATACCGGTTGAGTGTATTCTTGATTCAGCGTGAAATATCTGCGCATGGAGAAAAAGGTCTGTATACCGGTTAGGTATCTCTTTCTCTCTATGTCGGGCCAAGTTGACATTCAATTCTTAAACTTGCAACTTGTAGACTTTCGAGTAGAAATTGAGACAAAATTAGTGAAAGAGGTGAAAGAGAAAAGTGTAGGAAAATCATGAGTATGGGTTTTAATTTAAAGCATTTAGAGCTAAATATTCTGTATCTGCACCTTCAGAAAGGATTTCTGTTACCGAGACCAACAATATTCTTCATTTAGTATGAAAATAAACTCGATAATTCTTATTCTCCTCTATCGGATTAAAAAAGATTGACTTATTATATTGAGACAAGAGTAATATGTATTGTTGCGTTTAGATTAAATTTTCCCTCCATCTTACAACGCACCATATTCGACAAAAGATGATTTCTCTGTAATAAATATGATTGGCGCTATCTCGATCCTATTTTATGATACGTTCAAGTGTATTGGATCCGGAAATTATTTCAATTACACTGATATTGTTGATACAACATTTCTTTTTTCCGTGTAAATAAAAATTGATGAAAATATACAACGGTAAGTATACAAAAGCCGATTGCACATTGAATATTCACTTGAAACCCCATGGTCAAATTAACTGGATGAGATTTGTTTGGCGCTTCCTCGCTCGTAAAAAATGGACAGAGAAATAAATATTGAAATTCCTTTATACGTTTTCCTGAGAAGTCGGGCGCGGCTGGTTCCGTGATTCCAACAACCGGGCAACACGCGGGCACGCCGGCAGGCCGTCGCTGGCGCAACCGCCCGGCTATTACGTAATGGAATTCGATAATCGACCTACCCGCCACGCGTCTACAAGACTGTCTACACTAGTCGACAGTGCCTACCCGACTCGGCCCCTCTCCCGGATAGAGCTCTATTTCGCCCTTCAACTTTTCAGAAGTACGATCCACGCGTAACCACTGCCGACTCTGCTGATCCCATCTAAGCAGCCTACAATCGTGGCCACCAATGTACGCTGCCAATTGTACCAACTGGCCTTTCACCAACAGTCTCGCGGCGAACACATTGCAGTAATGACGCATCGAAATTTCCATACTGCAAACTGTTAAATCAGACTCCACCTGAAACATTTCCTTCTCTTCTCCCGTTATGAGAGAGAGTCCGGGAAGGAAATGCGCTTTTCTTACGAGCTCATTGTCAGGCGGGTATACCGGGTGGGCGGCCAGCGTAGCGCCGCGCCGCGATTAAACGAAAGAAAGAACAGGGAGGCGCGCGCGAGTTGGAGCGGGGCCTGGGCCAGGAGCCGACTGGATGGCCATGGAACATGAAAGTGCGTCCTACATTCGCCGTAATCCACGATCTGATCTTTCGGTCGTGCGACATTTTCATCGAGCTTCTTTTTACGAGCGCGCGTTGCTGCAACTCGCACACGTCACTCCTCTTCTCTCCACGTCTTTCCCATAGAACTCGTACACGTCGAAGGGGATCAACTATTTTTGTTTCATCTTTATCCAATGCTCCAGCAAGGCCTAATGCTCCCCCTCGCTATATTGTGTCACACAGATGTTGGACACAGTTTTATACACTTGCAATTTGCGATTTCAGATCACTGGCCAGTGTAGGTCGTTTAATCTTATGAAATTTGCTTTCAAATTACTGGCTTTTATCGCAATTTTTTCCTCTCCGCCTCGATATCCAGACGGGAGTATGCGCAATTCAACTTTGCGGATAGGTGATACCAGGTACCTCCAACTGTCACGTTTTGCCATTCTCTCGCTACATTTCTCCCCCGTTGAACACGGACGAGAGATAACTCGTTGCTGACGTCATCATCACTTGGGGGAGAGAGAGAGAGGAATGCTTTTTTGTTTTTCTCACAGAACGATATTGTACAATCTTATTTGGATTTCGAGCAAGTTTGAGGACCATACTTGTTTTCACGTCCAGATAATCTTTCGCAAGTTGAGAGGAGAGAACGCTTCGCGCGTTCTCGAAATCACGCAAGAGGGCCCGAGTACGTAGCTCTTGGCCAATTTATCATCAACATTTATTTTTGAAAACTCTTTCCCAATCACCGAGGCGCAATTCTGTCACATAATTACGTAATGATATTAGCGGAAGCTCTACGTATGCAAAAGCGAAACATTTCGGAATCCGACGCTGCCACGTGCAAGCGACATGGGCATATACAAATACGGAAGTACCGTAGGCAGGAAGAGCGGAATTGCGGTCACGTGAATTTCAATGTCGCCACATGCGATTCAACGTCGAAAATTCACCGTAAAGACCGATCGACGTGAAAGGCTTTATTCGTTACTGTGCATTACGAGTTTGATCGTCTCGTGGAAACGACTACGACAGACGACGATACAACTTTACGATCCATTAAGCATGCCTCGTTAATCAGCCCGAGGGCATTTATCATCCGCGTCATCGCGAGCGTTTTTCCCGCGATCGCGTTATCATGAAAAACAGCAACAAATAGACAATGATTGTTTTCAAATGCAAAATAATTCCTTTCCCTTTCCTTTCCGCACCAACGATGCAAATAAACCGCGTTGCGCCACTACGTCATTACGCCACGCTACATATCTATAAGCTTTCCTAATCGAGCGTCAGTTAATTAGTGCGTGCAAATATTCAAATGTGACGAGCCAGTGAATCGCGACGATTTGTGCGATCGGCAGACAGGTTGTCCGTCACGTAAACGCGAACCGCGAATACAGCGTGCAAGAGACGTTTAATGTCAATGTTAAACGGCAAAGCCGTTTCTTTCGCAAACACCGGCGATTTACGGCGAGCGACGGAATCTCCCAATTATCTTTCGGACCCACTCGGGGATGTCGAGAGGCACCGCTTGCGAGAAATACTCGCTCGTTTGCTCGTTTGCTCGTTTGCTCGTGCGAATTGCGAAAAGCGGCAATCGCGATTGGATCACGCGGGCGCGCACGAGAGAACATCTTGGGGGCCCACAGTTGCGACACGCGCGCACGCAATTACGCAACTTGCGTAACCTGCGCCGCGAGCCAGCGTCGCGCGACTCGTTTGAGGAACATGCCGTATATATTCGCCAGGCAGAGGGGGCCGATTTATCTCTGCAATATCCACGAGATTTAAGGACTCGGCGAAATGTTGAAACGTTTCGAACAAGACTAGGAGTCGAAAAGTCTATTATCACCCTTTCTCTCTCAACAAGCTCTGTGCTGTAGAGCAGAACAACTATATTTTACCCCTTTTTTTCACTTTTTACCAATATCTTGGAAAATGCAACGTGTATGAACAAATGTTTTTGCGCACCGACCGTTCCCTTGCAAGGATATTGCATTCAGTTGTTCCATTTGCTTTGAGCGAGGATTGGAAAGAGTTGGAAAAATACCCATTTTACAAATTTGTCTCATCTCATTACTAACGCATACCAATTGTGGAGAAGAAATCGTACGCGAAAGAAAGTTTCGTAATTCCTTTCGTGAAATATTGGATACATCAAGAGATACTTCATCTTATTTTGTAACATTGGTATTCAATGATATAATAGCAGTGATGTCGACGCGATTAAAGGTTTTTTTTGCGATACAAATCAAGCAATTAAAAAGCAAGGAAAAAACCAAGATTATGCAGACACGACCGAGAAATTAATTCTTTTCAGACCGCAAGGACACTGACTCGAAACGTATTCGATCATCTTATTTGTCTATATATATCTATCTCTCTATCGATGTACTTTGAGCATTGAATGTCGAACATCGAATGCTTCCATAGACTCGAGCTTCGTGCTGCGAATCAAAAGGGCGATCGGCGTTTCGAATTCTGCTCTCGTGGGTGGCCGTGAGGGTTACGCCAAGTAAACGAGATTCTTTCCTCGGCAGTCTTGGGGGTTTTTTTTTCCTTCTTTTTAGGACAGCGCGTAATCAGATTCAAAACGTTACGCAATCCAATCCGGTCAACGACTCTCCACCGTGGTTCAATTAATCCCTAAATCGCCGCAATTGACCCGATTTTCCTCTCGTTTCTCATTGCGAGAGAGAGAATAAAAATGGTGATTTCACAAGTCGAAGGAAAGAAAGGTTTAGCGGGAAACGGTAAATATGTTTCGAAATACACATCTTATAACTCTATCGCTACGTGCACGTACGCAAAAGTTTCGCCGGATTTTTCGAGCGCATCGGAGATGATCGGAGGTGATCGGAGGAGAGGAAAAAGCCGCGAGAGATGAAGCGACAGCCGATAAAAGTCAAGTGACCCGACTGCGACAACGGTGCGGTCAAGGTGGCGCGTTTCGTAATTCAGTCGATGCTTCGCCGCCGCTGTCACCTGGCATGCCAATTACGCGCGACGTTCTCGTCTTTTTCTCGTTACGCGCGTACACGTTAGCGAGATAACCCACTTTCCGCCGCGACCGGACCGACCGGGTCGAGAGAGAGAGAGAGACCGATTATCTCTTCATTCACTCGCGAAAGAATTTGCTCTTCGGCGCCGACGACCGACAAATTTTCTCGTTGGCCAATCGGAGAGTCGCGATCTGTTCTGAAATTTTCGGCCAACGTCGCAACACGCGCTCATCATTTTTTCCCACCATCCAAATTTGTAAAAGTAGGGAAATTCCACCCAAGTTTTCGCGGAACCCCGTAACATTAAGAAAACAGCATAAGAAATGTGTTACAAGAGGCGAGGAGAGTGTTGCGACACGGCGCGCTAAGCAAACAGTTATAAATGCTCGCAGCGGCCGGCCGGCCAGCCAACCAGCAGACGTGGCAGATATCAACGAAAGGCGTAAAGCGGAGGAGACTTACCGGCGTACGTGCTCTTGAAGCTCTCGTGGAGCTTGAAGGTGAAGGGAATGTGGACCTTCATCATTTCCATTTGCGGTATGCGCGGCGAATGCGTTATCACGCCGCCTCCACCGCCGCCGCCGCCGCCACCGCCACCGCCACCGCCACCGCCACCGCCGACGCCACCGCCGCCGCCGCCGAACATCAGGTCGTCGCCGTGGACGCGTAGCACCATCATGTTCCTGCGACAGATGAAATTTATTCCAAAGAGAGTCGAGTGACCTTGCGGCCTTGAGATGCCAAGGAGCACGTGCTTCCTTCTGACAAAAGTGATTCGGCCAAGCGGATGACATTACGTTAGGTTAGGACTCTGCAAACCCCAATCGAGATTCGAGTCGTGAAATGGCAAGAGGAAGACTCTTTCGAAAGTGGCTGCGTCACTCGAGAAAATGAGAGATATCGCTCCTTGTTCCGAGTGCGGAGAGAGAGGGCTTTCGTCGTCGAATTTTCTCGTCAATCACCATTGACGGAGTCCAAGGCGGAGCTAGGTGACGTCATTTATCGCTTCCGCAGCTATCCCGGACAACGTACCTCATGATGAAGAGGAAGACCCCGCAGAAGCATATCAAGACGGCGAGCACCGAGAATATGTTGGACAGCTCCGCGACGGACACCAGGATCGCCGTCATCGTGTCGTGCGGTCCTCAACGCCCGTACCCTTGGCCGCGCACATGCACGCACACACGCGCACACACACGCAGACGCACACGCGCACGCATACGCGCACCAGTGCCACGACGGCGACTAGCTAGAGGATGACGACGACGAGTCACTCTCTCTCGACGCCGCTCGACTGTCAACTGTCAACGGTACCGCCTCCGCTTCCGCCTCCGCGTTCTCGGCTCGACGCTTCGAGCGCGCCGTCGCCGACACCTCCTTCATCGACGTCCCGTCACTCCCGTGTAGCGCGACTACACGACTTGGGTGATTGGCCCGTGCGGCCCGGGAGACGACGAGTTCTCATAGCTGTCGTCGCTGGTCGTCGCGTCGGATCGGAGCAGAACGGAGGAATACACGTTTGCGCGCGCGACACGGCTGGACTGTGCTCGCGACGTCAGGCGCGCGCCACTTATACGCTCTTGCTGACGGCCGCGGCGCCCGCGACGGCGCCACCAACGAAACCTTCCCCATTGTGTGCAGATTAACCGTAGGCAGGAAAAACAGTCTCTCTCTCCTTTCGATCATTGATAAGCGTGACCGCGATCGCGACGAGCCTCTTTACGTCAAGAAAACGTACATTTACGCGCGCGCGTGGCGCGTGCCAGTGGTGTAACTAGCGACCTCTGTTCCCTCGATGATTGGGTTCATCCTGCTCGTTTGTTTATCGTTTCCCGTTAATCCCGAGTTGCCGTCTCTGGCAGGGGACGAGACGGAAATGGCAAGGATGCTCGCGCTAGATTTCGAGGTCTTCGGCGTCGTGCAAGGTAAAGCGAGTTACTGTATCTTGTATATATCCGCCGAGGCGTCAATCTTGAATCGCCTTACTAACCATCGTGCTCGGCAAAGGTGTCTTTTTCAGGAAGGTGAGTGAGCGACACCTCGCGAGTGTCTGGCGACTGACCATGCCAACCTGTTATAACCTCGTTGGTAACTCGAGGCACGCGTGCCTTTTTCAAATTTTCATTTTTTCTAACCTATCGAGAAACACGAGAAACTAACTAATGTTAGACCTTTACGTGACATCTTTCATCGGGGAAACTTAGCATTTTCTTCCGCTTGCGGCTAACAGTACACGCAAAAACGCGGCAAGGAGCTGGGTCTGAAGGGATGGTGCATGAACACCCCGAACGGCACCGTCGTCGGCCATTTGGAGGGGGAGAAAGGGCAGATCGAGGAGATGTAAGGACTCGTCACGACGAGAGGGAAAGATTACTGCTCTCTGTCGCTTCCCTGTGTTTCATTTCAGGAAAGAGTGGCTTCGTCGCACCGGAAGCCCTCAGTCGCGGATCGACAAGGCAGAGTTCCGCAACGAGAAGGAAATCTCGCAGCTGTCGTTCTCCAACTTTGAAATCCGAAAGTAGGATCTCGGAGTACTCGGAGTGGCAACGCGTCCGCTCGTTAGTATTGAAATCAATGTATCGCAATTGAATTATACGCACACTTTTCTCTCTATTTTAGAAATGACACTTCTTACCCTCCTCCAAATTTGCCAGGGGATCGCGAGTTTTAAAAGGATGACAAAGACCAGAGAAAGATATCGACTCGCTCGCAGTCGCATCGAGAGAAATACGATATACGAGACGCGGAAGCGACGTGGAGGAGCGACTCTCTCTCTTTCTCGCCAAAGCATCTCTCCGCGACGCGAGTTGTTCTCGTTAGTCTGCGATCGCGCGGCGAACCGCGCGGTTCTCTCCACTTGTAATTAGTCTCGCCGCGAGGATCGGCGAGGATGCTCCTGAGCGAGGACTCGCGCACGCGTCTCGCTCCTTGTAATTCGAGCTCGACTTTGCGATCGATCTCAATCGGGTTACGTACAAGAGAACGACGATCGAATTCGCGCCGCGAATAGTTGTCACTGTGCCGTGGCGATAATGCTATGATCGGGGCGCTCGGGGGGATTGGGGAGAGGCGGTGAGTGGTGTAGGAGAAACAATCGGCATGAGGTGCTTCGAGAGCTTCTTCAAGCACACCTGGCGGCCGCAGCAGGTGCAGGTGAGCCGACGACATGTCCGTGTCCCTTGTGTTCTCTATGTTCTCCTCGTGTCACCTGCGACCACCTGCGACGCATCGCGAATATCGCGATGACCCCGATCCGGCTTTATTGCTCGCGGAAATATGTCTATATTCCGTTTCGTCACCGATACGCGCTATCAGGTACAACAGTCACACGTGTATTGCGCCAAATCCTCAACTTTTCCTTACGACTCAACAGTTCAATTTCTATACTTATCATCTTCCATTGTGACATTTTCTCTCTATATAGAAACATTCACGAAACGATATTCTTCTTTGCGCTGAAACCGAAACCAAACGTCGTTAAACAGCGTCGTTGGAAATAAACGTTAGACATTATTCGTACGCAAATTTATTAAAACATTTTACGAGAGCGCCTTGACCACCGAAGCGTTGAGCATAATTTCCGAACACGTCATACAATAGCTGCTATAGTATCCGCGTTCGAACAAGGTCTTTCTTCGCCTCGTCATTAATATCGCCAAATTGTACGGGACGTATCTCTCGATAAAAAAAAGATTGATAACAGCGACAATAATATAACAAATAATATACATTTCTGCCATTTCCAGAGCTCCCGCTCGTGTGTTCACTTGCAACATATGTTGTCGCTTGCAATTTAAACAACTGCTAGAAAATTGATATTTCCCCTACTCTCTACTGCGCACTAGCGCGGCGACTTGAATGCGTTCGTGTATTGTTTTACCTATCCGCGATAAAGATCGATAAAAGTTGCTCAAAATGACTCGGACGATCGTGGATCGTAGTCGGCTTATCAGTCGACGACCGATCGGGACATTACAACGCGAGTCGCAGTAAGTTGGGCGTTTTTGCTGGGATAGTCATGAGGATCTGGCGAACGATGATCCTTGGAACGCGATTTACATAATCGTACCTATCCTCGCGGAAAATAACGGACGAGAGAGAATTACGCAAGGTACCTACGATTGTATGTATGAGGTCGGTGTCGTAACATCTTCTCTCGGAGATGCACGGAGGTATTCGCGTTCCGTCGTCGACGCGTAATAATGTCGCTAATGTGTGCGATATCGTCATCGTCCATTCCAGGTAGCTGAAAGCAACATGCTTCATCCAGCAAATTAGTAGACACTTGCCAAGATTTTTCACGGTAGCCTCCCCGAGAGGAGGAAAGGGGGAGAGCTGGTTTATTGGCCGGCTGGTCAGGGGTCGCGGTTGATAAGAGCTGATAATTTCCTCCGCGCGATTTAAACCAGTCAGTTGGTGCGAGCGAGCTACTGCGCGTCGTCGTGCTCCGCAGGCGAGCCGGCCAGTCCGGCCTCCGGGCTCCGACTTCCGGGTGCAAATTCATTTTCCAAGAGTCCGGTTTGCGAGCGAACGGAGGTGCTCCTCCGAAATGGACGCGCGTTCAGCCACGTGAGTCTACGTGGGGTCAAATTATATGCGAGGATGACAATTTCTCCCATTTTTAAGGAGAATCTTTTAACGCGGCTCAACGACAGTTTCGAGCCGAGACAATGGAAACGAAGAAACGTGTAAGCGCCGTTGAAATTGAGGGTTTGAATAAGCGCGCCGAATATCGAAAGATCGCGGCAGCTATACATTCGAGTCCCTCGCGTAAAGGGATTAAACACGCTCGATCGCCTCTAATCAGGTCGTTGACTGTCGTTGACGGTCCAACGAGTGTGTTATGCGGTGAAAGTAACGTGCAACGGGTAAAAAGATAAAAACGCGCGCGAGTCCATCTCGATTAATCTCGAAGACGCGTTTATCGAGAGAAATTACTTTTTATTGTTGTTACAAATTTGTTTTTTCTTTCTTTCTTTCTTTCTTCCCTGTTGTGAGAAACACGTATCGTATTGAATTTTTTGCGAGCAACCGTGCATTGGGCTCTCACCGAGGCACATATGTTAAGTTCCTTATTAATATACATTATACATCAACGGTCGTGACAGATGACGACGTCCGGATCCATATGGGATCGTCCGTTATACGGCTCGGCGGCGAAATCTCCCCTACTCCTCGAAAAGGAGCCAGATTCCTCAAGCAAGCGTAACCGCCGCGCCGACTCATTTTGCTCCTTTCACTTTCCGATCCTCACATCGAATCCTTGCGTGTCATCGAGTTCTTTTCGATTACCGTTGCAATGGCAGACAACTATTTTACAGGATTCATTCCGATTGGTCAAAATATGATCGCGATCTCGTTCTAATTTTATAACGGGTCGAATCCGGAAGTATGAAACTTCGCTTCGCAGGAAGTTTGAAACCGCTGACAGATAATTCTTATCCAGCAATATCGAAATACCACAATGTTTTCGCTTTCGCGGTGATTTTTTTCTACAACGATGTACCGTAACGCGCGTGCTATTCCTCTGGTACTCTTGTATTATTGTATATTTCACGCGAAACACCTCGTTGCCTGGCTATAGGAAACTTTCTACATCTCTCCCTTGCTTTCCATCGAGATCAATTCAACGAATAGATATTTCACTTGGATCGAGAAATTAAAAGAAAAAGCGTGTTAAAATTTCGAGCTCAACAAGACGATTATTCTCGATAATTTGGTTTACATCCTCCCAAAGCTGCTCCATCACACTTTGCACTTTTGTTCCCTCAAGTTTCTCAAAATCGCAGATGAAAGCGAGATGCATCTTTCAAGCTGTCAAACGGATAATAATACGAGTGTTTCTGTCCAATTGAATCGCGTTACTTACGATCACGCTATGACGGCAACGACGACGTTTATTCTCTTTCAGATGGATCCGTCGTCGAGATCCGAGTTGAAGACGAAAAAGACGGCGAAAGTGCTCCGTCATGCCGCCGGCGAGATCACGGAGCTGGACGAGGTGAGGGTGTCCGCGCCGAACAGCAACGTGGCAACGTCAATGTCGTCGACGGCGCACCCCAGCGATAACGACGCGTCGGCGTCGGCGACACCCTGCAAGAATGGCGGCTGCAAGGTCTGGAGGAGCAGCCGTGTCGGCGTCGGAGAACCGCGCACCCTGGCAGAGAGTCCCTGGCATTCGCTCAAGACAGTCTTCCTGGTCTCCGTCATCGTGGCATTCCTCCTCTGGATCATCGTCTACACCCTGCTGGACCAGTATCGAATCTTGTGACCGTCCTCGCGTTCGGATCCCCCAATTCAGCGCTGGATTTACGACCACGATCGTAAAATTACGCATCCACTTTATACCTTGCATCATCAGATCTTGCGCTTCTGATCGCGCAGAACGTTACATATATCTGCTCGGTTACTCGATGGGGGCGATTTCCGTAAATCGGGTTGTAATATTTCATACTGTTTTATAAGTCTTGACTCCTGTAAATAAATACCATGTTGTACACGGTGCATTGTTAGATTATTCAATCCCTTTATTATCATACTCGAGCAGATTGCGCGCTGAGTCTGGTGGTAAAAAATGAATAAGTCTTTGCACAGAGTTGTAAATAATACTGAGAGAGACGCGACTCTCTTAAGAAAGGTGTTAAAAAATTGCGCTTAGTAAATCTATAAATCGTTAGAATCGATCAAAAGATTCGTTCGCCTTCTTCTATGTATGTATGTATGCATATGTATGTGTGTTGCGTGTGACACTTACGCTAATCAGACAAATAAATGAACGAATGTTTTGATCAAAATAGCTTAATCGGCTTAATGGTTTTGGCTGGGATTGTTACAGGACGAGGATCTCAAAACGATCGTGATATAGGAGAGAGAGGGAATAAATTAGATCCATTTAAATGTCATGGGCCACGAGAGAGAGGGGGAGAGAGAGAGAGAAAGAGAGGACATTTTGCGTTTTAGAGTTGCAGAATTCACTTTCTTCTCAAATCAAATATCTCAAGTCCCCCTCTCTCCTACGAAACATCGCGATGAAATGGTAAAAAAAAAAAAAAATATGACTGCGCACGCACGATCGAGCATGTATCTCGCGAGAGATCAACCACACGGCAACGGTCTCGGCGAATCGCGATCCGCGGTAGACGATATTGGGGACAATCAGCGGTCTGAAACAATCGGAAACCAGCAATCTCATTGTCAGTCTCATTGTCAGCCACCATCGCCGCCGACGACGACGACGTTGTCGACGTACGCGCAAGATCGAGAGACGGATCCGATGCGACAGCATCCGAGCGCATGGAGATTACGCGACGACGACGAGGATGATGATGAAAACGAGGAGGAGCAACTGGACGACAATGTGTGATCCATTCCCGGACGTACGTGTTTTCGTCGAATGAACGAGTAACGATTGTGCGTGTTTCAGTTCTCCGCGGCGACGGAAAGACGCGTGCCGCCGAGGGTGATATTGGTTGGCTGGGACAACTTTCGCACGAAGCTGCTGCTATTCCTGATCGCATGCCTTCTCGTCTGGGCCTGCGTCTTCTTCCCTCTACTCGGTACTTGAACCCCCTCCCTCCTCATCCCCATCATCCTCCTCCGCCTCTTCTTCCTCTTTCTCCCTACCGTCTCGAGTCGCGAAATGACACATCGAGTACACTTAATCGATTCGATTCGCGGCGACATTCAACACGATCACACATGCATACTTTCACGCGTTTACATTTCCATATATTATATATGTAATATTACGCCCAATATATATATATATAACTTTACATTTTTGGTATTCAATATTTACACGCTATATACGTTTAATCATAAATATATTACTTTACGTAGTGGCCTTGGCGGAGAAGTAATTAAACAGCTCATCTCCGAACCATCTTAAATTCATTTACTTCTTTCTTCCTCTCTATTAATAGAAACTCTATGCTTATTGCAGATATTTTCATTTCCATTGCAAGATTTAGTACGGTTTCCGTAATACACAATTTTCCTATTTAAAACAAATTATTATTGACGAACGTGGGTTTAAGACGGCTTGAAAATGGCTCATTGGTCGCGAGACAGAAAAGACTTGAACGAATCCATCTCTGTCACTCCCGCTCAAGTTCCCGCAATATTACTATTTTCCTTGGGATTGGTTGAATCAACCGTAGTTTCTTGGTAAATCTGCCGCGCGTCCGCGACCTCCATCGATTATACGCTACGTGTACTTTTTATTTTTACGGAACACTTTCGTTGTGTAACATGTTCTATATGTATATATATGTATATGCCGTTGTTCTCTTCTTCTTCTTATTTATGGTCGTAAAATGTCTCTCGTTTCGTAATCGTTTGTTCTAAATGAGAGTAATATCAAGTAGCGTCTTATGCGGTATAATTTCTATATACAGGACGAATTGATAGAAGAGTATCTCCCTTGCATTTGGAGATGGCAAAAAAAGTGTTGAAAAAATGTTAACGATAAGTTATCTACGCACTTTTCTTTTATATCTTTGAAAAAATCCAAAGGAGATTACCTCGTTCGATTTCTGTCGACTCATCCCGTAGTCTTATTAAATAACCATTTTCGTAACACACGCGACAATACGACATTTCTATAGTCGATGTCTTACAAGTACAGCTTACATATACTACTAATTTGGCATGTAACAAACGCGTGACGGTGCGTTTAATATACTAGCAGCCGCGACCGACGCGTTGCGACGAGAAAAACGCGTAAATACTTGCAAAATCTATCGAATCCGCTTTTTTACACACAGTACTCCACACCATGTGTCTAATACATTTTATTTATGAATTCTTTGGTAAATATTTTTTTTATTACACTCATTTAAATTTGAACGAAGAGAACAGGATTTTATTGTCCAGCCGCGTTCTTCAAACTTGACTCGCGTGGCTCATCTTCGCGTATAATTCCAAAGAAATACCCTAATGTTTTCACCAATTGCAAGGGAAAACTCACTCTAGATTGCACAAAGAATTCATAAGTCGGACGACTCGCGGAACATCTTGTATACATTACGCCGATAGTCACGCGACGATGATCGATGGGATAAGTTTTCGAGTATCCAAGTCGCATTTTTACTAGTTTAGAATAAATGGCGGTGGACTCGTGTAAAAAGAAAATCGCGCAGTCTCGATCGATTCAACGAAATTACCGAGTACGCAAATGCGGGAAAAGTTGATTAAAATATCGCGGGGCAAGAGTAAATGCGTCTGGAATGCCACGATATTACGCGATATATACGCGAGAGTAACCGGAATTACACCGGTACGTTTAACGGTATAAAATCAAGAATCCATGTATTCTCACATGTTACCCTTTCTTCCTCCGGTGTAACTTGGCTGATCGTTTTGTTACACGGAAAAGAAAAATGATAAAATTTTACGACTATCCTCTAAAACGACGAATAACTGTAATATGGCGAAAATAAAAAAATCTTTATACGTATGTGTACGTCTGCGTGTTATTACATACGCAATTTTGTTCGGGGCAAATATACTCCTGAGCGAATATTTCAATACTTGAGGGGGAAAAAATGGTGTATTCGCAAACGAGATAAATTTGATATTTCCTAAACGTTGACATCGGGATAAAACCGGCAAAGTTTGTGACTACGTATATTTAGGGTAATAACAACAACACGAAACGTATCTCACGCGAGAAAGATAATACCGTTCCGACATTCCTAAAAGCGTCGAGAGTAATAATAATAAAAAATGGTTTATATCCGCGGCTTGTACGTCAAAGTGACGTGAAACGTTTTCACATCCATCTCCGTACAATCCTGCGGTCCAATGTCGCCGCTGATACGCGAAGGCACGCGTGCCTCCTTGCTCGCGTGTTCCTCGAAAATCTCGTTGTGACTGTTGTCCAGCATCTTTTCGGTCGCCGGTTGCTGTTGTTGTTGTTGTTGTTGCTGCTGCTGCTGCTGCTGATCCGTCGTCATGACGCGTACGATCTTGACGGTCTTGATCGTCTCAAGGGAACGCGATTTGGACGCTTCTGTGGCCGCCGCTACCGTTGTCGCCGAGCGACCGGCTCCCTTAGTGCCGTTCTCCTTGTTGCGACGGGAAGAATTGCGATGCCATCGTTGCTTCTCCCTAGAGGAAGTTCTTCGAAGACTCGGCCGCTTCACCGATTCCGCACTAGCGCTCAAACCCGTAGCTATACTCGCAAGAGAATAATGTCATCAATTTTGTTCTTTCTGGCTATCAAAGGGATCTCTAACATTACATGGTTGTTTACCAATATTGCCAGAAGAAGAGCGATTGGAACCGCGTAGAATGTGTATCGCCGTAGGATCGCTGTCAGTGGTCACCATGGGCGTGAGAAACCATTCAGATCTAGTTCGCATCCGTGCGGCTTGCCTCTCGTGAACCTGCGATATCGCAATCATTTATCAGTTGGTTATTGGTCATTATCGTCGAGTTATAAAGCACGATCGAGCTTACCTGCGGCAGATAGCTGAGGCTCTTGGTGCTCTCGGCGTAGCGATTCACCGCGCGGAGTTCTTCCAGCGTCATACCCGCCGTCATGCGCTTAGAATGTTGACTGCCGTTACTCGAGGAACGACTGGGTGCCTGTAAAAAGAAATACAATTCACTAATGCCGCTTCGTATATCTTTTGCGTTACGTCGCTCACGACGGTTTTATACCTGAAACAGGCCGTTCTCTTCTAAGCTAACAGAGAGGCGCGTGTAACTCTCGAGCAAGGTATTCTCCGGGATCATGCCTAACGACGAGGCTAGATTCACAGTCTCCGGCACGTGGATCAACGCCGGAGTCGACTGTGATTCTTCTTGGTGAGACATACCTATTGCGTAAATTAGCAATTATTACAACAATAGTGATCAAAGTCCTTTTGCTGAATCGTGTTATACGAAAGTATACATATTTGTCTCTACGTCGATACAAATCACTTTATATCACACCTAAAGGAAAGAAAGGTAAAAGAGGTATCTTATCAAACGCACAACGATAAGGTGAAAGAAAAATCCGACTTTTTCTTTCTAGTATCGTAATCCAATATGATTATCTTAACGTTCGATTCAACAAAAGTTGAGGTTCACTCACATTCTAAATTAAACTTCAATCCCCACTTTTCGCATTCGTACTGTAACCACGACTTTTCGGCTTCCAGCGACAGCTGTCCTAAAATTGATGCATTCAGGTTGTACTTGCGAATACAAATGTGTGCGCGCGCACAAACACTTACTCGACACGAGAGTGTCCGGCGGATATCGGAAACTAAAGATCCAATCCTCCTCCACTTTTAATATTCGACCGGTTATGCGCGCGTAATACTCGTAGTTATCCCTCCCGAATAGATTGGAAACGCCAAAGTTGTCTATCATGAACTTGGTGATGCGCGTGGCAATCTGTGTGGACATCGAATCGTGATCCAAGAGAAAAGAAATGTTGTTCGTAGACCTCACGTACCTTAAATCTGAGAACATCCTCCATCTTAGCAGTCTTGCCGTCGCTAACGCAACTATGAAAGAACGAAGGTGCGACGGACACTCCCAGAGCCTCGCTGGTCATCCCCGTGTGCGCTCGCTCGCAATTTACCGCTACTACTCTGAACGTTCCAAACAGCAATACCAGTAACCGTTGCGTATATATCGGCATGGAGGTAATTAACCTGCGCAGCGTGTAAGTTTCTTTGTCAAGCCGAGGAAATGGTATCGCGATAAATGTCGCCGAGAATGTCACCTGTGTATCTGGTCCCGTTGCTGTTCTACGCTATCTAGCTGAATTATGGCAAACAGTTGTTGCTCCGCCTCTTTACCGAATATTCCACCGGGTATCTTGCGCAAGAACTTTTTCAGAACGCTGGCTATCGTGTAAACGCTAAAATTGTCCATATTGACCAGATGTCCGGTTTGCAGGAAGTGTACCAGTTTCTTCATGTTACCCTGATGGCCAGGCGCTCGAAAGATGTCTTTTCTGTGCGGAGCTTCCTTGTTCAATTTCAATACAAGGACCTGGACACACACACACACGTTGTTTCACGTTTGACAAGAGGAAATAGCATTCGTTATTTACCAGTAATGGGCCAGGAATGTCATTCTTGCACACTTCGTTGAGGGGCGCGCCAAACTTGACCCTACAAAACGAAACAAGAAATTTGGAGAAATTGCAAACGTTATCTTGTCAATATCGGCAGATTCGGATTTCATTCCGACGAGACAATAGCGGGATAGTAGTATATACCAAAGCGAGTTTCTCTAATTCTAACACTGTTACATGAAATCGTTACTCTGGGATCGCTAAATAGCTCCAGCAGCCTTGGACAAGTCTCTGAGAGTTGTGAATGCGTATTAGTAAGATACGGTACATCTTGTCAAGCTCTGCGATTACTTACAATTGTACCATGCACCTCTTCCGAGCATCAAACATATAACGCAGAGCGCTGACAATATTAGCCCGATAAATCGTAAAATATCAACTATCATATCTGTGGAAAAATGTATTACCTCACGTTACTAACATTTGGTAACCTAACTTTGGTATATTTTTCTTGACGTTTGGAACATGTGTGTAGGAAAGTCAATGATAAATAACAAACTTTTCCAGGCGTCTTGGGTGCGGAGGCTCTGAGGAGGGATGTCCGCAGCTGGTTACAACATTTCCTAACGTAGCGGCTCGTCGATGCATTCTCTCCGTCCAGCTGGTCATTGTACAAAATCTAATGGCAATGGCATGCGAGCACCAAGACCGCTCTACTCGATCCAGCCGCTGAAAGCACATGGCAAGATTTTGCTCGTCTGAACTCGTAGTCCCAAGGGATAAGAGAATCTCACCGAGGCACGACGACGATCGGATTCCGACGTTAACCTAACCTACACGCGCACATGGCGCGGCGCGACGACGAGGAAACGAGGAAACCAACCGCGTCTACGTTTCCATGGAAATGTCGCAGCCGCGATGCCGAGGCGCCGACGGCATCGTCTCGCGGTCTCGCGTCTCGGTCGTGCCACGCCACGCTACGTTACGCCTACGTAAACGCACGCGTCTCTGTCGGCCCCTCGTCACACAGCGTGCGGACGGTGGTCCGGGCGGTCGTTGTGGTCGTTGTGGTCGTTGGCGCGGTCGTCAGCGGGCCAGCAGAAGGAAGGCATAACTCGCAACACGTCCCACCACCCAGCACCACCGCCCGTAGCAGCAGCGATGCCAGTGATCAGATCACCGTAAAAAATCAATATAGTTCCCCACCCCGACACTCTCCCGACAGGCTGATCATGACAGCTCTCTCGGGATTAATGGCGGGTTCGCAATGTTCGCATGGACGTAGCCAACCAATAGGAAATGCACAATCTTGCTTCAAGTATATCTCATTTATTCAATTTACTTAATTTTTCTTTATGTCATTTGGAATTTCACAGCACTAAATGCATAGCAAAATTGTTGCAAAAGTGAAATACCATTGGTTCGATCCAAAAGTAAGAACCAATCATACGTACCTCTTGCTCAGTGGCTGTTGTGACTGTTGTGAGTGTCATCATTATTCGACCACTGTTTATAACAGAGAGCGGCTTGTGACCATTGTGACTACGATAATTCCACAATAGAAAACTAATCAAACCTATAATAATGTATCATACGTTTGCATGAGAGGTTTAGGTAAGTGAGTTGTTTTATCATCTTGGTCATAACTTGTCGTTTTTCAATTCATTCATTTATGTTGTATACTAGACAAAATCAAGACAAGTTTGATAAATAAACGAGGATATAAAAGAGATTTGTGTACCAACCACCAAACCACCAAACCACTTTCATCAGATGAGTAACAAGAAACAAGCGACGGAAGATGACAAAGTACAGGGTTTCAAAAGAGGCTTGGAAGCAGATAAGATCCTTGGTTCGGCAGATGACAATGGAGATTTAATGTATCTGATTCAGTGGTGGGTACCTTGCCTATTCATCCGAAACATTATATGTATGTGAGGTAATCTTGTTTGCGTAGGAAAGGGACAGATGCAGTTGACATGGTATCTGCCGAAGAAGCCAATATCAAATGTCCACAAATCGTTATCCGATTCTATGAGGACAGAATAACTTGGAATAAGGCAAAAGCATGAAACAGATGCGCTTCCTTCAACAAACACCTCCTGCATCCTTTTAAGAAACTCATTTTTATTACGATCGAAATGTCTAATAAATATCTTGGCTAATGCAATACCTATTTTATTCCTAACATATAATAAATGTTTCTCAAATTCTCATTCAATTCCCTTTAATCTTAAGGTACTTTGTCTTCAGCTGCACGTTTTGTATACTCTTACAATACTTTTCATTTCTTCCTCGTCTGTCATCTTTTATATAACAATTGTTATATGTGTAATATGTGCAACTGAAAAGAGCAAACTTTTATAGAACCCATCAATCCACAGTCTTGTTTCATCATTTTATTGCATTAAACAAAGTAAGGGCAAATACAGTGTACGTATCACGTTTATACACACGTCCTTACGTTTTCTTGTTATTAGCATATTTTTCCTAATTAGCACTTTGTGTGGGTGTGTGTACATATATACAATGTGTATATACATACACACAGGGTTGAGAAGTCACGAAATTACTTAGTTATTTAGTCAGTTACATTTTTTTCGACAACTAATTAGTAACCAATTTAATAGTTACTTGCATTGGCGCATAAACGCCTAACTTGTAACTGGATACTTTTATTAAGTAACTCCCCAACCCTGTATACACACACGCGCACGCACACACACACAAATTGTATCATCCAACTTCCAGCAAACTTACCTATCCGCACATTATTTTATTTACAAAGACTTGCTGGTACTTAATTGTAAGTAATAAATGTTAATCGGAGATCAATGAAAAAGAAATTTTTGCTTTATTGGAACATCATGCAAAAAAAATGTTTATTTCTCCTTAGAGTATCAATAATTTTTCTGAATAATTCTTCCCATAAAACAATATTACAATTGAAATTTCTCAAGTTTAAACAATATCTGATCTAATGAAATTGTTCGCCAAAGAAAAACAAAGTTTAGTAAATATGCATAAGACACCTCACCGATTTCGTCGCTACTTAGGTGTGTTGTAGAGGAGAGTTTTCCGAGTAATTTTCCGCAAGAATCAAGTAAGGGACGGCTTTGATTTAGAAAATATAATAAATTAAAAACTGAAATTTTTACCTTGATCTAAATATTTACCAAAGTATAAAAAATTTCAGTTTTAAATTTGTTACATCTCCTAAACCAATACCGCTCCCCCATTTGATTTTTGCGGAGAATTACTATAAAAAAATTACTCTCCCCTACAATATACCCAAGTAGCGACGAAATCGGTGAGGTATGGTCTCCTATGCATATTTACCCAAAGTTTAATTAGTTGAGTCTCTCGATTCTTCGACAAATGATTTTCAAACATAAACGGAGAGGGGATAAACGGCATTACTTTACATTCAAGCTAATGTCTTATCGTAAAAGTGACGTTATCTCGTATATTTTGAAAAAGAAATGAAACGGATTAACAAATTCCGAGTGATGGTGGCGGTATGAGTATAGTATTATACATAATTCTCGCGAGCGAGAAAGATCAGAACTTTCTCGGTCGACCTCGTTTCCGTGGTGATGCAATTTTACATGTGCTCGGTCGGGCGCGCAGCTTCCGTCGTGGTATCCTAGACGAGCTGCTATCGTTGTGCACTTTCAAGTGTCGCACAAATAGCAATCTGGACCTGATGAGCTTCTTACAGATGTGACACTTGTGTAGTTGCTCTACAAGTAAAACAAGAACCGAATTTCAACATCTCACTCGTTCGTCCACCCATACATTGCAACATTCAATATATTAACAATTTGGATTTCTTAAATATATACATTGATTTATTATCAAAATAATTAAAATCTTGGAATTGAGTAGAAATATAATTTTTCATTTTCTTTTAAATATTATCTTTCAAAAATTATAGTTTATCTTTAAAGGTTGCTCTGTCCGCTTTACATGTAAACATATCTTTATATTTATATGCCTGATCCAATTTAGAGAAAAATTTGTTATTCCAATCATGTTTTTACTTCATTTCGACATATACCTGATTTCTTAGTGCCATGATGCAAGCTGTGCGCGTCGAGTAGAGCGATAGTTGGGAACCACCGGCCGCAATCTGTGCAAGTGAGCCTTGTCATCTCCAACGAGTAATTATTTCTTTGTTTCCGTTTTCTCTTCACTCTGGCGAGCATACTGAGTTCTGTCTTTGTCGTGTTGTTTTCGTCAACCGACTCAGACTCCTCCTCTTCCTTTGATGTCGGTTCCTTTCGTTCGACCGATCTCAAAAATTTGCTCGGAGTTCTGTCGAAAAGAATTAATACCAAAGTTAAATAACAAGATCTGTCATTTCATGTATTAGAACGTGTAGGAAAAATATTAATTTCTATACTTTGTTGGGGAGAAGCTTAATTTCGGCTTCTTCTTCTGCGAGTGCACTGCGCGAGCATGACGTGCCAAGGCAACAACCTGGTCAAACTTCTCTTGGCAGATTTTGCATGCGTACTGCTTTTTCACCTTAGTATTTTTTTTGCTCTTTGGTTTTCTCTTGCCGAGATTGAGAGCCTTTGTTGGCGATTTCTGGCACACCAAGAGATGCGTTTTGAGAGTACGTTGGTATCGAAAGTTTTTAGAACAATACTGGCAACGCATCACACCATTAAGCTTGGTCAAATATTCACCGGACCGCCATTCCTCTTTCTCTTCCTCTTTTTCTTCTTCTTCCTCTTCTTCCTCCTCCTCCTCCTCCTCCTCCTCCTCCTCCTCCTCCTCTTCTCCTTCGTTGTCGCTCTTATTGGAATCCGAGTCCCTCACCATAATAATTTCATTCTCTTTGTCGCTGGAATACTTGTCCTTGTTATCATCCAGAGTAATCTCCACCACGTTGCGTGTCGTTTGCTGCTCTTCCTCATCGATATCCAGATCGACTACCTCCACGACCTGCACATTTCGACACATTAGCTAATGTTAAGGGAACATTTGTGAAATTTTACTAGTGCTTAGTTGGAAAAGATGCAACATTCCAACTCAACGAAAACGATTGACAGTTGTTGAAAATGTTATAAATATTGAATGAGATAAATTGACAAATTTACAAGTTGAAATTTTCCAAAGCAAGATTCATAATTTCCTAATCTGTGCAAGGTAATTTTTACCTTCCGCCGCTTCGTTCGCTTAATTCGCTTCGCCCGCTTCATCAACTTGGTACCGGGCACGGTGACACGTATCTGCGCTGACGACTGGCGTCGTCGAACAGCGCGCTTCTTGCTGGTCAGCTCCTCATTCAACATCGATGCCGGCTGTATAATGATCTCTCCGCCATCCCGATCCACCGAGATCAGTTGTTGTTTGCGCGACCGTTTGACCTTGAGAGGCATCTGCGGAGTGGTCGCTGTCGCTGTCGTTGACGGTGACGGTGGCAAATCGGTCAATGCGTCGATCAATCGCTGCCGATCGTTCTCAGAGTCGGAAGCGCACGATGGCAGACAAGATTCAAATTTATCCGTGTCTTTGTTCAATAATGATTTTTTGTCATTTATTAAAGATGCACCATCTTCTTGGATATTCGACTGCTCGTCTCGCGCTTTATCGGAATTTTTGCTTGAACTGGTTTCCAACCATTTCTTGCGGGAAATGTTGATATTCTGCAACGTCGCCTGGATTTCATCAAACGTTAGTTCCGAGTCGGACTGATGATCAGCCTCTAAGAGAATGTACTGCACTGTCGAATGCTCCATCAATTCATCCTCAAACTCGAGATTATCTTGACAGTCATCTGGTTGCTCTCCTAAAAAGATTCAAACTTTACATATCTGTTCTTTCTAGAAATATGTGTATTTACTTAACTTAATCTCACCTACATACCAATATTCGCAAAATTGTCATCCATCATGAGGTATGTAATGTCCGAGTTATCAACACTATCGCTAGACTTTGAATTAATCTTAAAGTCGCTATAGTTTTGGCAAGTTTCGTAATTGTGTGCTATTCCATTTTCTTCCTGTACAATGCTCCTTTTACTGTTGACTTCAGAGTCGTCCTTACGATAAAACACTGGCGGTTGGGCAGTAAAAAGCCGTTTCTTCATTTGCGATGGTTTTTTCACCGTTCGCACGGCACCCTCACCTATCAGGCGTTCTACATCTGCTCTGTAATTACATCCATGGCTGTAATCGATCTGGCAATCGACACACACAAAACCAAGTAAAATGGCAGGGAGGTGAGAATTAGTAGCGAATTGAAAGCCGAGTTTGCTTCTCTCGTGGACTTACTTCATAAGAAACTGAAAGTTACTCGGAGGTTCGTCGGACTCGTCATAAACGGCCACAGCATATATTTCGTCCGAGTTCTCCACGGCATAGAGAGCCAATTGTTGTCCTGCCGCGGTGACAAAAGTGGCGATTGTTTCCTCATCGTCCTCATCCTCTTGTTCCTCCTTTTCCTGTGCAACAATTGCAGAAATCTTGTAGTTGTGTCAAAATCAACCTGCTAAATTGATCAATTACTTGGTCGTAAAATATCCGAGTTTACCTTGAGTGCTTCAACACTCTCCGAGTTGCATTTCCCAGCGATCGGCAAACTTTCTATGGACTCGGTGAATCTGCCGACCATATTGTCACAGTTTTCTAGACTCTCCTCCAAGTACATAGTAGATTCCGTCTGGTGATTGGGTTTGTCCGACAAGTGTCCATTTGTAGTTGCAATTATATCTCGTTTAGTAACCTACCAAACGTAGCAATCTCATCGGTATGGTAATATTGACTTCAACTGACGCTATCAAATTGTTTACCGCGTATTCGCTGATATTCTTTTGCCTCGACGGAGCTGCGCATCGCTCGGATTCGCCCTCCATAAAATTGTTAGACGTTGCGATATCTTGGGACACCACTGCTTCACAAATATCTAGGTTGCTGGCGAACGACATACTGCGTTCAACTTGATATTATTCAACGATCGCCATAGTCACTATCTGTAGAAAAAGAACGATTTTAATTTCAACTTTTGAAACGTACAACTTGTAAAAAGTAGTACGTTAGTTCAGATGAGTTGGGTACTGACATATGTAGGCGATAATAAAGGTAGAATCGATATGATACGCGATAGCACTCGAATGACTCGCACAAGCGAGGTTTCTGCCAATGCGCAAATCAGCAAGATATGAATTATTTGACAGAACCGACTGAAAGGCACACGGAGTCATTACCGTTGTGCACAACCCTCGTTTACGTTTCTGCTATTGCTCCGAGTTTTCGCACGAGCATCGGCCTTAAGCCTCTAAGCAAGCGAATCCTGGCAGATACGTGTTGCGTAAACCGCTCGGGGAAGGATGGGGAAGGAGGTTATGCTCGTCTCGCGACTCGCGAGCGCTAGTCGAAGCGCTACAGCGGGGGATGATGCCATACTTGCTGTACGACACGACACGACACGACACACAGGCGCTTCCGTATCTCTGCGAGAGGTCCGTCGAAGCCACGCGATTTGCAGACAGCTGAGACAGCGACATAAACATCGAGCGCGCCTACGACGTGATATTACAATGGGAGCCCTGCTCATGGGGGATTCACACGCGAGTCCCAAGTATACATTTGGCAGTGTGTATTGTCACGTGACCGCGCCATGTTATGCATCCATCCTACATTTCAGTCCATGTGGATTCAGTCGCCACTTGCGCGTTCTGCTGGTATCAGGTATGTGTGTGTGTGTGTGTCATTTGACCGACGACATTTGCAGATTATATTCAAAACTCGATCAATTCTTGCCTACGTTGCATTCCGAGGAACGTCGAAACGGCGTAACCTCTCATAAAGAATAAAGAATGCTTATTGACGAAACGTAAAGAAATGGAGAGATCTTTCTTAAAATTTCAGCCTGTCCCGATGGTAAATACGCGATTGCCCATCGATGGATTCGAGGATTATTCTCCTGAGCCTGTTTGTACTCTTCGTCACGATGCTCGCAACGTCGGCCGCCAAACAAGAAAAAAAGAAGTCGTGGCGCGACAAGGATATTCGAGACATGAACGACGTTGATATGGAATATTTGCTGGAACAGTGGGAGGTAAAAATTTCTTTCCTCCGATAGAGCAGCTTTTTCATCAACGCGTTACATCTTTTAGGCAAACGAGGAACCTTTGGAGCCAGACGAATTGCCAGAACACTTGCGACCCTTACCAAAGATGGATATATCCAAGGTAATATACCAAAGTGCAAATACTTGAATACTCTCCCTCTCGAATAATCCGTTGTGCAGCTAGACATACGTGATCCAGAGACCATGCTGAAACTGTCTAAGAAGGGAAAAGGCGTTATGATGTTTGTAGACCTCGAGTCCAACGTTTCGGACGAGCAAGCCGATATCGCTACGCGTATCTGGCAAACTGGCCTACAAAACAATCATATCACTATAGAAAGGTAGAGCATCGTTATATTCCACAGATGTGGGGCATTAGTAAACATGTTTGCTACCATTACTCTGCAGATATCCAATTGAAAACAAGCGTTATATATTCATGTTCCACGATGGAGCTCAGGCACTCGAAGGTAAAGATTACTTGCTGCAGCATCCTGAAGTAGCCTTTATCACTATCGAAGGACGCAAGTATTATCCGTCGCTAAAGGTAACGTGTGTTTGTAAATATCTTCTCTTCAAGCAAACACACTGAGTCTCTCTTTTTCAGGGACAACCTTTTTTAGTGGACGATTCCTTGTTGAAGCCAAGGTCAAAGAAAGCAGAGTTGTAATCTTGCGTGTCTCGGACACGTTATTGAAATATTTTCCATTTGTCTATTTTTGTACAAAGAATACTCTTAAGATATTTTTTTCCCCCAAGTAATTTTCCGCAGACACATTGTTATAAAAGTATATTGTGCGTTTATTATAATAAATAAGAGATGCGTGCTATCTACACTCGAGAACATTTATTGAACAACGCGAGATAATTGTGTAGAGAGACCGACAACAATGTCATTACGTTGACTTGCTCGCGCTAGTCTTGCTGGCGGTGGACTCGAGTTGTGCATCGTTCAACGCCTTGACTTCTCGTTGAAGTTCCTTCACCACGGTCGCGAGGGCGTGTGGATTCACCCCGTTTTCGCACAGTCTGATACAGATGCTCAACGTGGTCGGATCGAGATTGGTGTTTAGTAGTTTCGAGATCTGGTATAGAGTCTGAAACGTCTTACGAGCGGCGTTCACCTGGTGATTCACAGGCTCCGGCATGCTGGCACGCTTCCGGTCCTTCCTAAAAACATTTCCCCCAATTTACCTCCAATTGTCATTGATGTAGTACAAGTTTTTTTCAATTCAATCAATAAAATGGCGTAATTGGAGGTTAGTTTCTCTCGGTTGGGTTTTTCTTACGACTGAAAACCGTTTACCTATCACAATAAGACATTCGTTTACTCTTTCTCTCACTCTTTTTTTCCCCTGCGATACTCAAATACTCACTCGTCGAGGTTGGACAGCTTTATGATAAAAGATTACCAACATCCGTTGGAAAAAAAAGAGATCGAGCCGTTCCAAGAAGCTTGCAAAAACTCGACCACTTGTGCCCTTGTGCGCGAGAGATGTAAACAGAGTCTCAACACACGTGATCCTACATAGAGGTCTCTGAACGTACGTGGACTGTGCTTCTGAACCTTGTCAATTCACGAGGTGTTTTGTCTTTACGTTAGGAAAAGGGATATAAATATTCTATCAAAATGGAGACAAGCAACAGTGATGACAACGAAACGAGGAAAGAAGCGCTTTTCTTCGGCAACAGACTGAGCACGATTATGCTATTGAACGCTCTCTTCAGACATGGGCGTCGGGATCTCCCTTTTAATGTTATCCCGGACAGAACTGCGCAGGAGTGCAGTTCCGAGATGGACTCTGTGCTTAAACTGACCAAGGATCTTGCTGAAAACAAACCCTCGTTAGTCGACTGGCTGCACAGTGGTTTATTCCAACAAGACGAGTACAATGTACCTCTAGCCTTGTTCCTCATCGCATTGTACGAGCAACGTCTGCAGCCCGACCAGAAAGATGATATCGAATGTGACTTTAGGTACAACCACCACATAGATCTTGGATCTGTTACACAATCCTCAAAATCATTGATTTACAGAGAATTATACCAGTTCCTTCACAAAGTGACGACAAATCAGCCGGCACCTCATCTTTCGAGTGATTCCGCTAATGTCTTGCACAGATTATTATCAGAAGTAATGGAGGAGGTGTGGCCAAGCATGCAATCGAAGCTTCTCAATTATCTAAGTGAAGTACACATCTACAGCAGATCGGCAGTGAGGAGAACGTATTCAGGAAAAAGTTAGATCCATAATTTCACAATTTTCTTCCATACTATTTAAACACGACTTTGTACTTGGTAATTTTGATACAGTAGTTACCGATTATTTCAGGGATGACGCACAAGAGAGAGAAGAGAGGGGAAAACTGTTAAGACTTGCAAGCTTTACAACCCCAGGAAGGATATCGAAAGTAGGTAATTTTTGTTTTGTATCAAAAAGGATTGTTTGCATTTAAGTAATAATAATTATAACTTGTCACCTCATTGGAAATTACACCCTGTTTTGCAAGGAAAATAGGTTACTTGGTGAAAGAACACGTCTCATATAAGGGCATGTCTTTTCTTTAATTCTCATTGATACTCTTAAAAATTAACATATACCGATATCCTCATTTCCTAATTCGCGCTAATGTGTTAATTATTCAATATTTCCCAGGCGTCATCTTCCGCTTTCGAGTTCCAATTCTCTTGTGCCTTATTGTCCGTTTCAAAATTGATCAACGATTCCTCCTTCTCCGCCTTCGGTTGCTTCTTCCAAGTTGTCTTGGTCACTTGTCTCGCGTCATTGCCCCAATCCCAATCGCAGTTGGAGGAATCTCCAGCAGAAATATTACTTCTGAAATGAGCAAAGGATACATTTTCCAGAGTCAATACTTGTTAATCAAATTCATTAAAGTTTCCGAAGGTACGTACTTGGAACTGGAGCTTCTTACGAGAGACGATTTTTCGTTGGAGCGATTCGATTGTATTGGATCGCTATTCTGATACGTGTTGGAGGAATATTGGTATCGGTCCATGGAATCGTATTGCCTTTGTTGTTCCGCTGAATTGGTCCCAGCAATATCACCCCATCCTCCCCGTCTTGTTATATCTCCAACCTGTACATCGAATTTCTCCACTCTTGAGCATCCACTTATCGACAATTTCATCTTATAATTAATGACAACTAAATAATGCCAACAGTAGAAAAGGAAGCAAACGATAGAATTTATACCTTTGTAACCAAATGATTGACTTGGGCTCCTACATCCTCTAACAAAGTGCCGTCACGAACCTATTGTCGTGATACCAAACAAAAAATCAAGAAAAATGCTTTAAAACAATAAAAATTATAAATCTGATACGACAGAAATTAAGAAAAATCCAAACATTTGATCCTGCTTTTCGCTATTGTTCGCGAGAAACTTACCTTTTGCGTCGCGAGTCCTCCAATCTTGATTGCGTTTTCAGTAGCTTTGCTCGCCATTTTCGATGCTGAGGAAGAGAATATTGACCAGCCCTGCAACAGTAAGACATAATTAATGATTCAGTTGATTAATTATAGTATAGAAAGGTTTAGCAAACACATGAAAAGTTGTACAGTCGCTAATGATGATACTGCGGTGTCGAACAATTCCTGGGACGAACTCTTGGGTGGTGGATCCATCTGATAACCAAAGCCACCGTATTTACCGCCTTGATTAGGTGGGATATTACTGAAAAAGATGTTATAATTTTTCACATTGTCCATTGGACAAATATCTCAATATCTTTTACTATTTTGTTTCTTCACACCTTTCCATTGTTTTGCACACTTTATTGCAAATATTTATCATACTATAACACAAATACATGTATAGTTGAGTAACAATTGCTAATGATTCTATATACATATGATATATGTAATAGACTTACTCTGGACGATTAGCATTTTCATTCTGTCTTTTCACAAAGAAGGACTCCGTCTGTACTTTTAGGCTGTCCAAGTCCATATTTTGATAAGAAGAGGACAAGTCGCTCTGGTACGAGTGCTCTTGCTTACTCTTAATAAATGCCGAAGGCTGAAAATCCTTTGCCGTCGAGCTGTTTGGACTCCAACGCTCTCCTCTCGCCAACGTAGCGATCTAAGCAATGACATACGTTCAAGCTCTGTGACAAGAGTGCTCGATAAATCTCTCTACCTTGTCTCTGTACAATGCCGCCGCCTTTGTATTGTAACGCTGCGAGATGGACATGGATTCGTCCCAGTCGGGTTGACTCTCAAAGAACTCGCGGGCATTTCTGTTACCACCGACCTTCATCTTTTCCAGTTCTATGTCCTTCCACTTGTCCATAGAGACAGAGCGGACAAAGGACAAGTGCACACCTAGACCACGATGCTTGCCAGAGCACTCGAGGCATATCCAAATGCCATACGTTACCGACACCCATTGCGGATTGTGGCTGTCGCATTCGAAGCATTTCTACAAAATGTACAAACGTAATGTCGAGTGATCTTACAAGAGGGAGAGAGGAAGCTTACATTGTTCTCGTCCCTCGGCTTTAATTCATTCAGCACTCGTCGCGTTCGTGGACTGGCCATGGTCACATCGGTCAGTTGGTCAGTTGGTCAAAGGTTCTGAAGCACGAGGATACTTAGATATGTCAATCTAGAGGTGCCGACGTCTACAGCCGCGAGGTACTATATGCGAGATAAGGAGTTACTCGTAATTGATACGTAGGTAGATACCTCGCGGCTGCAACTCTTGGCACCTCGACGGCTGTGAGAAAGTGATCGAGGGCCGCGGGCCCAGGTTGAAAGGTGGAAAAGTCATCTCGACAGCCCGGATTTCCAGGTGCCGCGGGATTATTACGCAAGTGTCGTGCAATAGTCGGCAAAAACCTTCACCTTCAAACTACCACCAAGTCATATCGAACGGTTCTTTCTTCCGGGATGGACGGCAAGATCACTTCCTACGTGGACATATTGTAAAAGTCTGACACGATTTTTGCGCCTGGGAACTGGCGACCTGGCGTTGCCGCGATTGACGTCACGCGGGGTATAGGTTAGGTTGTCCTAACTCGGGCGGGAATTCCAACAATTTTAACTGCACGATCCCTCAATCTACTTTTCCTCTACCTTACTCGATTACTTGACAATTATTCATTTTTTTAGCCATATTAATTCTTTGTTGCCTAACATGTGGAACAAAAGATTAAACGACTTTGTCGATTGAATCAATTACGAATCCAACACCAGAGAGAAGCCTATTTTGCTCGCTTGAAATAATCTTAAATTATACCTTTTAACATCGACATATTTCGTGTATTATTTCGCGTTTTTAACCTTATAGAAATAGCCAAACGAGGATCGATGGCAAATCGCGCGGTTTCTTGTCGCCGTTGGTCGCCGTGTCAATGATCCGGCGTGATCTTGTTTCGCCGCGATAATACCTTTTTTAACAATCCAAACGTCAAATCCATCGAGCCAACTCCGTGCGATCGTAGTCGTGTGTCGTCCTCCCAGAGAATAATATAAATTCAAACCGTGAGATTGTCACTGATCTTCTAGAATAGCTCAATAAATATTAAGCATGATCGGGAATGTTGAAGAAAATATCTTTAGTTTGTATGCAGAAGAATTTATAACGTATTCAAGTTTTTAGACATGTAATAACTTAATCTCAACAACTTGGGCGCGCTCATCGTACAAAATCATTATTAAACAAGGAGAAAGATTTAACAAAAAAAAAAAAGATTACAGAGCGACTATAGTTTTCGTTATTACGCGTTACAACTAATTAAAGTACTACAGTAACAGGCGCATATAAATAAAACATAAATATAATAAATATCTATATTTTAAAACACGTATTGGGATATTATGTTATTGTAAATTACAGGAAATATACTGTAACAATAACTCTATTAATTCTTAGACGTATTATATATGTAATAAAATTTTAACATAAAATATGTAAAGACAAATTACATGCTGCGTGTACTACTCGATATATCGTAATGCATTTAATACTTTTTAAGTTGCAATATTAGCATAGATCTAAAAGCGAGACATGTAGAAAAACGCTTTAATTTTTTGTACGTTTTTACTTTGCTAAAAGGAAGAATTTCCTATAAATATTACAACTTAAAATCTTCTCGAGGATTTGTCTCATTTGTGAGTAATATTTTACGATTTGATACGAAAATCGATAATACGAAATGTAACCAACAGCTTATTTACAATTGTCGGTAGTCAAGGCGGACTAGAACAAAGCACGTTAATAAGATGGCTAGAACAGAATTTGTAAAGCTGGAGGATGCTCCGCTCGCCTTCCAGCAGACGTCCAGCTGGCAATTGGATGCTAGCTGGCCAAACTTGCTCTTCAGGAACTCCCAATCGCAAAGGCCCACTTGACAGCCATCGTACCGTATTGGTTTCTCCGCCAGATAAAACATCACTTTATTGCGATTATTACTGTCGTTACACCTGCAATATATTTTTTACCAAAATTAAAATTTATTAATATTAATAATAACATGATTTCCGTTGTGTAGCAAAGATTCACCGACCTTGGTTTATTAAAGCGTGACTGAAGCAAATTTCAGCTGCTAATTAATTTCCCTACAAATCTACCAACACTTAAATTTAAAGCGATTGAATAACGTTTTTATAAATGACGTAATTGATTCAGATTAAAATCCATCGAATTTCCAAGATCAATCATACTAAATAATTTCTGAATAAAGGGTCAGGAAGTAAGAGGTGAAAATGAATATGGCGGACACGCATAAAATGTAAAACTCACTTATAAAATACTGCGATGAAATTGGCTGTAAAGGACGATATCAGTGACGTGCGCCATTGACGTCTCGCCACATCTTTGTAGTTATAAGCAGTCAGCCGTGTCTGGTCTTCATTTACACCCATCGTAGTTAGTAGATTTTGCAGACTGATGATATCACTGAAGTAGAAGATGCCTGCGGGTTCGCCCGACATCTCGTCGCGTGCTACATTCCTAATAAAACGTAGTACCAGAAGTTAAACCGCTATCTTTTGCTAACTTTTGCTTCTTTGACATTTGAAAGGAAACTCAACAGGCTAACGATCACGTGAAACAGTTTTAATAGGTAATTGACGAAATTTCGAAAGAGAACTCGTAGCGTTATAATACCAAAAATGTCGCATCATGTCGTGCAATAGAGGACATCCCAAACGAGTGTTGATGTCTCGCCCGTAGCCCGCTTTGTAATAGTAATCGAGGTCCTCTCTGTACTCGAGAACGCGAAGTTCTTCATTGCTGAAGGCGGCGCACCAAGGTGAAAGTTCGGTGACAGACCAGGCTTTCTGATATCGACACGCGTCGTACATAGCGTCAATCATATCTAAAAATATTTCAATATCATTGCCGATTGTTTTTACACGCATTCAACACATATTCAACTTTCTCATCTGTGTGCCAAGGAATTTCCATACCTATAATATACATACATGTACAAGTAACGTTAACCGACAAGTGAAATATCTGTTTAGTCAAATTTGATACATACGTATAATTGATGTGTTTACAATAATTGTGCACGTACCAGCGGAAATATTGTACAGAAAACCTAGTCGTCTGCTGACGTTCTTCAAAAGATTCTGGAATTCTGGTCCAGCGTTGAATCTACTGTGTTCCACATTCTCGACCGATCTCTCGTTATTCTCCTCGTTTTTCCACACGCCGCATGTTTTGTATGCCTGCAAGATTAATCAAATCAGCTAGAGTCTAGACTCAAGTAAATTCAAGCCGATTTCGAACCTAAATAAAATACATAGGTATAAACGAAATCAATCATCTTTCGGTCAATTTTAAAATTATTTAGTGTCATGTTACATTTCTTTTTATTTGTACCAGTTTCTCTCTCTTTCTCAATTCGATTCGTGCCACGGTATATTAGAAATGTAAATGCATTTCTTGTAATATTGTTGTACTTGGGTGGTCTTTTTAAATCATAATGTATTGAATCTCTGTTACAGCACCCATACTTACGCTAAGTAAAGTGTCATTGAGAGAATTCTCTTCCGGAAGTACGGTGGATCTGCTTCCAAACAGCCCTTCCATAAAGGATCTCATACTATCGCGAGCTTCTGTAGCACGGAACTGAAAATCAGTTTATCCAATTTGCTTCATCGAATCAAGTATAGTATGTAATATAAATGCCAAACGCATTTAAATAATCAGAAACATCTGATTAGAGCTTGAATTATAGATGGTCCAATGTGGATTATAGTGATAACGACATAAATAAATAATTACCTTGTAATTGGCAGACGTAATGTTGTAGTTGTTGGGCAGCAACAGCTCCGGGAAATTACTCTGCAACCTTCTCGCCAGCAACTTCATGTCCTCCACCCCTTGCGGCGTTAACACCTGTGCCCGTTGCGGCGATAAATATTCGTCCGGCTTCCATCTTCGCAGGTTCTCCAAATCTCGATTGCACATGTGACCCTCTGCGCGAGAAAGGATACGCGTCGAGATAATTGTATGCAAATTGCTAGTTTAAACCCGACACCACGTGAAATATCCGTTGGTATTTACCGTCATTTTCGCAAGTTTCTACGAAAATATTTGTGACAATCGACAAAATACGTTGACGCTTGTTTGCGGTTGCACAAGTTTTGTACTTGGGAAAATTTGTAATAAATACGGGGCTAAAAGGGATGCACACGGCGATGCAAAAGAAGAAAAAGAGAAAGTTAACTTTACGCAAGTCCTAACAGGTGGAAAGAGAAGGAAAAGGTTGACTTACCTCTGCGCTCCTCATGATTCTGGATGATCTGTTCTTTAAGATTAGTTAAAGAGACGATCTTGTCGATCTCGGGTATGGTCGGACAACGGGTGCCGTGTGTCGCGAGCATCCAGATTTGCACCGGTCGGCAATCTGTCGAACGGAAATACTTGTAAACAATGATCGAGCCGATTTATATTTCGGTACTTACTCGGCACTGTCTGGAACCGGGTCTTGCCACCGTGAACAAAGTGATACGCGGTCTTTGTGCCCATGTACAGGTACGGGTTATCCTCGTCCGCAAAGCAGAAATCGACATCGCGTGCGTGCACGTGGAGGGCTAGGAGCGACGCGACCAACAACAGCAACAATGCGGACATTATACAGTGAAAGTCGTCGCTCCTGCGATAAGAATAACAATAAGGGTGATAAGTCTGGTAGGGGTGCAAGAAATAAATGAAATGGAGAGAATGTCAAAGACGGGTTCCGAAATTGTTATTGTAAAAGATACGATTTGAGGAGGGCCTCTTCGTGGAAAAGCAATTTTCCTTTCGCGCTACGCGGACATCGTAAACCTACATTTCGCCGCCGGCTGACGACATCACAATGTAACTTATTACCAACTCGAGGAGAGCTAGCGTAACGTGTAGTTCTGGCGATTACATAACCGGAAGCGTTATTCCCGCTCGCGTTCGCGCCGAGACTGTCGGCGAGTATTAACGCGATAAATTAGCGAGAAGACGATAACGCGAGAGTCGCCGTGACATATCTTGGCTCTTTTAAATGGTCAAAATGCTCACGAGAAGATTTCCCTTTCGCGAGATGTAACAGGGAAATCTCTTGATTAAGGAGCCTCTCAGCTCCGCAGGTTCCAACTTCCGTGAGAGGGAGATGAACGCGCCAAGGCCAAGGCCGCCCCGCGTGAGAGAGATCGCGAGGCGAGCTATGGTAAAATTGCCTTGTGCGCGTTACACAATACTGCAATGCTGTATGCGAGAGAGAAACCGGTTTCTCGGGTCCCCCTAGCGATCCTAGCCCCTGAGAGCATCATCTTCGGGATCTTGTGAGCGACCAACACTCGCTCCAGAAATAGACTGCACGTAATAGTTGACGATAATGTAATTGGCAACGGCGCGATTAGCGAAGACTTCTTTCGCTTCTTACTTGCTATGCCGCATACTTGGCCTACTTATGCTTAATTTCTTCGTCGTTGGCGAGTACCACGCAAGTGCTATCGCCGTCTAACGTCGGCTGCAATCTCGTTTCAATGCGAAATCCATTACACGCCCGCTGCTTCGAGCGTTACTTGGCCGATCGCGTAGCGCGAACAGCATGGCAAAAAATATCTGTCATTTTATTACCAACAAGTTATAGATATATTATCTTTTCTGCCTGATTCTCCTCGGATTGAATTCTCCGATCCGGAGGATTTGCTCGATTAATCGTTAGAGGACATTTGACCGGCAAGATTGCTTGGATAAGTTAAGATGTGCCTTTTCAATCTTTATTTGGCAAATCTTTGCATGTTTTTCTTTCAACTGCGTTTCTTCATTTAACATCGTACTTTAGAAAGGCACATAGCTTATATTGAAAAAATATGCAAATATTTATGTGGAGCGGACAGACGACGGCAGGAATGTGCAACGCAGATACAGCTGACGCACGCGAAAGAGGACGTTTGCCGCAATGACAGGAAAGAATTGTCAGCTACGCGGCGCGATTATCATTGTCGTTTTATGAACAAACAGTCCCTCGCCGTTACGACGTAACAATAAGAAAAGCTCGTGTATGTACACCAAGTTTACATGCATTTCAAAGATCCTTGATGAATTTTGTATCCATTTTTTATCGATTGACTCATTTGATGTATTCTGCAGAAAATTATCAAGTTTTCCTTGAGAATTGCTTCTCAGCTGTATCTATGATTGCGATGATTCTCTTTTCAGTTTCCGGGAAATTATTGTCGGCCGTTACTTCTCTTTTTACATGTACCGATTTCTTTAGAATCATTCACGAATTGCCTTAAATTCTATCTTTTTTTCCAGCGGGGATTCCCTACCGATCGTGGGACATGACGTACGGTAATAAAAGTCGGCGCGCGCTCGCGACAATTGTTGACGAAAGTAGGACGACGACGCTGGTCACGCTCGACGGTTCTTGGAGCAGGAGAGCAGCGGTAATTATTCGCGCATTTTGCGCGCGTGTTTAGTCGCTTCCAGTGAAAACCGCTCGATATCGGAGCGCGGCGGTGATCGGCGATCCTTGAAAGCAAACTCGCGGCGCACTTTCGCGCGCCAAGTTGCGAGGATTCCCGAGGATCGCGCGCAATATTTAATCCCGCGAGTGCGAATTAAATCATCATCTCTCGCATGCGTTGATATGGTAATTTTATACGTTAAGGTCGCGAATCGAGCGTAACTCGTGCCTTATCTACGGATCTAACAATAAGAATCGTAGCGTTCGGTCAATTCTCAGTCAATTCTCAGAATTTCACATTCTGATCTCCATTTCACGCACAGAGTATTAAGGTTGGATACGGAGACTTTGCGACAAATTCATTAATTACGTTTATTAATTAAGAGCTTCTATAGCTGGTAGATATGTCAAAAGAAAAAGAAACATTTCCAGGCCCAACTGTTGAAACACTTGTCTTTAACATTCATCTCCTTAACGAGGCTTATCGTTTTAAAAAATTCAAGTATATCTAATACGTGGCTTCAATAATATGAGTAAGAATTTCAACGCCGAGGCATCAAAACAGAAATGTTTGTTTCAAACTTAAAAATTTAATTTTGCAGGTATTTAACATTTAACATGGCATGTTAAAGCCAGCTTCTAATTTCTTTCTAATTCTAATATTGTTTATCTTGGCGGCACACATCGGTTACAAGAGATGGAAGCGTGTCAAACGGAATTTTCATTTTAGCCCATTTCCATCGAGATTGATAACAGCCTGCCTTTAAATGTTAATATCCGTTAATTAAAGAGAGTACACAAGTAAGTAAAGTAGAGTTGATTGCATACGTACGAGATCTAGGATCGTGCTTGTGGCCACAGACAAGGAACGCGGTCGACCAACACGAAGGTATCGAAGGTTCCTCACATCAGATGTATAAACAATGTAAACGTGCGCACCTTTGCGATCGCGACTATCGTGAGCCGCTGTTCACCACGGTGGTTCGTGTGACACTGCCGCGCGAGCTGCGAGGTCGTCGAGCTTCGTTGCCTCCTAGGTAACCATAGCACCTAGACCGCGCACCAGTGCCCGATGTCTCATGTTCAAACATGCGTCACGCGATCACTTGTTGCCGCGTTAGTGTGACCCGGTTTGCCGCTCCTCTTCCAATTTATTTACTCAGGTAGATGAAAATTGGACAAATCGCCTAGATGAATGTATGTAGTACATACACTAGGAATCACTGATGCCTTCCCATATTTAGGCACAGGTAGAAACTGCAGTTTCGATTTCCTGTTCTAACAACATTTATTTTGAAAATCTTTTGAATGCGTCCATATCTGCGCCGGTTTCCATCAAGTCCGTCTGAGATTAAGTGAGAATTATTTTTACGAAAATGTAGGTATATGCCTCCTCTTGGTACGAGGAGCACGGGACTTGGTATATTTTTCGCACATCCTGTAAATCTCGCCATGTTTAATTAAAAAAAAGGAGGGACGGTTGAATGACAGAAATCGCATTTGCTAAAAATAATGAAACAATAGGACTAATTTTTCAAATTGAAAAACGAAACAAGTCTATTAGACGTAACATAGATCTGAAAGTAGATAATTACGAATAAAAGGATATAATGTAATTTTAAGGAGAAACGTCCGCGCTGTAGAAATCGACCAATTGAAATGATCATGTGCCGTCTTGAAATTATTGCTTGCCTGGATTACGGCGTTTAAATTTTAATAAATAAAAGTCGATATTACTGTTTCCGCCGGAGATTTTTTATTAAGTACAACCAGCTTTTCTATTTCGAAACAGGCTAGGCTACGTTACTCGTGGTAGACACCGTATACGCTGCACTGAGCGTGAAAAGTACGACCCTCGGAAGAGAAGGCAGAGTATTTATCTCTTTCGCTGTCCCACAGGAAACCGAGAGTCGTTTCCGCGGACTGACTGGTCTTCTCGATTATTGTCACCGTCACGATAATCTTGTGTCTGAAAAGAAAGACACTTTTTCGAATATTCAACGAAATTTTCGTAATATTCGAAAGCCAAACACTTATACTTGCGTTCGATAATATTAGCGAGTCTTGAGGAATGTTTTAGAAATTTGTTGGGATACACCTCTTTTCAACTACAATTACGTTCCTATTATTTAAATCATTCCGTTAAATAACGACTATGTCAAAAAAGTGTCTTTTTCCTTTCCCCCTTTTCTTTCCCAGAAACGGAAACCATCAGCTTTAACGTACCTATCGAAGTTGAGCTTCTTTACGCGTCGCCGTATTTCCGTGGCAATGTCGCCGCATAATTTCGTGACCTCCGCATCATCGTACGTGACCTCGTCCAAACGATTGTTCATTACCGATCTTACAATCTTGTCCACCGGATCGGTTTTGAACGGATTCTGCGGCTCCATGCGATAAGTGTTTTGATATTTCGTGACACATCGCTGCAGTATTCGCGCAACAAACAATAAATGTGTTTTACTTTTCAAAACTTTTATACTTTATGTATAAATTATCGTCACACAATTTGTTGGATTTCCCAAAAACAAAACTGGAAAACTATTATCAAACAATGCGATTTTTACCTCATTATCGTCGCAAGCTTTTTCACTCGTTTCGAGTTGAAGCGGCATAATATCGATTTCCGATGATGAATCGATCAGATTTAATACTCTATAAAGATTCTCGCACTTTTTCTATAACAACCTTAACGCCGCTTGAGTAATCCTTGCAAAGACGCACGTATCTAAGGTAAATGACAATCGGTTACTTAGAAACGCCGCGAGGATCGCGATCCACAACAAACAATAAATATATATTTGTGTAATAAAGGTGCTGTAAGAAATTGAAGGAAAGAGCCGAAAGACATGAAGATGTAAAGAAAACAACTTTCGATAAAACTCATTTGTTATTTTGGAAGAATATATAATATTCTCTCGAGAGTATATATGAAAATTCTTTTTACACTTTACTCATTACATTTTTAACATTTTCATTTAGAATTTCTAAAACA